CCCCCCCTGCCCTCTCATTAACAAACCCTTACTGATATTTCTTCAAAAAAAAAAGAGGCAGCAAACCAAGCCGGAAAAGCCCGGTGATTGACGTTAATATCTTGTAAACAAGAAAAAAAAACCAACTATGCCAATTTAATTCCTTACGATGCGATGTCGCGACTGCGTGCCCGGAACGAATTGTCTACGTGTATGATTGCCCACACATCCTAGCTACGAATACAGTTCTAGGCTGTGGAGATATTGGATATTATTTCTATGAAAGGCAGGGCGCGGGCCCAGAATGAGGGATTCTACGGAGTAAATTGTGGGGGGCGGGGGGGGTTCTGATCGCTCTGTCCACGTCGAATGGAGCTGGTGCCCTCCCTGGACCGCATTAGGCTGTATCTTAATATACAAGGCGCGGCTTACTGGGCCGGTGCTCTACAAAATCAAATATACTTCTATCGCACCGACGGGAAATGATATCGTAGAGGTAAATCGGTAATAGTGACACGTGATCTCGCGACGCGGCAATCCCTTTCCGCGCCGCGCCACGCTTGTGTCGCTCGTCTTCTTCTACTTTTCGTCTATTCGACTTGCTTACGACTAGATAGACGGGGATTTTGTCCAGATTCGAGCATCTACGCATAATGAATATATAAATCACATTCGAGATCCAAGCTATATCAAACGAACCGGATACCATATCCGGCCGACTACAATTTGCCCCTCGCCCTCACCTCACATCCACCATCAGAATATAATATGGCAGGCCCATTCCCCAAGAAGGCCTCAACGCCCTCGCGGCCCTCATTCAAGTCCAAACAGCCAACCTCCACGAAACGAAACAGCAGTCTGCTTAACTTCTTCCAGAAGGCCGATGGTCCGCCTAAGCCCACGTCCCGACAGCCGAGGATTACGCAGTTTGCGACGAAGATAGAGCGGACTAGTAGTGGGGCCTCTACGCCATCGCTGCGGCGGGACGATAGCTCGAAGAGTACTGGTGGCGGGGGATTGTTCTTGGATGAGAAGAATGGGGCGAAGGTGGTGTTGGTAGATCCGAGTACGTCTCCGCGGTCGCGGTCTCAGACGCCGGATGATATCTGGGAGGAGAAGGGGGATTTCACGGGGGAGGGGGAGGATGAGGGGAGGTTTAATGAGAATGGGTCGGCGGTTAAGAAGCGGAGGGTTGGGGATGACTCTCACTCGAGAGAGGGTGAGGTGGAAAGGAAGGTGGTGGCGGCGGCCACTCGTGCTCCAGTTAAGTCGAAGCAGGTTAGCGGTCCGTTTATTGATGAGTCGGATAGTGAGGAGGACTTGGGGGCGTTTGGGGGTTTTGGTGATGAGCCCACGGTGGCGGGGAACGTTGGACTTGGGGATGATGACCGGAAAGATCAGGATCGCGCTTCCGACGTCGCCGTACCACCATTGGTAAGAGAAGCCACGAGCCATATCGAAGATGATGAATTTGCGAATTTTGACGAATTAGAAGGGGATGAATTCAGAGAGGAAGAACTCTTAGACTTAGAAAACGAAGACGAAGAGGGGGTCCGGTATGCGGTTTTCGGTTTCGACGACTCGAATGATCTTTCGGCTATAGAGGAATGCGACGTGGATCCTGGTGGGAGTGCGCCAGTTTGTCCCATCTGTCAGGTTGAGTTGGTAGGCTTGAGTGAAGTCGTAGGGCACTCTTTTTGCATGAAACCTGAACGAGTCTGGCTAATAGTAAAGTAGGACGTGTCGGTACATGTCAATGACTGCCTTGATGGAAAGCCTGTCACTGTCCTGCCAAAGCCAAAGGCAAAGCCTGACACCCCCCCGAAGGCGCTGACTCGCGCAGAGCTCGCTTCTATCGCAAGACCCGCGCAAAGCGATCCGTACTCCTCGGGCGCGTCGAAAACCGCTTCAGCCTTCTCAAAGCTTATGGCAGGTAACGCCGAAGATACGGCATGGACGGTGGCTGCAGCCAGTGAGGTTAAGTCTCGGGGCAAGCAAGCTTATCAACGAACTTGTCCATTTTACAAGATCATTCCGGGATTTTCCATATGCGTGGATGCCTTTCGTTACGGAGCAGTGGAAGGATGCAACGCCTACTTCCTAAGTCATTTCCATAGTGACCATTACATAGGCCTGACGGGCTCTTGGCGTCATGGTCCCATTTACTGCAGTAAAGCTACAGGCAATCTGGTCCGCCAACAGCTCAAGGTGGACCCGCGATGGGTGGTAGATCTAGAGTTTGAGAAGACAACGGAGGTTCCTAGTACCGGTGGGGTGAAAGTGACTTTGATCGAGGCTAATCACTGCCCCGGAAGCGCTTTATTTCTATTTGAAAAGACCATGGGATCCAGTCCGTCTAAAAGGGTCCAACGTGTTCTCCATTGTGGTGACTTTCGAGCATCTCCGGCCCATGTGCAACACGCCCTTCTCCGTCCCGAGATCGCCGACTCCGCTACCGGCCAGAAACGGCAGCAGCGCATCGACGTGTGCTATTTAGACACCACCTACCTCAACCCTAAATATTCATTCCCCAGCCAAATAGATGTCATCGAAGCCTGCGCGGATCTCTGCGTCAGCCTTGACAACGGGGAGGATGAGGGCCCTGCCCCGTGGCAGTCGGCAAAAGCGAACAATGGGGGCGGGAGCATCATGAAAAAGTTTTTCAACTCTATGACGGGTGCGGGCAAATCACAGGACCAGCCATCATCCCGCCCGCAGGGTCGGTTGCTAGTCGTCATCGGAACATATAGTATTGGTAAAGAGCGCATATGCCTGGCCATTGCCCGGGCCTTGAAGAGCAAGATCTATGCCACTGCGGCCAAGCAACGGGTGTGCGCCTGCCTAGAGGATCCCGAGCTCTCTTCATTATTAACGGACGACCCTGTGGGGGCTCAGGTGCATATGCAGACGCTCTTTGAGATTCGCGCCGAGACGCTGGCCGACTACCTGGATTCGATGAAACCGCACTTTACACGCGTGGTAGGATTTCGTCCGACCGGATGGACATACCGCCCACCCACTGGGAGGATGCTGGATAACCCGCCCGTCTCGACGGTGTTACACTCTTCGCATTGGAAGACGCCTTTCACGGCGGGCGACTTGGCACCTCAACGCGGGAGTACGCGGGAAAGCGCGTGCTTTGGGGTGCCGTACAGCGAACATAGTTCGTTCCGAGAGTTGACGATGTTCTGCTGTGCGCTACGGATCGGACGGGTGATCCCCACGGTGAACGTCGGCAGTCGGAAAAGTCGCGAACGAATGAAGGCGTGGGTCGAGCGATGGGAGGCGGAGAAGCGGAAGAGCGGATTGTATCGTGTGGAAGGGGATCGATGGTAGGAATATGTGCGGCTTTTGTGGTATATATGGGGAGGGGTAGTAGATTTGTACATATACATAACGGGATAGTATATTCCGCTGGTGCGTCACCTGCACCGAATACATTGCATGAGCATACAACCGACACAATGGCCCTCAGTAAATACTCGGTTTCGATGTGTCAGAAGGAAGACCAGGCGCTTCGTATTCAGAGACATGTATGGGATCTAGTATGACCTGTCATGAATTGACACCTGTATATATACATCACTAGAAGCATTGCATATAAATGGTCGTGGAAATGCCGAGTTTTGCAGTCCAAGTCCCGACCCGAGAGCCAGGGGAGTACGTACTATCTGTCTTCCGTGCATGACGCCACCAAACGCTCAGCTATTGGTACAAAGAGTGGTTGAAGGTTGTTCCATGCTGTTTGCCCAGTATAAATGAGCTGAAGGTTATAGGGTACTCAGATGGCACATGACCGGTGGCCAATCAACAGCGAGGCAAAGGTAGCGTTCAAAAACATTAGCTTGGCTCAAAGCTAAACAACCCTTTCCTCGCCAGTCATTGACTGGAAAGAACCATAGACGGAGGACCGCGGGCGATCATCTCTCGTGGCTTTAGCCGAGAAAAGCCAAAGCGGGGTGGGGGAAGTCGATCGGGGGAAAGTATCGGCTCCAAGAGACGAGGGAGTAAACCCCAGACTTCCCGACTCTTAGATCCGTCGGCTGGATAGCCTCGGGGAAGGTCTTGGGCTGGCCGGACCCATAAATATCAGCAAGTTAGCATAGATAGTTCAATGAAATATACATTGATATGAGGATTATTTGATTCACTTCGCTTATTTCAATATTCCCCCCTCCACCCTTATTCAATCATTTTGGTTTTATATCGCTGGTTATTCACTTCTATCCTCATTCTTCAGTCACTTTTGTTCTGCAGGCATTGAAGTGATTAGGGCAACACCAAGAACGGGTTAGTGGCACCGTTTTCTTTCATTCCCCACCACGTTCATATCTTCTCTTAGTGGAATCCTTTTCCTAATATGCCAATGTCTCACCCTTTCTAGCCAATTCCTTTACAACCACTCGCGGCTATGATCGCCGACTTCCTACTGTCGCCCACCGGCGCCGTTTACTTCCTGGTCGCCGCCTTCGTCACCTACTACGTTGCACCCTACCTACAGCTATGGCGCCTACGGGATATCCCGTCACCGGGTTTCGCGGCCTTCTCCAACCTGTGGCTGATGCTGCAGGCCCGCCACGGCAAACGGTTCCTGGTCGTCGACGAAGAGCACAAGAAGCGTGGTAAACTCGTTCGCATCGCACCACGACACATCTCCATCGCCGACGATGAAGCCATCCAAGCGGTTTACGGCCACGGAAATGGATTCTTAAAAGCGTACGTATACATGTCATATCAATCTCAACCAATGAAAATAAAACACACTATATATACAACAAGCCACCCCCAAACCTAAACCCCAACAACTCCGATTCCCCCACTACATAAAATATGATATATATATAGATATAGATATAGATATAGATATACTAATAAAATAAAACAGCGACTTCTACGACGCCTTCGTCTCCATCCGCCGCGGCCTCTTCAACACGCGCTCCCGCGCCGAACACACCCGAAAACGCAAAACAGTCAGCCATACCTTTTCCACAAAATCCATCGGCCAATTCGAACAATACATCCACTCCAACATCGAGCTCTTCGTGCGCCAATGGACCCGTCTCGCCTCCACCACTTCCCAAGCTAACGGCTACGCGACCCTCGACGCCCTAAACTGGTTCAATTACCTCGCCTTCGACATCATCGGGGACCTAGCCTTCGGCGCCCCCTTCGGCATGCTGGAGAAGGGGCAAGATATCGCCGAGATGCGGAAGTGTCCGGACGACAAGCCGAAGTATGTGCGGGCGGTTGAGGTGTTGAATCGGCGGGGGGAGGTGAGCGCGACGCTGGGGGCGTGTCCGGGGTTGATTAAGTGGGCGAAGTGGATTCCGGATCGGTTTTTCAAGGAGGGGTTGGAGGCTGTTGAGCATTTGGCGGGGATTGCGGTCGCGCGGGTGAATGAGCGGCTTAGGCCGGAGGTTATGGAGGGGAATACGCGGGTGGATCTGTTGGCGAGGTTGATGGAAGGACGGGATGGGGCTGGGGAGAAGCTTGGCAGGGAGGAGTTGACGGCGGAGGCCTTGACGCAGCTTATTGCGGGGTCCGATACAACGAGTAATACCTCTTGTGCGATCTTATATTGGTGTTTGACGACGGAGGGGGTCGTGGAGAGGTTGCATGAGGTGCTTGATGGGGCTATCCCGCGGGATGTGGAGGTTCCGGATTATGGGATGGTAAAGGACATTCCTTAGTATGTGATTTTTTTTCCCCCTTTTCCCCCTTCCTTTTACCCTTTTTGTGTTGGTGGATGACGTTGGGTGCTGACGGAGAGGGGTTTAACAGTTTGCAATGGGTTATTTGGGAAACCATGCGCATTCATAGTACCAGTGCTATGGGTCTGCCTCGCGAGATCCCCGCTGGTAACCCCCCTGTTACGATCTCGGGCCATACGTTCTACCCCGGGGATGTGCTGTCCGTTCCTAGCTATACGATCCATCGGTCGAAGGAGATCTGGGGTCCGGATGCGGAGCAGTTCGTCCCTGAGCGCTGGGATCCAGCTCGTCTTACGGCGCGCCAGAAGGCGGCGTTCATTCCCTTCAGCACCGGACCCAGGGCCTGTGTGGGCCGCAATGTGGCGGAGATGGAGCTGCTTGTGATCTGTGGCACGGTGTTCCGGTTGTTTGATTTTGTCATTCAGCAGGATGGGCCGATGGAGACGAGGGAGGGGTTCCTGCGGAAGCCCTTGGGGCTGATGGTGGGGATGAAGAGGAGGACTCTTGGTTAGATTGCAGGGATGGTTGGGAACGTAGGTGGATCTGGTATGGAATGGAACCTTGGGTGGAATGAGATAAATCGTCTAGGCCGGGCGAGGGGTACTCTACCCTCCCATTTGAGACGATCCTGACTGTGTATGTACATATGCTTTTTATCCACTTCATTATGCTTCATTACTCCCTGTTCGTTGGCATCTATGCTGAGACTGTTTTACTATTGTCTTATTGAAATCTCAACCATGTTGAATACATTATCTATCTACCGAGTCGAATCGCTATAATGCACGATACTACATCGACATCACCCGAGCCGTGACATAATTCATTACATGCGGGACGCAGGGCCGCATTCTTCGTGGCCGCATGGCCCCAGAATTGCGGCGACAAAATAGATACATTAAGTTACTTCCTCTCCATCTCCAACCAACAAGGCAAGAACCATGATTACCACGTCGCCGGACCGAACTTCTTCCCAGTAATTTCGATAGCATTGCCGGCAGCATCCATGGTGTCTTTAGCAATACGGGTGCCCCACCAGTCCGGGAATGGGGTATTGGTGAGTTGTAGGGTGAGGAAGATGACGATCGTGGATAGTGTAAGACCCACGTCCAGGCCGGCAGACAGGACGTAGTTGTACTGCATCCACCAGCCGCGCCAGCGGCTGCGGATCCACTTATTGAAGATGAAACCGACAACAGTCCAACTGAGGTAGTTGAGCGGCGTGGCGGGGGGAATCAAGCCAGCACCTGTGAAGATCAGGGGCGCGCTGAGATAGCGGATTTTGCTGCGGGGCCAGATACGGGCACCGAGGTAGATAGCAACGGGCAAGACAGCGCCAGCGAGCCAGAACCACATCAGGCCCGAGTAGAGCTGACCGGGCGAGAACATGCGCGCGGGACCGATGACGCCCCAGATAACAGAGGCGTTGAAGAACACACGACCGTTGGGACAGCTGTAATGGTTGGGCTGATCTTTGTCACAGACCCCCTCGATAGATCCCAGAGCCCAATTCATGACCGCAATTTGGACGATCGATGTCCAAAGGGTCGCAATCATCTGGGCGGCAAAGGTAATTCGCGGTGGGATTTTCATGTAGTGACCTAGCTTCATGTCCTGGCAGAAGTATAATCCCTGGGACATGGAGATGTAACCGAAGGTCTTGAAAAGCATCATGGCCATTGGCTTTCCGGGCTGCATGTAGCCGATCACAAACTCTGTTAAGACGTTGAGTCCGAGTTGGATGTTGGTGGCTGCCTGCACAATCCCAACAGGCAGAGTCCACACGATGGCCATGATCAAGGCCACAAAGAAGGCCCACCAACTCAAATGGGTGGGATATCCCAGCGACACACCAAGAGCAATGCCCATCATGCTCAGGAAAAGTACAGCATACCACCAGAGGGGCACGGGCTTGAATCGGGACATCAGGCGGGCGTGGATATCTTCCTCGGCTTTGCCAAAGTTGCGGAGGCGGGCCATGATCTCGCCACCGTGGAAGAGGATCGCATGCAGCAGGACAGCAAGAACGCCAGCGAAACTCAATCCGTAACTCAAAGCAAATGTAGTCGACAGAAAGAGTGGTGAATATTCCTTGTATTTGGCTTCGTCGAACGTGAAGTCTGGGGTCAGGATTCTAGAGACATTGTATGCCTCTGCCATGTTATCGTAGCTGCTGGAATCACTGATGGGCAGGTGCTTGAACCAGTAGGCATTGCTATAATGCAGACCGCAAGTGCAAATCCAGTAGAAAACCACCATGCCGATCAGGGTGTTCGCGTGAGCATGCCACGGCGAGATGAGGGGACTGAAATTGAATCCAGAGATCTGAGTCCAGTCAAAGGTGATAGGTAGGAAAGACAAGCCGGTCCAACCACCGAAGAGTTGATTGACGACAGGGCTTTGTGGCTTGATCCATGTCACCCACGCGAAGACGCTGAGGAACGGAGCAATATATCCGGGGAACCAGTACCACACGAAAGACCCTACTAAGCAATACAAGAACATGCGATACCTGCCAATCGTCCAACCGGCGACCTTTCGTGGGTCAGGGACAGTGCGATCATGCAGCGCGCTAAATATGGATGTGTTGATGAGGGTTGAGGGCCAAATCATGGAGGCAGGGGCGACCAGGAACCGGTGAAAAAAGCCGGCGAAACCAAATCCCAGCATCTGCGTGGAGATACACAGGAGAAGCTCATAGCCCCATCCAAATCGCTGCTTATAGAAAGCTCGTTGGGCCACGATGATGTCGGTAGCATAGGCGGTGCCACCTCCGAAGGAAGCATTAGCCATGAGGACCGAAATAGCATGTTCCTTTTTGCTAAAAGGGCCCGGGTTCAAGTTGAACTTGACGCCAAAAATGCTATATACTTTGTTTGGCAGTAGCATGGCCCATGCTACTCCAATTGGGTAGGCCACAACCTGGACGACATACGAAGGAATGACAATGTATGGCTGACGCAGAGAGAACAGCATGTTCATTGCCGACGCAACGGTTGCTAGGACCAGGCCAATCACCCAGGCACGGATGGTATTGGTATGGCCACCTTCATCAATGTTTGGTACGGCAGAACGTACTTCTGGGTATGGAGAGTTCTCGAGAAGCTCGTTCGCAGTTTCCACCCCAACTTTGCCATCTTGAGTGTTCAACACGTCGTCGAGATCATCGGCGATCTCTTCAGGCAAGTTGGGATCCCATTTATGCTCCTTCTTCAGTTGTTTCAGATGCGAGATAGCCTCATCCGGAGCTGTTTCATCAATTGCCGATCCGGTGGACACGGCCACCGTGGGCTCAGACACTTTCTCCATCGTGGTGCGTGAGAAAGAGAGACGACACCACTGGAGCCGAGCGCGTTAGGATTGGGGGATGGCCGTGGTTGCGCTGACCATTTAGAAAGGGACGGGAAGAAAAGAGGTGGTGGCCCGCTAAGGGAGTGATGGCGATGAGAAGAAAAAGTGACGGAGCCGAAGGAAGTTCACTTCATATATAGACGAGATAACGGCATTCCACTCCTCACGAGCATAAAAGGGGAGACATCAGATATGCCCGATGGTAGCCCGGCATCTTATCGTCCATGAAAGGACAAATTAATTAAATTGGAAATGAGACCCCCGCTATCAAGCCGCCTCCAAACGCCTAAATGGCTAGGCATGATCCGAAGTAACCCTAGCCGAGAGACCATGGTTTTCCCTACCAGGAGGCTAGCTTCAAGGAACCATATCTGGGTTAGGCAAGACCTAGAACTGTGGAGATTCTTCCCAGGAAGAGAGAACGCTTTCCGATCATCGCCAATCGCTTCCAGAAGATTCTTTCGCCAATCTGACATGGACCGCAACCTCCTGAGTGCCTTGAGATCAACGCTGTGAGAAATCTCCCCGCGTTTGAGAAGTTGAATTTGCTACCCAGAGGCGTCATGGACCGAAATCTCTGCGGATCGGCGTTGTTTGGCTGACGCCCCCAAGCTGATAAGCCCAGTGAGTGGTCTACTAAGGGTGGCGTTCCTATGTGCGCCGACGAATGGCATAATCTATGGATGTTTCACCGGAATCCGCGCTAGATAGATAAAAGGCTAGATCAGCGAGTGATTGGAATGAGTAGTCGCCAAATGCGTCGGGCGTCCGGACCGTATCTGGGGTAATAAGCATTGAGATTCCTGCACTAAGGAAGGGTGGGGGTTGAACCTGTATTCCCCTTTCTGAGTGGCTAAGGCCTTGTTGATACACCGAGTCTCAGACGCTTCCAACCGCACAAGTTTGTTTCTGATAAGCAAGCGGAACACACCACATCCCAAGAATGCCACCTCAAGCGATATCATTCGATCAATCGTGTGCGTGACCAGTCTCGCGGCCTCTTTTAGCGCCGTCTTGGACCATATGCTGAGCGGGGTTCTATACAACCCAGAGTTGTTGGTTGATAAATCAAGCCTCGGATAAAACAGGAATGGCAAATCGTCGGACGTATTGCGGCCATGGCCCTAACCGCTTCTGAAAGTTTACTCCGTCTTAGCTTCAATGATAAGGCAATGGTGGAACCAATTCCTCTTTCCCACTAACGGAAAATGCTTGAACCCCAACTGCGGGCACGATTGGACGATGTAACGTGGGCCAAATTTTGGCTTATCTGGCACCCAATGTCTTGCCTATCTTGGCCAGTTCGGTCCTCCCCTCCCATCATGAACCCTCAAATGGTTGACAGAAATTTTCAACACCGGTCATCCAAGCTTGGAATTCAGATTGGAATCATGCCACAGGAACCATTGTTCCCGTACTTAGCATCTTCGGCAATGCTAGGTGTGCTTCGTCTCGTCTGATCCACCCGGTACTCAGTACAACAGGACCAGATAATCCCATAGACGACGGAGTTGGCGTGAGATATGCCTTGCCCTTCGCACGGACGCGGTGTGAAGTAATAGCGTTCCGTAAGCTTGCTCTCCATTCCTTTGCTCCTTTGTTCAAAGTGTGTTAAAAAAAAAAAAAAAGGAATAATGGGTCCTCTTAGCACCCACTTGGGTGAAATTGATGGACGAATAGGCATGCTGGGCCGCCCTGCAGCTAGTGACCCCAATATATTCTTGATCTCTGGACTCGTTCTACGTGACTGTCCCTTGGGCGCAAGGCCACATGGCAAATGGATACCGTCGGATGTCGGATCAAGGTCGTCCGTGACACCATTTCCTGTCTCATCTCCTCTATTATCATTATGTAAAACGGCGAATTTAGAACGACAGGAATAATGTTGATTGGCTATGCTATGTGGATGGCATCATCCATGCGGACTGAGTGTGCTACGGGCTGGAACCATCAACCACACGCATGCCATTGTTACTATTGAAGGTATCATTGGAAGCATAATGCGGAGACAGTCAATGCCTGGAGAGTGAATCTTGCCACGTTTAACGAAGTAGTAGAGAACCGCCTGCGCCATGGCCTGAGATTGGGCTGCCCTTATGCAGTCTAACTAAATGGCACCAACTTAAGGTTCTGTCAGTGTTACATGGGGGCACCTACAGATGACCAACCTGAACCATACGGTTCTGTCGAAGGAAAAAGCTCGTCGTCTACTAAAGCCCATTCAAAATCCGCAAGGAATTGGTCATTGAAGAGAATGGGCTCGGGGCGCTCCGTCAGACCAATCGGTGCGGTCGCCATGTTATCTCGATTGATATCGACGCCTATACCGATGATAAGCTTCAACCTGATAAGATGTCTGAGGTAGTAAGAAAACATACCATCCGGCATGTTTCCCTGGGTGTGGCCCCCTGACCGAAACTGAGGGTCATACTCTTCCCGCCACCACCACACTGCATCCGCCACAGGACTGAGCATCAATCGGCTGCGGATCCGAAGCGTGGTGAAATCACTCCCATCGGACTTGCGGAACGCCCTGGTGCTATTCCACAGTTGGTTTAGGACAAGAACCGTTTTCGCCGCGCCATCGTTGTTTTGGACAGACATCTGTTTAAGGAGGTTAATTGCCGCAAAGAAACGCGACCGGGCCTTTTCCAGATCCAAGCCTGGCATTGGAGCGCCTTTATGTATGCGCAAGAGAGTTACCGAGGCGAGAAGCATCCCAAAGTATACCTCCAGAGGAGTTGCCGCGAGGCTTATAGCCTCTCGGTTCAAATCCTGCACACACTCGACAGCTGAACAGGCCGTATTGAGGAGGCGTCCAAGGCAATTTGTTGAGTATAACGTCTGGGTTTTGAAAAAGTGAAGTATTTGGATGCTCAAGCAACAGGTCTTCGTCTGAAATCGGTCATATGCTAGATGAAAATGAGCGTCTCTCGCCTCACCTTGGGGCAGACTGGTATTACTTAGACATGTCCCCGCCTCTAAATCAGTGACTTGTGTCTCGAATGTACGTAAGACTATATCTAAGGCTCTTTCTTGCTCTAGAGACATCGTTCGTACTCCAACTTCTAGCACGGCCGCACTGCAACGAGCAACCAGCTCCTGGCACTTCCTCTCTAGGACCAGCGACGGCGTTAACTTCTGAATTAACACCTCGCGCAGCCCGAAGTCCTGCTCCAGCTCCATAAAGGAACGAGGCGGGTGCCCCTTTATAATGCAAGCGCTACGATCTCTTAGCATCTAACAAGCAAATGTGGCTACTTGCACCTTACCGTTGGTACACGATGACGCAGCGCGCCCAGAGCTCAGATCGTCGGATCAATTCCGCTTCAGATGGAGCCGGAATCCTTTTCTTGGTGAACTCGTGACTCGACATGGGAATATGCAGTCCGTTCTGCATAGCAATGTGCAGCATACTTCCACTTAGTGGAAAGGTTAGTTCAGGCTTTGTGTTATCCTTCGGCATTGGCCATGTGAGAAAGAGCAACAAGCCCTGTATTATATGCCATGGGGCTGAGGCTGACGCGAGTGAAAGCAATGCCATGTCTGTAATGCTTCGTGCAAGTGCGGTCAGCAATGTCGGGTTTCTGGGGTACGTCCTGCATGCAGCCCCGATAACAGCCCAAAATAGAAACGGACACTGCGCATAGTATGCGTTAGGGGTGGTCAATGGGTCGAGGATGGGAAGAAACTGAGCGTAATGATCAAAGAACCTGGGTCTTGTTAGCAGCGATAACAAAGGTTCTCGTTGGAATACATGTGCACAATTGGAAAATCTCATCTATTTCCTCACCCGTGACTTCTACCCCGTCTAGAGTACGTGACACAGTAGGATCCGAAGGCCGCTCCCCTGAAGCATATTCCACTCGTGCCGCGGGCGGTCCGAGGGAGACGGAAGGTACTGTCGTCGGGGGGTAGGGGACCGGGGATGACTGTGACTGAGGTGTTAAGTGCACAGCCCCTTCGTTCCCTGGTTGATGCGCGCCCAGCTCCGCGGCAGCCGTCAGCATGTCGATAGGTGAGTACTGAGGGTGAGTACTGTGGGACGATCTCAATCTCCGACGCAACTCATCTGTTTCCTGTTCCAGTTCAGACAGTTTCCTGCTTCTGTTAGTTCATGCTTAGACTCTAGGCAATGGGCACAATAGCTGGTTCAACTCACCGGCGTTTGTGCTCTCTCCGAAATGGATCCGAAATGATGCACTGTACTTTCATCTTGAGGCACCTAGTGCATGGCCGATCGGGATTTAGATAGGCATCACATTTGGCCTACAGATATTGAAGTTAGCAAGAACGTCTCGTATTATTCTGCAATCCATAGCTCTATCTCGTATGGCACGGAAATGACCCGCCTTTTGCTGCCGGCACTCGGTGCAGGCTTTCTTCCCCCGTTTCGGTGGGCTTTCCGGTCGATACGTGAGTAAGGGAATCATCGCAATTTTGCACCTTAGGGCGCAACTTACGGTGTATCGCCTTGATCATCCATTCTTCAGCAACTCATCTACATGGTAAAAGCAGCAGCGTGGAGAGGAAGATGCTGATGCTGTCGGCGGTCGAAATGAAGTTGAAGACGGGGCGGAGATAGCGCCATTATCTCCGGGATATCACTGGATCTCGGACTATAGGACAAAGCAAACAAACGGCCACGCTGCAATTAGAAACAGTAGTCTATAGACTCTAGCCTGGCGAAAACCGTACCTGAGCTTCTAACAACCCTCCATACTTGCATAGAGAGGGTCCCCAGCGAATAGCGATGACCCTTGCTGGTTTACAGGATAGTCCAACGCCATCACCCATAGGCACCTGGCATTTTATACTAATCACCTATCCAGGTTAGATTGATCGAATATGCCCAGACATGGAATGGTTTTCATTATACAATTCGAAGATGAAATTGAATCCTACATCGGAGATCACCTGCTGTTTAGAGTATTCCGGAACCGGCCTGCCTTATCGGGCCTTGCCGGCCCATAATTGGTCTAAGGACCGGTCCCGGCTAATACCTTTGCCCTCATGCATTGACTTAGTTACGACTAGTCACTTTCAACACTCGCTACTATTCATTTCTACTAGATCTATCATGGCCAATTTTAATTTGATTATTTAAGCTACAATCCTGCCCATTGAGTAGTGTAGTTCGTCTCTAGGGAGCTTTGGTGTATAAAGATTAACATATGACAATGTCTACTTATATATATTTTCCAAGTCCGATCATTTTGACGCTCCGCACTCATGATAGATATTCAAGGAAAAACCGACTAGCGAGCGTACCAAATGCAAGAAAATTAAGAAATAAAACCAAAAAGAGAGAAGATATTTTCCAACTAAAAGGTGCAGTGTGTCTAAGCTACCCTACCAACTAATAGAATAGAAAGGGTAACTTCGTAGGGAGCAACTGATAGAGCTCTCAAACCACGTAAATATGCTCACGACGGACTGCAAACCAAAAAGCAACATGCTGATCGTACTTCTTCCTGGTGAGGTCATCTGAACGATGCCAGAAAGTAATACGAGCACTGCGTTGTGTTCATGAGGAGCTTGGGGCTTGAGATGGCTTGTGCGCAGCGTTGCAATATGGGGTGTGATTGCCATTATGCAAATCAGAAGACCTGTGCGTGTTCTTTCTTCCCCACCCGCCACAAAGAAAAAAGCTGGATAGACAACTCCCCGATCAGTCTCCAATATGATTTATATTGCGACCATGGTGTCTCACATGCGGCATACTCAGCTGATAAACTATAGAGGGTGATCAAAGAAGCTCTCGGAGTGCACCGTGGGATTCTCGCTCAGATAGTTTGTCGAGGGTTCCACGCTGTCCTAGATATCAGTAACTCGGTGCGAGTAGCCCATGGATGTACATACGATTGGGTAACTGCGTTCGAAATATCCCGTCGCGGATGATCAACAACGCATGCAAAAAGTAGCATTATAGCGGAGACACTTCGTGCCACGGTATTCTCGTGAGATTTGGATTGCACCCATCACTGAGCAGCAAACACTATCTGTATAATATTGTCTGATCCGGCGTGCATGGCTTCACATCCAGTGATTTAACTTACGGTTGGACAAAATGCGTCCAGTACACCTGTAGTTCGAAAGTATGCAAAAGTGAACATGAGAAAATGGTAGGGTCTACTAATGACGATTTGTGATATCTCCGGCCGTTAATATTGTGTGTGCCGGACAAGGCTGTTAACTATTCCAGGGTCTCGGATCCATTACTTTGAATGATCCCAGCGACGTGCCTCTACCTTGATGTTGGATTGCCCCTGTAACGTCTGTTCGAAGCCATATTGTGGCGAGAGTATGGAATGAAACCGCAGCCGACTATGAAGAGGGATATATAAACAGCAATTCACGTATGTAGGAAAAGGAGAGACGACAATAGTCGTAGAATAATGGCCGAATCTACTTTTAACTATTGGATATGGATCACGCCCGAGCGTCGATCGCCAAATTGGAACAGGCTGCTGAGAGCGGAAAGCGTATCACTCCCGAGTACCGTGCAGCCAAATCACAAAAGAGAATGAACCTATCATGGCGAGTATGCAGGTTTGTGATGAAGACACAGTATTGCATATGAGAAGCAAATGTCGATTCATGTGCCAGTGACTGCGAAAAGTATGGCGATGAGGCAGATGAACTTTGATGCAATGAACCATTGCGTAAGCCGCAGATCCACATTACACAAGAGGACGCCAGGGAGGCACAGCTTGCAGAGGTGATGCCGCGGATGAAACATGATCAGCAGTACCTTCTTTGACAAACCGCCTATGGCCGTGCTTTTAACAAACCACCTGGGCCAGCCTCTGTGAATGCTCAAATCCGGGTTATTGCCGATCGAAATGAGGCGTCCGAGCTTTCTGCAAGTTCTGCGGGTGTTCCAGTGTGCGTGACTGAAAAGAAGCTCAACATGCCGAGTCGAAAGTTTAGGAGGACAGAACCTGCGAGATGGCATGACAGAACAGATGCAAGTCAGTGGTCTTGCTTTGGTGGAACTCGCCCTGCTATCTCTGATGCGAAGGGTAGTAGAGTGCGGCGGATAACATTTGAGGATGCGAGACGAGGAAGTGCATGTATTGTTGGGAGTGTTTTGGAAGGCGTATACACTCGGCTTGAAAGCTGTAATCAGACTGATATAGTGCATTGTACCATGTTTCGCGTATGAAGCCGATCTATTCTGTGTAGGTCTAACCGCCCGATTCGTCTGAACCAGACGACCTCTGGTGTTGACAGGAGAGGTATTGTGTATCCACTTCTATTGTTGATAAGAGGGTCGGCTAAATTTATTTACGTGTGGAACAATGACTGTGGATCAGTAAACATCTCAACGTTCCGGTTCAAGCGATCCTCCCAGCTTGTCAGACAGACTTTAACCATGGCCTGTATTTTGTTGCATCGTGCCGCGATATACCTATCGTTCCTCTACATCGCTTGAGTAATGTCCACCCACTTCGGACGACTCAAATGTGAGGAACAGTCAGATCTGCTCACGCAATATATCAAGAGGCGAAATGAAACGGTCGCTCACTATGTCAATCCGAAAAAAAAGTCACAACCGCCAAGTGGTTCCTGTACATTGTCTGAATAGTGACCGCGTTCCCCGCCAATTGAATCCATTCCATAAGATTGACATTCGCCTGAACCGTACAAGACGAGTTCGGAGACTGGCGATTAGAACTCCTTAGTTTCTCTCGAGTATGATCCAGAGTAACAGAGGAAACGAGGGAGACCCTGTAAAACTAATTCTCTGAATGCCAGAGCCGGGTAAAGCCGGGCAGGATTTATCTAACCCAAGCGATAGGTTCTTGGCTGGCACAATACTCGGTATCACAGCCAGTCCAAAATGGGACTGGCCAGTGGAGTAGGTGGTATATAAGATTGCATACATCGGATGGGACTTGCATGACATGCAGCTCTGTGAGAGCTGAAAGGGACCGCAGATGTTCGACGTATGTACGGAGTAGTTCTGCTGCTCAGAAGACATCATGTCATAGCAGGCCTGGACCGACGATCTGTTACCTCGGGTGCAAAATTTCGGTCAAAAGGGCAGACGCCTCGTTAGCTTAGGATATTTTTTCGGCCATCCTCGGATTCATGCATGACAAATTCTTGCATAAAGGGACTGGGTTTGAGACAAGGTTTGCGACCGAATGAAGTGGTTGTCTCCATTATCTATCCGTAGTCTACTCCATAATGGATGATCAAAGCTCCTTCCGAGTGGGGATTGTTGCAGACCCGACCCTGAACTGTACGTACAGCTGCAACCTGGGAGAAAACGGTTTCGAGGACGCAATTGCAGTGGTTGGTTGAGGGAAGATCGAGAAATGGAATCTTGCGTGTGTAAGTGTGTACTTTTGACAAGAAAATAATGTGAGAGAGAGCGTGTGTGAGAATTAAATGGTTTGTTTGGTTTGGAATAGAAAGAAGGTTTGGTGGAACCGGAAGAACGTGACTCGACTGGTTATTAATATTCCCCGTGACGCAAAGACCCTCTTTTCTCCGCCCCTCATTGATTCAACAATGACAAATACCATGGTGGATTTTCCTTTGCACCCATCACACTTCAATGCCAAAACCTAGGGTGGAGGGGTAATCAATTCCTCCTAGAAGGGTCGATGGGCGAAAATGATGGGACAATGACAGGGCTATAAATACCCCTGGGGAGGTCATACATTCTCCTAGGGTCCTCAACACACGAGCACCTTGATCGCATCAATCTACACCAATCACAGCTTACTCGTGACATCAGAATGCCTTTGACTGGCCACTGTTTGTGCAAAGCTGTCACCTACTCGGTGGACGTGGAGGCACCGGCTCTTACTGCGTATGACCACTGTGACGATTGCCAGCGCCAGAGTGGCTCAACTTACTGTATGCACTATGACATCTGTTTCCTACCCCCATTCTTTTCCCCTCCCTTTTCCCTTTCCCACGAGGCACCTAAAGGACTATGGGCTAAGATTTCAACTACTTCACAGCTCTTGTCGCGGTAGTCCCCAAGGACAAACTTAATATCAATGGGCCTGTGAAAAGCTGGGCAGGAAAGGGTTCTTCTGGTAACGCAGTTCACCGGATCTTCTGCTCAGAATGCGGTTCCCCCATTGCACATGATCCCGATGCCGCCCCGGAGATCATTGCCATCAAGGCCGGAACTCTTGATGTAGAAATCAAGAAGAACCTCAAGCCCGTAAATATCCCCTTTTATGACTACAGCGAGAGTTGTCCGCCTTGTTACCCCCGGAACTAACTCGGCATACCTGTTTAGGACACCGAAATCTGGACAGTTAGCAAGCTGCCATTCTGCCAGGAGCATCTCGCGAAGCCCTTCAAGCACATGCCGGAGTAAAGATGCCCTTCAGTGTATCGATGAGGTTGCAGAAGGGACAATTACTTTTGACGAGGGATATCATATAACCTATGTAATTTTGAAATTGGAAACTTATTTTGCCATCTCTCCTTTTGGCTCAATGGGGTACTTGAACTCCATATATAACAGACTATAGACCCACCTCTTAGCGGCCTAGCCATGTGATTGGCAAGCTGTAATCATCGTAAGTGCCTGATATTGGAAATGGCTAATCTAATCCCCGTAAGTGTTTCTCTGTTTGGAATGAATCATTGATTATCAAGCCTCTGTTCCACAGGAATTCGACCGGCAACATAGTGACTTCGAATAAGCATGCGGAAGAAAAGCCACCGATTGCTTCCTTGGACTGAGACGCTGTCTCACAGTTTCAAATATTACACTTTAGAAGCGCCGGATTTTGTCTGATTTGGGATGAAAGATTACGGGAGATTACATGACACCCTATAAATTAGACCGCACTGTCTTGCCTTGGGGGTTATCATGACCGCTCTCTGGGATACAAGACATCTTAAGCTCTGAGAGAGGTTGAAGATTTATACTGTATCTTGTGAAGGACTCATTACTGCATCTTTGGCATTGTATACTACAAAACACCATGTCGTCAGGAACTCTTCATATCGTCGACTCTCGAACAAAGCGCAAGTATGAGGTTCAGATCGAACGAAATGCAGTTTCTGCGATTGACTTCAAGAAAATCAAGGCTCCAGGAGCTGGGACTGACCGAGCAGATCATGTGGCTGGTGGCCTGCGCGTTCACGATCCAGGGCTACAGAATACCACAGTGGTGGAGTCGGCTATAAGTTTTTCGTACGACCAAATGGGTGGACAAACTCGGCACAAGCTGACGTTCTTAGTGATCATGAAAGAGATTTACTTTTCTTTCGGGGCTACACCTTAGCTCAACTATGGGAGAGTGACTTCGAGGACATGTTGTATCTCCTTGTTTGGGGTACGTATCCAACTGCGCAGCAGAAGAAAGAGTTAAGCGGAAAACTTACGGAACAAATGCTGGTGGTTCCACAAGAGGTGCAGAGGACAATCCAAGCTCTCCCGTAAGCGTTCTTGTGATCATGCCTGTGCTCAATGAATGACTTTGAAGGTACAGAAGCACGACGTCTCCCTTGCCTCTCATACTGGCTGGACTGTCGGCATACTTGGCGTGCTTTCCAGAGACAATTCCCGCGTCAGCCCATGCGCACCTATACCAAGGCAACTCGCTTAATTCCGACTATGCAGTTATCCGAGCAGTAGCCGCATATGCTGTTACTTTTGGCCTCGTCAATAGCCATCGGAAAGGAATCAGGTTTCAACTTCCATCGCCCGAGAATACCTACTGCGAGAATCTATTTACTATGGCAGGAATGGTCGACAGGGTTTCCGGCCGTCCAGACCCCGTTAAACTGTCGTGTTTCCGCCGTTTTGCCATGCTCAATGCGGACCATGGTATGGCCTTGACTGCCTTTTCCACAATAGTGACAGCGTCCTCGTTAGCAGATCCTATCTCCTGCCTGATTAGCGCCGTGGCAGCCGCATACGGACCCCTCCACTTTGGTGCTACCGAGTCAGCCCAGCGTGCGCTTCTGGAAATTGGAAGACCGGACAGGGTTCCTGACTTCATCGAGGAAGTGAGAAACGGACACAGGAAGCTATTCGGGTACGGACATCGCTCATACAAGGGCCCTGACCCTAGAGTTCGACCAATTCAGTCGATCCTCAAGGACCTAAACCCATCCTCGAATGGCCTTCTGAAAATAGCCGAGCGAATCGAGCAAGAGGCCACAACAGATGACTATTTCCGCCGAAGAAAACTGTATCCTAATGCCGACTTTTACGGCAACTTTGTTTTCACAGAACTGTAAGTCGCTACAGATCGAGGATATCCGCGCATCTGACTAGGGACTAGTGGGTTCGAACCGGATATGATTCCGGCTGCTATGCTTACACAGCGAATAATGGGGATCATGGCACATTGGCGGGAATATATGCGTACGTGCTGATCGCGGCAAGATATCGGAGTGTTCTAATTGCCTGGTAGTAACACGCGGCAAGTTGTTTCGCCCGTCGCACATCTATACAGGTGATACAGGGGATAACAAGCCACTGCCCAAGATATGATGTTAACAGAAGCAAGTTCAGATGAGCATTATGACACGGTAACATCATGGCCAATGCTCCAGATAGTCTAGGTTTTGACAGCTTGGCCATTATCAAATGAATACGTTATACCTTTTGAACCTAGAACCTTATGTATCTTATTAAGAATAGTAGAGCAGGCTCCGTGGCCCCAGAATCACACTGCAAAGTAGGCAACATCAAGTCCGTATATATCCAAATAACCGTTTGGCACAAACAATATCCCAATCGAAATGAGCAACAGCCAGGACGACCGAGTAGAAACAGGAGCGACAGAGAATACTCCACTACTACCACGATATTCAAGCTTTACTACCAGCCAAAAAAGGATCATAATTCTGACAGCAGCCATAGGATCCACGTTCTCTCCCCTGTCAGCAAACATTTACTACCCAGCCCTCAATTCAATAGCAGACGACCTCAATGTGACCAGCTCCCAGATCAACCTAACTATCACTACATACATGGTAAAGCTTCCCTCCTCAACTATGTCATAATCCTACTCAACTGGAATCTACAAACAGATATGTCAAGCCATAGCTCCGACCCTGACAGGGTCCTTCGCAGACCAAGCCGGCCGCCGCCCGGCCTACATTCTGTGCTTTCTGATATACATAGCAAGCAACATCGCCCTCGCCCTCCAGCACAGCTACCCTGCGCTTCTCATCCTACGCGCAATCCAGAGTAGCGGCAGCAGCGGTACCGTGGTCCTCGCGTCAGCCGTCGCCGCGGATGTCATCACTTCCGCCGAAAGAGGCACATACATGAGCATCACCTCGCTAGCCAACATCCTCGCGCCATCCCTGGGTCCAGTCCTCGGCGGAGTCCTAAGTGAATACCTAGGATGGCAATCGATCTTCTGGTTTCTGGCCATCTCATCTACCATCTTCTTCATCCCCCTCGAGCTCTTCTTCCCAGAGACATGTCGGACAATCGTCGGAGACGGCTCGATCCCTGCATCAGGATGGAACAGATCCATCTTCGATTGGTGGAGATCGAAAAGGACTAGGCCAACCTCAACGCCAATCTCAACAACAACAAGCACCGAGCCACCGCCCCAAACACCCCCATCCAGAAGGGTTAACCCCCTCTCAGCCCTCATGCTCCTCTTCCACCTCCCAACAGGCCTCATCCTCCTCTCTAACGGCCTAATATTCGCAAGCTACTACGCCATTACAGCCGGATTACCCTCGCAACTCAGATCCATCTACGGACTAAGTGACCTCGGCATAGGACTCAGCTTCATCCCCATGGGCGTCGGATCCCTTCTAAGCGCCGCATTCAACGGGCTAGCCGTAGACTACAACTACCGCCGAATGAGAGCAAAATCAGGCCTCACGGTCTGCAAACAAAGACAGGACATCGAGGACTTCAACATCGAGAAAGCCCGAATAGGAGTCGGCGGGCCAATGACAGTATGTACTTACCTCTACCCCTAACCCCAAGTACCAAACCAGGCATAGCCGAATATCCTAATACTTATACTGATGGTTTAACAAAGCTCTTGGCCCCCCTCCCGATCCTCTTCTACGCCCTCACAACATCAATTAACAGCCCACCACCCTTAGCCCTAACCCTCTCACTTATCTTCACAATCGCCTTCACCTTAACAGCAACATACAACATCCTGAACATCCTCCTCGTCGACCTCCACTACACCACTCCCGCAACCGTAATGGCCACAAACAACCTGGTCCGGTGCTTCCTCGGCGCAGCCGCCACAGCCCTCGTACATCCCTGTATGCAGCGATGGGGCGTCAAAGTGACATATTGTGGTGTGGCCGGTATAGTACTGAGCGTGATCCCTTTCCTAGGGATGATATGGGCGTGGGGAATGAGCTGGCGGAGAAGAGGCGTAGTTGGCTGAATTTATGTGGTCCAGGCTTAGCTGTTCATAATGGAAACTTGTGGATGATTGGCTTGTTCCTTGTGGATATTCTAAATAGATTTGTACACGAAAGCACAGATCATCATCAGTCTCAGCTTGGTCATCATGGATTAATTGCCGGGATTTGGAGGTTACACATCGCATGTACGTCGGTTTGATATGAGAGTGCACGATGGGTTAAGGTGGAGTATAAAGGCATTGTGGAGTCCGTCAAAGTCCTTTGCCAAGTGAAGTGAGGTTGAGTCAAGTCATAACTTTTAAGGTCAACGGGCAACAGAACAAGACAATACTATCGCAAATAATGCTCTCTATCCTCTTCTACCTCTGCGCTCTAGTAGCAGCGCAGATAAGCCCTCTCCCACCGAACACTCCAACCCTGTGTCTGCGATACCCTGACACATCGTGGGTTCGTCCTGGAGATACGCTTCTCAAATCGAGTATGGCCTCCCCTCATATCTCTTACTTACCTTACGGATATGGGCCATGGTGTCTAATTCTAGAACCGAATACCAGAAACCCAAACCCTCCCCATAATAAGCGCCCATGACCTAAACCCCAAATCAACCTACCTCCTCCTCTTCATCGACCTGGACGTTCTCTACGAAAAGAACGCAACAACTGTCCTGCACTGGTACCAACCCGACATGGTCCCCGTCTTCAAGCCCAACACCAACACCAAGAGTAACTTACGGCACTTCGACAAGGTCAATCAGTATTCAAACGGAATCCTGGCAAACCAAAGCATCGGAGCCGAATACATCGCACCGCAACCCCCGCCGTACTCGCGCCACCGATACGTGTACCTCCTCTACAACCAGCGCCCGAACTACTCGCTCCCCAAGTGCTATTCTCACATCTTCCCACCCACGATCGAGGCAAGGGGAGGGTTCGATACTCGCCAATTTGTCGATGTGACCGGGCTGGGCGCGCCAGTGGCCGGTAACTATTTCTTCGTGGAGTATGATGGGCCCGTGATCAAGCCGACGGTGACGGTGAGGCCGACGACGACGTGGCTCAGGTCCGCGCCGTGCGAAGGTGTAACACCCACGAGCTTGTTGGCATGTAAGGGGGGAAGGGAATATGCAGGCCGGTACGTAGGACAGCATTAATTGTTGAATTGGGCCCGGTCTAGATGGGCGGCTAAAGGGGGATGAGGGACGTCATCTTCGTGGTACGAATGAGGCGATAGGGAGAATGGTATGCAAGGTCTTTCATGTAGTACTTTGTCACAGTATCACGCACTGTTCACGAAGCTGGAATGCTGTGTTTGGCTGTAGGAATAGGAGTATAGAGTTTATTCAGAGTGCTCTGCGTCATGGCCTTTCGGCAGTTCAGAATTCTAAATATCTGGAACTGCCGATAGGCCGGGTGTGGAACATGGGTAATGTAACCTAGGTAGAGGCCGAACTGCATCATATTGCTACCTTGGTCTTGAAACTTTGAGCCTATTGATACCTAAGGGCGTATTGGAGAAGGTAGCAATGGGGTGTTTTGGAAGCCCCAAGAGGAGCTGGTCGCCCGATATATAGCTTGCAAGCCAGAAGCTTACGGCATGCATTAACTCACACGGCTTCTCATCCATTCGTCCGAAGAGATTATAGGTTTGCAACTATGAATCGAGACAGGTCCTCCAGGGCACTTCCTGATCCACTTCCCAAGAGCGTCAAAGTTCGGTCCACTTGCAATGCTTGCCAACAAGCCAAGATTCGTTGTAGTCATGAGAGGCCGTCCTGCCGACGATGTCAGAAACATCATATAGAGTGTATTTACAGCATGTCTCGTCGCCTGGGAAGACCGGCGAAGAAGCGAGAGAACGCACAGGACGACCACCTGGATAATGGAGGATCAGACCATACCCGTCACCAGGCAAATCGAAGAATTCGAAGCCCCAGGAAGAGAAAAGTAAAGCAAGAACGAGGGCGGGGGAGTGGCAATGATGCAATAAACTCACAGGATGAAGAAGAGCTTATCCTGGAGGAAATGACCTTCAACGACTCCTTGGTAGATAACATCCCTGCCGAGGATACGCGCCTGCCGACCCCACCATTCTTAGATACAGAGAAACCATCGCTCTACGACGGTCTGTTCTATGCCCTGCATAAAAGAATGACGCTAATATAGTAGATTGCGCTATGCAGGTTGTGATACCATCGACTTGTCAGACAACTGGCTACAGGAGTTCATATCTAGTCAGCCGGCCGACTTGACGCAGGACCGCAACTTTTTGGATGCTCTGGGTCTTAACAGCAATGCTGAAAATAGCCTTACGGCAATTCCGACAAGCTTGAAGGATCTTGCTAGCTCGATCACGGGTGTTCAGGCGAGCTCCGAATTGCAAGACCAGCTGCCACTCGCCTATTATCCGACAGGAAATAGCTTTGCCCCATACGATGAACCTCTCAGCGAGGCCGCACATCTGACGGCTGACATGGCTGCCCCTTATGGGGAGATCCTCAGAAGAGATTCCTTAACTTGGTCGCAGCATGTCCCATCAACGAGAAACGATCCTGCCAGATTACCGGTTGCAAGTGAACATACGAATCCGCTAGTGACGAACAAAACTCAAAGGCGCAATCACGAATACGGCCCCTCACCCGAAGATACAAGGTTGACCACGCAGCTTGCGACGCGGCAGTATCATTTCCAGTGCCATGAACACGCTGCCCGAGAGTTAATGCTGGTAGGAGTAACTGCCTCTGGCACATGGCCAGCTGTCACAATTGATTCGATCTTGAACTATCAGAGGACCTTACACCAATTGGCTGATACCATTCTCCGTTGTGCCATTTGCTGCAAAACAAGGTTGAATTTGCTCATGGTCGTTGTGGTTAGCATCGACAGTCTAATAACCACTATCGAGACAATCACATCCGTTGACAATGGTGTCATGGATGGTTTGTTCGCTGAGTACCACGACCATCGCTTTCGAGAATACGGACAAGCTACCGGACATGGGACTACTAATCGGCGGTATAGGAATGCCAGCTTTTGCTTCAAGGCCAAAGTGGAAGAGTGTCCCTTGTTAGTGGGTGGTTTCCCTGTCCCATCTGAAGAAAAGTTCACGTTTGTCAAGCAAGTTTTGCACACCAGGCTCTGTGGTTTGTCGAATATCATCGCTCGGATCCAGTTTTGCACCCAGAGGATACTGGCCATTCCGGCATCTTCGGGTAAAGTAAGCATGATGACGGAGACAGAGCAAAGGTTGCAGTTGATTTTGACAAAGATGAAGCCGCCGGCGAGGCGTTGAAGACGGACCAGCTCGCTAGCTCACATCTTACACTTAATTAATATTCCGTTATTTGTTATAATAGGAGTTTAATGGGGATATTCGTTTCCCCGTCTCTTGATATGATTAGTACGCAATCCCCATTTGAGGGATGATGCAGACAGCATAACTGGATCCCGCTATGATTTAATTCACCCCTAAGTTTCGGGGGACGCGGGTGCTTATTCAACGTAGAAAGGTCAATGCCAGGAGCTAGACCGATATGCGCTTTGGGCTAGGCTTGACCGTTGCTCGGAAGGTATGATAGCCACATACTATTGCTTTTCGTGAACTGCTGTGCGACCCTTCTGTGGGTCTGAAGATGTGCACGTTCCACGACGAACTGGTCCTATAAGGAACTAACCAAGAAAGCTCCCACCTTTGCATAAACCTGATGACATGTGAAGCTGCTAGCATCACCACATAGCTCAACCCCGTATCTCTATTGGTAGGTTACGAGCACTCATGTGAGTGATGAATGGGTTGCAATGCAATCTTCAGGTCGACATCGCCCCTTTCATTTCCTGATTGAGCATCGGGTGGTGTAATAGCTCGCTGATCCCCGCGATGTCTGACCCGGTACCCTGCGACGCGAAATGTCAGCATATACCAGCGACACCAGTGAACCCGTCGAGACGACTTTCGCAAATTTCACTGTCCATGGCTAGTGTGACGATGGATCCGTCAATAATTCCGCCACAGATGGAGACCGAAAACAGCTGCAGGTGTTCGATGGAGGCCTTGCAAATCTTGGAGGAGCTTCGTAGCGTTCACACGGTTGTGGAATTGGAGACCATCCTGGACTTGGTTCAGCGTGTGTATGGACAAGGCCAGGCTATGCTCAACTGCCAGGACTGTCGCATAAGCCCTCCTCAATCGTCGTCCCTCTTAACTATTCCCGCACTGGCTGAACAATGTCTTTCCTTATTTGAGGCTGTTTGTTCAGCATACAGCATCACCTGCAAGAACTGCCTCTTCGACCCTAATATCCTCGCGTTTGAGCAACCCTTACCCCAATTTATCTGCATTCGAAGCAAGGTACAGCTGGGAGAGACAGAGCTGGACGAGGCCGAGACCGGCATGTTAGTTCGAACGCTTCTGAATCGCAATTCAGCGAGGCTGTTCGGGTTGTTAGAAACTCTTCAGGGTGCGCTTCGCGTGCTATCCACGGATGCCAGCCAGAGCCACCGAGCTGGGACGGCAACGCTCCGGGCATATGAGTCGTCCGTCCAGTCAACCATGCACCGGTTCAGAACATTCATGGAGCAGATGCAGGTCGAACAAGGTACATAAGCCGTTCCTTGCCAACGTATGATAAGCTAATTGCATCAGTGGGCTAAAGAAATAGCAAGACTCGGCCGCTCGTTTCGACGATCCTACCACACGCATACAGACTCCAAGAAGCATCGTTCTCTCACTCCGATCGGATCATTCTTTTCTAGTTATCGTGAGGCAGCGATTGTGTATTCGAGCGAGGTACAAAGGAAATACCAGAAGCAAATCAATTCCAGTCCGTCTCCTTATTCTCGATATCACTTCCCATGTAATACAATAACCATACGCTAGCTCATAGTATAGCCTGGATCCTTCAGTCGTGAGATCCTGTCTTCTGCAGGGAGTGTTGGGGGGTTGGGGGGTCTAGTTGGGCCAGGGTCGTTCAAAGTGTCCGATCCACTGACCCCATCCGACAACTTTGCCAGCTATCGCATCTTTGATCTGCGCCTTGCTGACGCGCTCTGGGCGGTCGAACCGAAGAGACTCACCGAGAGCAATGATGGTAAAGATGTATCGATGCATGCCGTGGCCCAAGGGAGGTGCAGGGCCAATATATGAATTTCCAAGAATATTAGGAACGTATCTCCAGCCAGACTGAGTGACATAATCTTTCGTTCTTTGGTCATCTTCGATATCTTCAGGGAGCAGGTTGGTGGTCGACGGTGGGATCGCGTAGAACAGTCCATGCATGACCACGAAGCAAGGGATGGGAGGATCAATGTCTTCCGAGATCAAGACATACTCCCTGACCTCTACCTTCGGAGGAGGCGTCCAGCGTAATTCCGGGACGCTACCCTTCTTGTCCGCGGCTAGACAAGTGTGGTGTGGGAGCATGGGGGAGCCCGAGGGTCCACACTCCGTGGCCTCTAGTTGCATGTTGGACTGAGGAAGATGATTAAATGCCTTTGTTCGAATGATCTGTCCCGCATCGTGACCGCGAATGCGATAGAGAAGCCGTCCAAGGAAGTACTGAAGATAGGTAAGAATGCCCGCCATGATGATATATTTTCCAGGCGAGAAGAGAATCTAGAAGAGATGTCACTGAATTAGGTATGATCTGAAGAATGAAAGACGTGGATGGTTGAGGGAGGACTTTATAGTTGAAATGAGCCACCGGTGAAGAAATGAAGAAATAATGGAAGGGACGCAGGCTGAACCGGCCCGGTACCGGCTATGAAGGACAATTAGGGTTACCTGAGGACATGTGTTCTATATACATCAATACGTACATGCTAGAGCCAAAAGCGACGACTCCACTGGCCGATCAGCAAATGCAAATACTACTGTATTGTTTAATGAAGACAATGGATAGGACCGGTTTAAAGCTAGCACTGAACCACCATAGGAGGGGAGCCAAAGATAGACGTTAACCCAAGAATATTCCCTTTCCTGGTGAGACTTCACACCCTCAAAAACGGGAAGGTCGTGTTCTCTGGCAGTGTTAATTTGGTTTCGAATCCTTCCTTTTGAGCTTCAAAAATCGAGACGTATTGGTCATCCTGAACGTCCCTATTGCAAGCTGCTTGCAAGTCCTAGCCAACAACTTCGGCCGTCCCATTCTAGCTCACGTAGATTTCGTTCCCTTCATGATAGAGATCAGGAGGCGTCTTAGGGTTGCCGGACCCGATTACGTTTCAAGGCTCGATAGACGACAACTTCTCCTGTCCCAAAAACCTGATTCAGGCCCAAAGTGTATATCGCACAATAAATCTCCATCAGCAGAGAGTTCTGACCAGCCTGTATTTACCCCATACTCTAAAATCACATTGCCGTTGTCTAATACCTACATAGAGCCCCGTGTCTCGGAACCAAATTTATGAGGGCTCAAGTACTCTTGTCTTACCTTCGCAGTTATTTCCTCAAGGTCCAAGTCAATGATCATCTCTAGAGTCTTATAAGGCGCAGCGAATAACACTGCATTGTCGTACAATATAATTGTAGAATTTCCGATGAATCTCGCGTGGTGTTGTATTCTGATACTCGTGGCCCGGCCACCAGACGGATCTCTGAACATATTGCGTTTTCCTCCTAGTATCCAGATAAGTTCATTGGTGTCGCCAGCAATGCACGCGATAGCGCTTGTATATCACGAAAATACAAGATAGTTGCCATAATTGTCCTTTTCGATGTTATTAATATGATGAGAATCCCATAATATATGCCGGCTGGTTCCATTTCCGTCGGTGAAACTATCAAGTCAGCGATATTCCAGTGGTCAGAGCAATACCACACATACAGAATTTTACCGGTCTCTATGTCAATTCCTTGGAAGCCACTGTCACGCATCCAACCATACTTTGGTCTACCTACTGCGGACAAGTCATAAGGAATATGCTTGCTAACTGTAAACAGTGCAGTTTGGTTCAAGGTAATCCACAGCTCATGAGGATCTACGTGCCAACCATGGACGGAATATAATAAGAATACTTCTCTATAATGGGTGTCTAGCTGTTGGGTCTTCAGTTATGCACTGCATATTCCGAGAGATGGGTGGTATACTTCCCATGATGTATGTAGCTTTATCAGGGTCGGAATCTAGAAACATTGACAGGGTGAGATAGGGCCTGTCTGGATATATCTGCACATCTATAACCCATGTCTGCCCATAAGGTTTAGCCCAAACCACATTGCCTCATTTGTCAAGTACCATAGGACCAGGCGTGGTGACTTCAGTGCCAAAGAGAGCGATCAGTGTGTATTGACCATGATCACAGCCATTGTCATATTTTAAACGTTCAGGATAGGGCCCGCAAAACGAGGCATTCCAGCAGCTGCCCTTTATGCAGGACGGAGCTGACACTTGTGGCTCCTTCCCAAGCCACACAGGTAGCGAGGCTACCCATCCCTGCTGCATTTCTGGCCTGAAAATGCAGACTTCCGTAATGGAATGAGTTGGCGGGCTGGGACCTGGAGGCTAGTTGGCTGTGGCGGCCCGGAAGTGTTGAAGTGCTCCTGGCACTAAATGTTTATTACTATTGCAGACTTCATATGCCACGAGATTACAAGTATGGCTTCTAAGCATACTTTTACTTCCCCCTTGCAGTACTCTGTTTGCATTGGCTGGACCAATAGATTTTTATAAGAGCGCCCCCCCCCCCCCCCCCTCCCCGCCTGATAGGGTCGCTTCAAGGCTTCAAGGTAAACTTACTCATACGACAAAGGTCAAGTGATGTAATCTCTTCGTTGGACGCTAGCCCACAGTGTGGTCATTACTCTAAGTGAGCTAGGGCTCATAAAGATATGGCATTGCTCCCACGATGTTCAAATAACTATTCTGCAACGTTTCGTGCGGATGTTTGCCTACGGCTGTGCAACCCTAATTCTAGCATCTTTTCTGTCAGCCATAAGTAGCCCCAAATCCTACATTAGCTTGTTTATGTCCCTCACCCTAGCTAGCGATTTGATCATTAGCTTGCTGTTAAGCTTATTTGCAGATAGCATGGGTCGGAGGATTGACTCTAGCAATCAACTCTTCTAGAATGATAGCTAGCGGTAGTCTTCTCCGTGGCTGGGAATTTCTGGATTTTATTAGCGGCTGTCATTCTTGGAGTTGTGAGTCCAAGGTGGGTTGGTTGAGCGTCTACGAGGAGAACTGTTAGATGTGTGCTTTTACCGCATAGCTAATATCGATAGAGTACTGGAGGCTGGGCCGTTCCAAGCAATTAAGGAGTCAGCTCTTGGCCATCTCATCCCGCGCGAGGCGTTGAACGATGTGTTCACCTGGTATCTCCTGTCTAGAATTACCGGGAGTGCCTTATGGATGGTAGCTGGTGAATAGCTGACTCAATCCCTGTATATCTCTACGCAATGGCCACCTATATACGCATTTCATTTTGTCTCTTGATATATACAGTAATTAGGCTAATAAGTCTCCTCACACTGAGACTTAGCAAGAATATAGAGCCTGCTAAAGATAGATCTGGCTTAACCCAGCAACAGCTGGAGGGGGGCACCGGGGAAAGCAAGGAGCTGCTACTGCACGACAGGGCCCCTAAAGAACAGGCCAGCATAGCTGAGAGGGGTAAAAATGAAGGGTACGTTGTATCTGAGAAAAGGCAGTTTTCATGCTTTATAGCAGAACTATTGATACTGCTCCCTATCGACTCAGTCGCCTCTGGATTAGCATCAGTGTAAGGATCACTCCATGACAGGCGATCCATTTTACTGACAAAATCAGGGGTTGGATGACCTATTCTTAAAGAACAAATTCGCCCTACCAGAAAGTAAACTAGGTACTGTGTTTTTCAGTTACTATAGTTTCTGCTTGTCCTATGATAGTCTCGTCCTCGATCGCGAAGGGCGTTGGAAATGTCAAGGTATACCTCCTCATCTATCCTAAAAGCTGAGCACTCATTTCTGACACTCGATTCAAAAAAAAAAAAAAAAGAAACGAAATCTGAAGACAATGAAGACAATGGCCTTGACCCATCTCCCGACACCCGTTCTACTAGCAGTGTTTCCTCTGTCCTCCACACTCTCAACCACCCTAGCCCTGCTAGGTCTCTGTGGGTTGTTCCAAAACATAGATATTGCTCCCCGTGGAGCATTCATCCCCGCTAATCTTCCGCCTGACAGGCGCACGGACATTCTTGGTGTTATCAATATGGCTAAATCATGTGGCCTGTGCTTAGGCCCACTTGTTACCGGGAAGCTGGCAGACCACCAGCTCTTAGGGTATGCTTTCATTCTGGCTGGGACCCTCAAGATTGTTTATGACCTTGGTGTACCGTTAGCATTTTATGGCAGAGATTCTCTCGACGCTCATCATACGTCGCAAGGTTGTGACGATGAGTGAGGTCAAGGAAAAGGAAACATGAGGATAGGGAAGGATGGAAGGAATGCTACTACGTAAAATGTCATAGCACAGGCTTCACACCGCTAAACTCTGCTTTTCGATGCTGTGATATGCCTAGGAGTAGAAACTATGCATCTTTACAATCAGCCAGCTGCGGATATTCCGGGTGGCCAGCTCTATTAACCCAACACACCGCCAGTTACCCGATTTTCTACGGCATTTACGGGTACGGAAATAGTAAAGTTGAGCAGGCGAATATAGTACGGGCTATAATATTAGGAGCTAGTTCGTTAAGGGGAGTTGACATGGAGACAGCGTGTCGTCAGGGTTTGGCCAAATGTATTGCCTCTCAACTATCCCTCGCTACCAAAAGCCTCCGAGTTGTATGGAATGAAAAGCCAGTTGAGGCTCTCAAAAGGCAAGCTAGTTCCTCCTAGCCGCTTTTCGCACAGACTGGTAAAGAACTCGTTCTGTGCAACAGTAAATTACACCTTCCATGATCCGACCTTGCCGTTGCGGAAGAACCCTCCTTAGCATCACCAAGTACATCTTCGGCTTTCATGCTATCAAACCGGACCTTCGACTTAATATCAGCAATCTTCTCGGGTGTCAAGTCAACCCCAAGAAAGCAGCAATATTGCTCAGCTCACCATCTAGGTCAAGCTTCAAATTCTCATATCTGAGGAATAGGATATTATCGGCGTCCTTGTGCTCCCACCAGCTGTGGACATGATCAAACCAATCCCCACGCTGAACCTTGCCCCCGACGAGCAACTCAAAGCAATGGTCCCAATCCCCAGAGTAAAACCCGGACCGACTCTTCTCCTTCTCAAAGTGGGAGTACGAAGTAACCACGTCCTTCGTATTATGCGCAATATATATATAGCGGCACTTGTTCTGCGCCGATGATCAGATCACGAGGCTCTTTTGCATGGCGTTCGCCCACGTACTCGAATACTCTGAGTTTGAAATGCTGCTCAGTCTTAGTATTAGTGGGCTTGGCAGTGACGGTCGTGTTCATTTTGGAGTCTGCACTTGCAAGAGCAGGTGCTATAGTTGTTACACGATATGGTATGATGGATGTGATATGTGTAAGGTGGGCATGTTCTGCCTTACTATCTTTATACCATTGGGCTCAACCATCCACGCCGACTATCTACTTTTTCTTCCTATTGCATGGCCCGTAACTCCTTACATATCGCACAGCGAGACCAACACCGCTATCCAGCTTGTCTTACCGCAAGTCCCTACAGCGCGCAGTGCAAAATACGTGTTGTCAATGTAGCTAGTAGCAGTCGTCCGAGCCACAATGAATGCCCGCTGTGAAGAGCGGCCCGAAAAGTAGCAAGGCGTGCCAAGTGACACAAGGGGTTCATATGCAGAAGCAGTCCAAAGGGAACATGCGTGCCAGGAAAGAGGTTCCTGGTGCGATGGCTTCTACATGATCGCCGACATCTTTACATGGCTAATAGACCTACTCAATGTCGAGAGGAGTCGGTTGAGTAAGGCAGAGCTTTCCCCGCAAGCTAGCATTGCGGCGCCCCTGGAATGTGGGCAAAGCAATTTGGGGCAGCATACTTGGCAAATTTCAAATGGAGGGAGACGTTTAATGTGGGGATTTCCATGGATGCAAGATAGCACTTGTCGCACAGGGCGTCCTTATCGATCCTTGCGCTCGAAGGAGCAGCAAGGGTTTCCGAAGAAGGCACGGTGAATGTAGGCAAACGTCTACTGAAAGAGGATGGAGAGGGCGATCTGAGTAGGGCACTCAGGGTTCTATCCCCGAATTGTCATGTGCCGTTGTTGAGATAGACAGTCTCAGTTAGCCCTCGTTGGACGAATGATCAGTGAGCACGCACTGTTATCAGTACTCGGAGCCCCAAGCATGTGTAATAAATAGATACGGCACGGGACGACGACCAAGGCCGATATCCTAAGCACATCCCCAGAGTGCTACTGGCATCTCAGCTAGTGATCTTTCGTCCGCTCGCGCTTTCTCAACCCTTCCGAGTGTTTTACCTTGCGCATTCCCTAGCCAAGTTATTATTAACACTCAAGCTGGCACCCAGTTGCACACGGATCTGGAGAGAAAAGTCCCAACGAAATTCCCAGCCGCTATGGATACTGAAGAGAGTTGATGCCGCTTGTTCTTTTTGCTCACATACTCCCGCAGGGTTTCAAACCTCCTAGTTCGAATACTCTTTCAGGATGATCAACCCAACATGGTTTCGCCATAGGGAGGAGGCTATTTCTTTCGTCCCGCTGTCGTGAACAGCATCCTTCCATGGACATGGAAGGATGCTGTTCACGTTGACGAATAGACACCGGAAGAAAGAGCTCAAGCTATGACAACGTACCAGCAATGCTCCAGGAACAGGATAGATTTTATAACGCGAGCCAAGTTGGAAAGAGACAACGTATTCATCAAAGAGCATATACACTTCATAGGAGACCCCACTGCCATGTGTGACATTGTCCATAGTATACCAGGTTCAAACCAGCCTATGTGGACGGCCGGCGTGTTTAGGAATAACAACAGTGTGTAAAATGGGCCTGGTATGCTTGTAACGAATCCAACAGTTCTCTCGGATGCTATTCTGAAGGGATTTCTGCCTGTTTCCTGATTAGGCATCCAGCTTTGACGGTTCTATCTTATTACCAGGATTTCATAGACTTACACAGTGCCGCTGCGGTAAAGACCATGGAGACTAGTCTCGTGGTTAATGTAACTCTACATTAGACTTGTTCTCTATACAACTGGTGCATACAAATGCTGGGTGGCGACAATTTGCGTGTTACGCCTAGCTGGTCTGCAAAACAGAATGCTTGGCCTATAGTGGTGGGCGCCGATGTCATGGAGTGATTGTTGAGAAATTTTGCCATATTACCGGCATGGATCCTTTGAAGTTTGAGTGGATGCCACTCAAAGAGAGAGAGCTCAATGAGATTGGCGATCCCGTGAGAAGAATGCGCGGGACATTGTTCACTTCTGCTGGGCTCGTAGAAGGGAAGACCTGGGGTCCTACTCGCACGATAGATGCCAGGGTGTGTAAATGGAAAGAGTTCGGACAGGAAGAAGCGAACTGGACGGAAAATGGGTGAAAAAGAGATGCTGGACTATGAATACCTGAGAACGAAACGTTTCAAGTTGGCTAATTGAGCCTGGAACGTGCGGTATCCTTGATATCATTATCTTCCTCTTGATGCTATGGGGGCCTATGGTCGATACACTCTCAGAGCTCTTGCATCATAATTCATCTTCTACTTCAATGGAGGAATATCCCAGTTGTAAACTATACATTTCCGGGTGCGAAGCCCACAGCATGAGCAGCCATAAAAACAACTGGACAGGCGCACAGAGTAATTTTGAGACGGTTATGCACGATATCAGGCGCACAATGTGAGATACGATACCTTGTAATTAAGGACTATCTCACTGAAGCTGGTGAGCGACTTGTTGACTATACCTGGGATCCACGGTATGGTGCATATTTGTCCATTTATTCTTTCGATTGTTTTATTATGAGACAGTTCGCAGTATTAAATGGACAAATTACATGCTAGAAAGCATTCGCATGTTATTGCACATGGGCAGATGTCTTCGACAATATGTTGAATCTAAGGAGTTTCGTATTGATCAATTTGTGTCAAGTGAAGCAAACCAACCGTGGAACAGTCTCAGACAATTTGGGCTTGTATTGAATGTAGCATAGGAATATATCGAAGGGATAAGAGGTTCCAATCCCTACCACTGTAGTTCAGGGTGTGTCTCAGTCAGCTTCCCAATAGTGGCATGAGACATCGCGCTCAGTCGTTTCCGCTCTGTCATCGCCTCAAACAGTCTGTTGCCAAACTTTCTAAAGGCCGACGCAATACCACCATGCTTGAAAAGTTCTCTTTCCATTTGACTTAGGTTAAACTTGAATGTTTTTCCTTCTAGTCTGATGACGCTATCGTTGAAATCAATCGCAATCTCGGAACCATCTTTTGCAACGTCGTGGAAAGATTTGTCTGGAATAGTAATGCCGAGAAGTCCGAGATTTGGCATGTTACGCTGAAAGATGAAGGCGAAACTTTCAGCGATAACACATTTGACGCCGCAACCTCGAAGGTGCAGGTTAGACAAATATATAGCAACTATAGGGCAATTTGTGTCAACATACCCAACAATGACATGACGGCTTGTTCGCGAGACGATCCGCACCCAAAGGCCTTGCCAGCAACGACAATGTCGAAGCCCTTTTTGACACGATCGCGGAAGGTTGGGTTTGTATACTGTAGGCAGTGCTCTCCCGCTAGCTCGTTAGTCACCATGCTAATCAGGAACTCGGCGGGCGCAAGCTTGAGATGAATCTTAGTCCAATGCTTGTACAACTGTTTCTAGAAGCCAGAAACTTACTGCATCGGTATCAATAAAGTCCCCAAGGACTTGGACTGTCCCTCTGAGAGGGTTATGGCCTACCATAGGGGTGTAGCTTGGCGGGGTACCGATGGCTTGTCTCTCTGTCCTGCCATCACACCAAGTTAACGAAGGCCCACGCGGCTCGACGTATCTTATGTTCTCCATTATGCTTCGTGCAGTATGCGAAGTTCGAACATCTCGGAGTGTGGCCCACCTATCCACGTCGATAGCATCCAGGAGGCGGGTGGGATCGGCGACCTTCATCTCAAATGATGACGCAGCAACAGTAGCAGCAGATGCAAGGTGCCCGATCGATCCTACAAGAGGCTTAGTACAGGTCTCTAGTAAAGTAGCACGGGTGGCTATGCCATACCTTTCCCCATGCGGTTCTCAAAGTTTCGATTCTGAGACGATAGCCATACCTCGCCTACATCTGCCTGATCAGCGGACATGCCAACACAGTAGCTGCACCCTGGCACGCCGATCTCGAAACCTGCCTCTTCATAAACCTCAACGAGGCCTAAATTACGAAGTCTATTCAAAATTGGCATTGAGCCAGGCACGACTTTTCTCTTCCCCTTTTGTGACGGCTTCTTGTCACCTTTGAGACCCTGCTCAAGTACCAAGGCCGCAAGAATGAGGTCTTCTTCACCGGTTGTACAGGCCCCAATGAAGCATCCGTTTAACTCCATGCCTTCACAGTCGGTAACGGGGGCAACATCATCCGGGTTGGGATACTTTGCGATGAACGATTGGACTTTGGTAAGATCTATCTCAAATGTTTTAGCATATTCCGCATCTTCATCTGGCCTCATATAAATGCTGTTAGCCCTGTGTCGAGAGACTGGGCGTTTTTGTAAGAATTTGTGCGTGATCTCGTCTGGGACAAAAACCCCCGTGACACCACCGAATTCCTGTGTAAACCATGAGTAAGCATCTTTCTTGTCTGCGGGGGTGTAGCCGTACTGCGGTCATATTTGATATGGCAAATCGAGCGTCAGAGGATAGGTATTTCACTCCGCTTCCACTAAACTCCACAATTCTTTCGGATGCGACAGTATTCCTTTGCAACTGCTGGAGTATATAAAGAATTGTATCCTTTCCACCAATACCCAGTTTTGGCTTTCCGACAAGCCGGATGTGGATACATTCCGGGACCTTGAACCATGTCTCACCAGTGACCAGGGGCATTGTTACATCTGCAGCACCAAGGCCTATGGCCAGACATCCAAGTGCTCCTGATGAACAAGTGTGTGAATCCGACCCAATAACAAGCATACCAGGCTGTGCTCGCTCGCGATAGAACTCAGTGTGCAATATTGTATACTATACTAACCTATTAGATCAGTCAGGGGACGGGGTGATGGTGAACTAACATTCAGCCCTTGGTAGTCGGTCAGCTTGAACACTCGCTTCGCTCTCTCACTCGCGTCGATCAACGACTGGACCTTCGGGAGGTTATTGATCCGAGGGTCAACTACATGATCTCCTGCAAGCCAGAACCGATCGTTACGAAAGATTCCCGGCTTTCCGAGCCGATTGTATGTTACCTCCATGCCCTGAGATAACCCATCAGCGCGGTAGTGACGGTGGAAAGAAAAAGCTTTGAATCTATACTCACGGCCCAGGAAGCCTCCGAAGCAATTACCCAATCAACATCAACACGTATTAGGTCTCCAGGAGCTACTGACCCCCTCCTATCAATATCATGCAACGAGAAGATCTTCTCACTAAGGGTCATGCCCCTCCGACCTTCAGGCCTGGTCGATAGCGGATCCGGTTTTGATTTGGTCCTGTCTGCTGAATTGAGGGCCTCCAACCATGCCGACACCAGAAACAAGATCTCAGCCTCTTGATCCACCGCAAGCTCGGTATGTTCTGACAGACCCAGGCCGCCCAGATCAGGAGGCTGGGCGCAGATTGCAAGAACATCGGCCAGAGCATCAGACTCTCGCGCATGACCATGGACTCGAATGATTGATTTTACAAAACTCAGTTGCGTCAGGAGGTTGCCTTGCGCCGATGGACAGTGGCCTATGAGGCTATTAGTTGCATCTTTTTCTGTGTACCTGCTGGAGGGGCACATTTCAGACCGCAAAACCTACTTTCCACGTTGTCGATTGTAATCTTTCGTACGCTATGCACAATCTGATAAATTTCTTTGATCCTTGATTGAGCCATGTTGCATTGTCGTCATGATTAGTATGCACTGACGGGCAAAAGTCAAGTCAAGTTATCGCCAGTCAGTATGGTAGCAGCAGGAGGTCACGCGTAAAGCATAAAAGGGAAGTACAATGTCACATGTAGTGAATGAAGTATCACCATTTGTAATGCTATCACTGCAATTACCATTACCACGCTAGAACCACGGTCCACGTTTTATCGAGGATAAATACATCCCAAGGATGGGAGAGGGTCCATGTGAAGCGCCTTAGGCTTCAGGCAGCTTCTTTAGTGCCTTAGGGGACTGTGTATGCTCAGGAACCATAACATCCGACAGCTTAAAGACGGAAAGGTCATGTTCCGGGACCAGACAATGCAGTGTGGCGGCTGAAGTATGACGTGTCTTCAAGGGTGTAATGAAAGTTTCGTACACTGGTTAAATCACCAAGGCGTAACAAGACAAGCGACACGAATCTACCAAGTAACATGAAATTAGAGTACTTCCGGGTATAGATTACTACCCCGCATGTAAAAAAAGCCCCCTCCAAGAGTGATACCATAAGGCATATGTAGATGCACTCAGATATATATAGTTTGCCGACCGAGCTACCCACATTGCATGCATTGATTTAAGGCAATTTGCGAATAACGTCTACAGTACAAATATCTTCCATTTATCTACGGGGTATGCATGCAGTGTATGGGTGATGCTTGCTTTGATCTATTTCTAGAGTGGAGACCCCTGTGACATAAGGAATAAGGTACCGTGATGTTGTCAGCATTAACCCCAAGCGGCTTAGATCCGGGGGATTTCTGGGTTGGTGGGGGCGACTCGAATACGCCCGGAATACGAAGCCAATCATTTGCCGGCGTGTTAGAGTGCCTTACGATACTCCGTGCTATCTCTACCTACTACCACCACAGAGTACTATACATCAATCAGGAGAGTTATACAGCTGAATGGCTTTGTAACGTGGTGGCCTCGATACCACATAATACTGTACGTAGCTAGCCTTCTAATACGGATACGATTCAACTAACACCAATGAAGGAAAATAATAGTAAGTCTATGAAAGAAGGACAGTATTGAGTTCTTATAGACAAACGACGAAGTTTGTACCTTGCGAAGGTCAATGATCGGCTTCGGCCCACTTCAATCCCGTCCAGCACATGACGACACAAGGCCAAGGGTTGAGTCGCACCTGCCAAACGCTGCAAAAACAACATGAGTACAAAGAGCTCGGCTGCCCACCGGCTCGGTTAGGGACCAGCTTCCTCCTTGTCATTATTATTCCTTGGTTATGCTTTGGTGGTCGGATCTCTTCCCTCCCGTATTCCGTCTTACCCTATACTTCGTTATGTTTTATTTTTCGCCTGCCGTGGTTTACTTGGCGATGATGTTTTCTTTCCTTTCTTGTATATTTTCTCCTACCCTTGTTACTCCTTCGTATTGCTGTTCATGATAGGGGTCTTTTTATTGCGTGTCGTTCCACCCTTATCGACTTTCTACCTTCTTCGAAATTTTCTGTTCCCTGTTTGTACTTGATGTGAGATTATGGTAAGCTCCGGGCGAAGCTTCCATCATCTTGCAGCATAGCACAATGGGCCTGCCTCCAACACCTTCAACACCTTCTGGACACATGGCGACGCATGATGTGGAAAGCTCCTCTCATCGCCAAACTGGCACTCACGTTGACCAGATCACAGCACCTACCGTCCACAAGGCGGAGAGCTCGGACACTGCTGATCCCGACTCAGAGGGTGGCATTGAGCAAGAGGGCCAGGCCAAGATCACTGAATTAGCACGAAGCCTATCACGTCTCTCTCAGAAAAGCGTCAGTGGGGATGGTGTCAACCCCTTTCTTAACGTTAGCGACCCCGAGCTTGACCCGAACTCGGAGCAGTTCAACTCGCGCAAATGGACCAAGAACTTACTGCACATCACATTACGTGATCCAGAGCGCTACCCCCATCGCACGGCGGGTGTCTCGTTTCGAAACCTTAACGCATTTGGCTATGGAACGGCTGCCGACTACCAGGCGACAGTATCCAATGTGTGGCTCAAGGCAGTAGGGTGGGTTCGAGGACTAGTTGGAGGTGGGAACAAGGTTCGGATTGATATTCTGCGCAACTTCGAAGGCTTTGTCCGGAGCGGTGAGATGCTAGTAGTTCTTGGTCGACCTGGCAGGTAAGTTGTCCAATGCGCGATCTTTCAAGCCAACTGTACTCAACTCTTACTAACGCTGATACCCAAAGCGGCTGCTCCACCTTCTTGAAAACTATCGCTGGCGAAACACACGGGCTATGGCTCGACGAAGGAACTGACATTCAATATCAAGGGATCTCATGGGACGAAATGCATAGTCGGTTTCGCGGAGAGGTCATGTATCAGGCAGAAACAGAGATCCATTTTCCACAACTTACCGCAGGCGATACCCTGCTTTTCGCTGCCCAGGCTCGGGCGCCAGCAAACAGACTACCTGGTGTCAGTCGGGACCGGTATGCAACACATATGAGGGATGTCGTTATGGCCATGTTAGGTCTTTCGCATACTGTGAATACGTTAGTGGGTAATGACTTTATTCGTGGTGTCTCGGGAGGGGAACGCAAACGAGTCAGCATCGCCGAGACGACGCTTTGCGGGAGCCCGTTGCAATGCTGGGATAATAGCACAAGAGGGTTGGATAGCTCGACCGCTCTGGAGTTTGTCAAGAACATACGTCTTTCTACGGAGTATACTGGATCCACGGCCATCGTAGCAATATACCAGGCTAGCCAAGCCATCTATGATGTGTTTGATAAAGTCATCGTTCTCTACGAAGGCCGACAGATCTATTTCGGCAGTGCCCGCGACGCGAAGCGGTTTTTCATGGACATGGGGTTCGACTGCCCAGAACGACAAACCACAGGGGATTTCCTAACGTCGTTGACTAGTCCGACCGAGAGGGTAGTTCGTAAGGGATACGAAAGTCTTGTTCCTCGTACACCGGATGAGTTTGCAGCGCGATGGAGGGACAGCATGGAGAGGAAGCAGCTCCTCACTAACATTGAGTCGTTCCAGAGCGAGTTCCCTCTCGGTGGCAGCAAGAAGGAGGAGTTCAGCCGTTCTCGCGCTGCTGAGAAGGCTAAGGGTACTAGGGCTTCTTCTCCTTACACCTTGTCCTATTGGATGCAGATTCGGCTATGTCTTTGGAGGGGCTTCCTACGACTAAAGGGCGATATGAGTATGACGCTAGCCACTGTCATTGGGAATAGCATAATGTCGCTTATCATATCGAGTGTCTTCTACAACTTAAATGACACAACGGACAGCTATTTCTCCCGTGGCGCGCTATTGTTCTTTGCCACATTGATGAATGCATTTGCCAGCGCACTTGAAATGCTTACTCTATGGCAGCAGCGACCAATCGTCGAGAAACACGATAAATATGCACTTTATCACCCATCAGCCGAAGCAATTGGCTCCCTCATTGTCGATCTCCCAGCAAAGGCAATTGTCTCCGTGGTATTCAATTTAATCCTCTACTTTATGACAAATTTACGTCGTACACCAGGCCATTTCTTCGTCTTCTTCCTATTCTCTGTGACAACCACGTTGACCATGTCCAACGTGTTTCGTTGGATAGGAGCAGTCTCGCGGTCGCTAGCGCAGGCAGAAGTTCCCGCCTCGATTTTCATGATGATACTTATAATCTATACGGGGTTCACTATTCCAGTCCGAGATATGCATCCCTGGTTTCGATGGCTAAATTATATCAATCCAATTGCGGTGCGTAATTCAAAAAGGTGTTGTCAGATATGAAGTACGATCTCTAATATACAAAACTTATAGTATTCCTTTGAGTCACTCATGATCAATGAATTCAGTGGCCGGCAATTCGATTGTGCAGCCTACGTGCCATCCGGCCCAGGATATGGCAATACTCCTCTCAGCTCAAAGATTTGCTCCGGCAAGGGTGCTGTTGCAGGCCAGGACTATATAGACGGTGACCGGTATCTGGAAGTGTCCTTTGAGTATAACCGTTCTCACCTCTGGCGTAATTTTGGTATCCTTCTGGGCTTTCTTTTCTTTTCCCTCGCGGCCTATGTTGTCTGCAGTGAGCTCGTCAGGGCGAAGCCATCGAAGGGCGAGATTCTGGTGTTCCCTCGCGGTAAAATGCCTGCCTTCGCAAAGAAGGTTCGCCAGGAAGGGGACCTAGAGAACTCGCACGTCCCAGAAAAGCTGAAGATGGGGAGAAGCGAGGACGACAACCATGTCGGTGCCATCGTCAAACAAACATCAATCTTCCACTGGCAAGATGTCTGCTACGATATAAAGATCAAAGGTCAAAATCGTCGCATATTGGATCACGTCGACGGGTGGGTCAAACCAGGGACTCTTACAGCTCTGATGGGCGTTACCGGCGCCGGCAAGACCTCCCTTTTAGATGTTCTGGCTAATCGTGTGACGATGGGTGTGATTACCGGGGAGATGCTTGTGGATGGGCGCATGCGTGATGATTCCTTTCAGCGCAAAACTGGCTATGTCCAGCAACAGGACTTGCACTTGGAAACAAGTACTGTCCGAGAGGCCCTTGTCTTTAGTGCCCTGCTTCGCCAACCCGCGAGTACTCCGCGGAAAGAGAAGCTCGCTTATGTGGAAGAAGTGATTAAGATGCTCAATATGGAGGAGTACGCCGAGGCAGTAGTCGGTATCCTGGGCGAGGGCCTCAACGTCGAGCAACGCAAACGGCTGACTATCGGAGTGGAGATTGCTGCTAAGCCCGATCTTCTCCTATTCTTTGACGAGCCTACCTCCGGTCTTGATAGTCAAACTGCGTGGTCAATCTGTTCCCTCATGCGGAAGCTTGCCGATCATGGGCAAGCCATCCTATGTACCATCCACCAGCCTTCTGCCATATTGATGCAGCAGTTTGATCGACTGCTGTTTCTAGCTAAGGGAGGCAGGACCGTTTACTTTGGTGACCTCGGACCGAACATGACAACCTTGATCAAGTACTTCGAAAATAAAGGTTCCGCCAGATGCCCACCGAATGCTAATCCTGCTGAGTGGATGCTTGAGGTCATCGGTGCTGCCCCCGGGTCTCGTGCGGACCAGGACTGGCCTGAGGTTTGGAATCAGAGTCCTGAGCGCGCTCAGATACGACAGGAACTAGCTGAAATGAAGGGGGAGTTGCTGCAACGACCGCAAGCCCCTCGAACTGCTGGGTATGGCGAGTTTGCGATGCCATTGTCGACCCAATTCTTGATTTGTCTCCAGCGAATGTTCCAACAGTACTGGCGCTGCCCATCATACATTTATGCGAAGGCCGCGATGTGCATAATTCCGGTAACTCCTCCCATCTGTCTTACACATTGTTTGGTTTGATGTACTAACCAGGGCTAGCCTTTGTTTATCGGATTCACATTCTGGAGAGAACCAACCAGTATACAAGGCATGCAGAATGAGATGTTTGCCATTTTCATGCTTCTTGTGATCTTTCCCAATCTCGTTCAACAAATGATGCCGTATTTTGCAACTCAGCGCTCCTTGTACGAGGTACGGGAGCGCCCGTCAAAGGCATACTCGTGGAAAGCGTTTATGCTCGCCAGCATCATCGTGGAACTGCCGTGGAACATGTTGATGGCCGTACCCGCGTACTTTTGTTGGTATTATCCAATCGGTTTATACCGCAACGCCTATCCGTCAGACACGGTAACGGAGCGCGGTGGCACGATGTTCCTTCTCGTCTTGATCTTTCTCATGTTCACGTCTACGTTCAGCTCGATGGTCATTGCCGGCATCGAACACCCAGAAACCGCTAGCAACATCGCCCAGATGATGTTTTCCCTGTGTCTCATCTTCTGTGGGTATGTAAAGTCATCACCAAGATGGTAGTCGACATCCAGGACTAACCTATGTTGTGTTCTAGTGTCCTTGCGACTCCAGAGGTGCTGCCTGGCTTTTGGATTTTCATGTATCGCGTGTCGCCATTCTCCTACCTCGTAAGCGGGGTTTTATCTGTTGGTATAGCAGGAGCCGCCGTCAAATGCTCGGATATCGAGGTGCTACACCTACCACCCCCCGCGGGTCAGAACTGCTCGAGCTACCTCAACCCATTTGTGGAGGCAGCAAAGGCTAACCTTCTCAACCCTGACGCCGACAGTGACTGCCAGGTATGTGCCATGTCGATGACGGATCAGTTTTTGGCAGGTGTAAGTATTAAATACTCGGATCTGTGGCGAAATGTCGGGATCTTGTTTGTGTATGTGGTGTTTAACGCCTTTGGTGCGGTCTTTTTGTACTGGCTGATTCGTGTGCCGAAGAAACGAGCTCTCAAAAAGGCTAAGAAAGAGTAACTCGGAGGAGGCAAGGGGGAGGGCCTCTATAGTCATATCATTTGAGCTATCGGGGATATATGTTACTAGAGGAGGGACCTAGGAGCTAGACGAGGTTCTTAGTGACGGACCATTTGCTAAGTTCTATTTTACGGAGATAATTCTCCTTTGCTTTTAGCAGAGCCATCTCCACAGATGCTACTGTATATTACGTGCGGATTAGCCATTTGCGTGTTATCTTTTCATGCAAATTGTACGACTACAGCCTTTGAGAAATCATTATCCTGGAAGCCAACACCCACATACACAATGGCCTTGTCCAGAGTAATCCCAATTTCCTATCACTGGCTTCCTCCCGCCCTGACATCTGTGATGTCCCAACATTTATCATACACGGAGACTTCGGATGCAACGTCAAACCTCTTTGCGAGCCGCATATCCGGAATTCCGTCAACCCCGAAATCATAGGCTTTAGTTACTCCTCTGAGAACGGCCTCCATTATTCCATGATCTACAGAGCCACCCCATCCCCAGTCCACCATTCCAGCATAACAGTATAGTCTGGGGTAGCATCCGGTGGAGCACAAAGACATAAGCTATGGATCCGCAAAGTATCGATCATCTTCACGCGCAACCCCAGTTATAAGTCAAAGTCAGTCGGCTTCATATTCCATCTTGAAAACCCGGGCAAAACCCCCCCCCCCCCCCCCCCAATTCCAGTTCCATTCATATCCATCCAACCCACCATGACCGAAGTACTCTAGCGTCCGCTCCCACTCCCAGAGGAAAACCCTAGCTACCCAGGCTTCCACCCGTCCGTCACTGAGCCACCGGCTGGCCATAAACGGAGGGAGAACTCGCGTCCCCTTCACCAGCCGATGGTCTTCGAGCGCGATCATGCCTTACGCCTTCGTGATGAGATCATGATCTACGCGGATATATATCGGCCAACAGACAATATCCCTGTACCGGCTATCATGGTCTGGGGACCGTACCGGAAGTCCGGGGGTGGTAAGTACTGTGATCTACCTATACGTCAGGCGAGGACATGATCTCAACTTATGATGACAGGGGGTGCATTGGATAGGTCTCCTCGACCTCAGGACTTTCCCGCTAAGAGTTGGTGTATCCGAGGAGCGTCTCTCGGGGTACCTAGAGTTTCGAAGGGTAAGTAAGGGTGCCCAGCCTATTCTCTGCATAGGTCTAGCTAGATCCACCAACCAACTTCATGGGTAGACCCGACCCCGCCGAATGGATTCCCAGGGGATATGCCGTCGTGAACGTTGACGCCAGGGGTGCAATGGACTCAGAAGGAGACATGAGATTCTGGGGTTCCGGGGACGGACAGGATGGGTATGATGCCATTGAAGAGATCGCGAAGCTACCATGGTGCAATGGCAAGGTCGCCCTAGTGGGCAACTCGTGGCTGGCTATCTCGCAGTGGTCTATTGCTGCTGAGAGACCCCACGTTTGGCGTGCATTGCGCCTCTTGAGGGTGTTAGTGATCCGTTCCGGGAGCAGGTGCGACGAGGCGGGATACCAGAAACGCAGTTTTGGTATGCTATGTGGTTAGTGGTCCTGCGTGTTAGGTTATATGTTTGGTGGATTTGCTGATGGTTTAGCAGGTCCTGGCCGACTGGAGGGTATTTTGGCTATGCGGGAGGAGTCTGCTCTTACGAATGAGTACTGGGAGGATAAGAGGGCGAGGTTGGACCAAATTCCGGTCCCTGCTTATATTTTGGCTAGTTATTCGGCTGCGCTTCATACTTCGGGGTCTTTTAGGGGATATGAGGCGATACCGCATGATAAGAAGTGGTGAGCATAGGCTCTCTCTGGGACGGTCATGGTTGCTTACATTATTTGTGTTACAGGCTAGTTATCCACGGCACGCAGGAATGGTATGACTTGTATTCCTTCGAGAGGATTCAAGAACTACAGTCATTCTTCGGTCGCTATACGAAGGACCTTCCGAATGGGTGGGAGACCACGCCGCGGATCCGGGCTACAGTGTTGCCGTTCAATCGGCCGGCGATAACAAACATTCCTTTCGAAGAACTGTCCTGGCCTCACCGCGAAATGATACTCAAGAGATTCTATTTAGGCTCCGAACATAGCTTGTTAGAAGAGAAGCCGAAAGAGGCGGGACAAATTGCCTACGAAGCCAATGCTACCCCGATACTGCAAAGGGGTAGTGACCCCGGTGAGATCTCATCCTCGTTTCGATTGCTCGAACGGGCCGTCCTCCTTGGTCCTTCCCGCGCGGTCGTTCATATCATGTCTAGGCAGAACGACATGAATGTCTACGTGAAGTTGAGGAAGGCTGGTCGATCTGGCCGGCTTCTTCAAAACCTCAACATTCCACTACATGATCAGGGTGTCACTTCAGCCAATGAGGTACCTCTAATCGTTCCATTGAAATACTTCGGTCCCCAAGAAAATTTGCGAGCATCATTCCGTGATGTCGCAGAGGAATGGTGTAAGCCGCATTGGAATACATTATTCCACAGGAAGCTCCTTCCAGTTCAGTGGGAGAGCCCATGCGATTAGAAATTGATATCTGGCCCACCCACGGGTATCATGTTCGAGCTTGGCGAACAACTAATCATGAAGGTTTCGGGGCATTCCATGAATCTGTGGACTTTGAGGATCTCCAGGGGACGTTTCGTGTCAGCAATACGGGACCACACACAATCTTTTGGGAAGGGCAATTTGAAAGTTACCTAGGAGCTCCTCCGGTGGACCTCCCGGGGGCTGTTTAAGATGTAGTGGAGATACTACACAAACGAATGTTGGATGTAGCACGTTCTAAGTAGATACTGGATAGCCAGCCAGCCACTAAGCAGGACTCATTTTTAGAGTTTGCTGGTAGAGTAATAGAATCATGCAGGTTGACATATGTTTGCCGAGGTAAAATGGCCCTATGAAAGGAACATCCCGTCGATTGAGGTGCCTTGAAAGGCTAACACCTAAAACATAAAAAAGGAAAAAAAAAAAGGTCTTGAAGAATGATCTGAGCCAGAGTCTTGTCATGAATCTACAGAATTAGATCTATTGGGAAGGAAGGTCGAGTGCACCACGTGGTGAGAGAAGCCCTCACTGTGATATTCATGTTTTCACTTCTGTCCGGATCAAGTCGAGACTTTCAAGTCCAAACTTCACAGAGCCTCGATCTCCACATCAGACTTTCAATGACAGGAGCCAAGTGGGGCCTTAGCACCGCAGGGCTGAGTTCTTACCAGCAAAGTTTGGTTCATTCCACTCCATTCAACGACTTCGGGAGGTAATCCTTCCGATTCGTGCAACCTCAAAGCTGAGGTAATAATACATTCAAGAGAATGAAAGAAATACACCCCACCCCAGGCCTCTATTAAAAGATCGCGCCTGTTCCCTCTCCTGTTGTGTTGTGGAGTCGTAGCTTCACTACAGAGACCTCCCTAGTGGCTATGATAAATGATGCAGACTGGCACTATTTCCAAGCTGCGCCAGACGCGGGGAAAGAGATCGAAAACAGGATGTCGAACCTGCCGGTAAGGACGAGATGAACCAATTGTTGTTTGTAAGGACTTGCAGCCCTGACTCAATTGCAATACTGTATAGAGCTCGGCATGTAAAATGCGATGAGGCCCCTGGCGCATGCAAGAATTGCACGTCAACCGGTCGCAGTTGCGAAGGATACGATATGCACCGTTTGCCTGACACAAAACCCTTCAAATACTTGCCAGACGTGGCCAGTCATATGCATCGGGCGATGAACGCTGATGAAAGACGATGCTTTTCCTACTTTCGGTATCATACTATCTCTGACTTTGTTGCATTCTTTGACTGGCAGCTCTGGCAACGACTAGTCCTGCAGATGGTGCATGCCGAGCCGGCCGTCTATCACGCTGTCAATATGCTGGCTGCTATCCACGAGGACTCGGTGGACAACGACATGCGACTAACTGGATTATCCCTTGGTCGGCCTCGACATCGTTTCGCTTTGGAACAGTCCGCACGATCTCTGGCGCTTCTGAATAAACGTCACTGCTCCCACGACCCTGAATTACAACAAGTGACGTTGATGTGTTGCTTGCTTTTTACACTGTCCGAGTTTCTACTAGGACAGTACTCTAGGGCCTTCCTACATCTGCAGAGCGGCATTCGCATCTTGAACGAGACGCACGGCCAACGGTCAGTGGTGTGTAGCAGTAGAAATCGTGATCTAATAGAAGCTTTCCGACGATTAGATATCATGGGCTCGCATTACGGCATAGGACCACTCATGACCAGCAACACGGAGCTAGAGGGCCAGGAACTCTGGCAGGGCGACCTCCCGATGTTCAATAACCTCGAAGAAGCACTACAGGTTCTGAGGCGTCTAATGGCCATCGAGGTGCCCTGGGTAACCAAGTGCTGGGCACTTACCGACGCCGAAATCGAGGCCAGGTCTGACCAATTGGATCAGAAACAACAGGAGATCCTGTCTCGTTTTGCCGAATTTGCCCTGAATCTCGAAACATTTTGCCAATATTCATACGACACGCTCAGCTTCAAGGAGCAGCGCGGAGCAGATCTCCTCCGATTGCAACACCTCTCCCAAAGCCTGACGGTCAAGATCTGTCTCACCCACGGACCGGTTCCGGATGCCCTCACCCCGGAATTTGAGAGCCTTCTCGCTGCCCACGAAGCTTTTATAACAAAGTTGCCGGAGCGGCCGACGATCTTCTTGGATATTGGCATCATCTCCGGCCTATATTGCGTGTCGAATCGATGCCCGGACTACCGCGTGCGGTTCCGCGCTATCAAAGCCTTGCAGTCATGGCCACACTTCCAGGGCATGATGAATTCCAATCTGGTTTCTGCGATTGCTATCGTGAGAATGCAATCTGATTTACATACGAACTCCCAGAATGCACATCTGCGCCTAGAGACGCAGCAAGAACTGGCGCGGTTCTTGTTCGCGACATTGACATCCACACAACAAGCGGTGGAGTGGCCGTCACTCCGATATGGTAAGGCCTTGCAGGGTAGCCAGTATGGTTAAAAATCGAGGAATCACAACTTAGTCGCTCGTTTGACGACCAGCAATCATATGATTACCGCTGAGCGAATACCCTGTTTTTGTTCCTCTGTTCCTGTCCCAAGGAAATCAATTTCTCTGAATCGACCAAGGTATACATACCAGCCGTCGGCATTCTCCGATGAGTAGCGGCAGAGTTGGGGCAGGGTTTCATACTCGGCCCCATCTCTCAACAATTTGTGATTCAATCTCTCTCATGGGCCCCTTTGCTTCAGGGGTTCATGACAGATTCAGGAGAGCTTCCGAGCTGTCCGTTAGGGTCCTTCCTGATCTTCTTTAGGGAACTGAAGAAGTAGATTGAAAGGAAACAATCACGGTCTACTTGGCCCGCGGCGGAGATCCTCGGCGAAGGCCAGTGACACCCGTTTAAGCTTATGTGATGTGAAAGTTTTCATGCAGATATAGCCCTGGATTCTGGTGGGACACCACGACTTTGCTGGGGTTAGATTGTGAAGACGGGAAGAGGGTTCCTCCCACGAAGACAAGTTGTGTTCTTTCGATGCACTTTCTACATGGTTATTCAACCCTAAGCGTAATAGACGAGGAAGGATTAATATGTACATGAAATATACAAGTCTTTATGAAGAATATTTGGTTGTCTAAGTATATTGTGATAGAATCAGAAGCTTGAGCGGTTCAGGTTCAAAAGGTCTCACTTGGGGCATAATTGATTTTGCACAGTTATATATATAGTTCTCCAGAACGCCCCTATACCTCTAAAGTACAAGATAGATATTGGTGTTGAAAAATGGTGTAATTATACTACGCACACGAAGCGTCTACCCTTTCGGGATCATATATACAATGCTTTCATTGCATTGTTCTTTTTCCTGGTTATGATAGAATGAAGGGTTTATTGATGAGGTCGGCTTTTCGCCCGAAGCACCCGTGACTTATCACTAATACTACCTGGCGACACGTGAATCCCTCAGGCAGCAAGGCGACTTTCCCGAAGATCAAGTGACGGATTTTCTATTGGTAGAAGAGATTCGATTCTGGTCCAGATACTCAGGGTAAAACGACGACTTCGCCCCGTGGGCTGAGCGAGTCAAGATTAATTTCCCGGATGCTTATGAGCAGGGGAAAGCGTCTCAGCCACAGGAACACAGGAACCCGTCTCACCGCAGTTGTTGCGGTGTGGGAAGGATGGAGAGTTATTACTTTCTGCAACGATGGATTAGTAGAGTAAGGAAATGAGAAAATCAAAAATTATGAAAAAAAAAATTAAAATTTGTTCAAGGGTGGGAGAACACATGACTCGTGGTGGTGGTCAGCATGTCACGGTTTGTATGGCAAGTGATGATCCGTCTGAAAAGGACCAATAGGAGCGCTCAATGGGAGGGGATGGCCAAGTCAATGACCGTTACACTGTGGTATTGGGGGCGGTAATGGTATTGTCACCTAAGGTTCTCATCTCATCCTCATCTGGAATTGGTACTCTCGGAAACTTCATCCACTTCATCTCCATATGTGTCGACATGAACTGATGCCACTATCTACTAGTTAGTATCGTTCACGAACACTTTCGATCCGTCTTATTATCCCTATTGCTCATGTTGTGCGTCTAATGATAGGAGCAGAACATTCCGTGGATGAGGAAAACGCAAGGTGACTGCGGCAATGAGGATCCCTCGCGATACGATGCCCGAATGGGAGAAAGGGTACTAGAGATGCATCCATCCACGGGGAACCAGGACGGGCAAAAGCCGGGCCAGCCATTCAACGAGGACGATGCGCAATGGGTTTTTCCCCTTCTAGCGACCCCCTGCAGACGACTCCATCGCCCTCGACGCCTGGAATGGTTCGCTCGCAGGCCACGATGTATTTACGCGTTGATTCCAAGTGCTGATGGGCTCGATAAGGCTTCCTTCTCCACGGCTCCGTGGGTGTGTGTTGAGGATTTCGGTGGATCCTACGTCTGTTCGTGCTTCCAGACTAATGCATCTTTAGCTTTTTTAGCAGCACTGCCATGGGAATACCGCTGAGGCGGATTTGGTTTTTGTCCTGGATGTCGGCGCAAAACCTCCATTCCCAATCCTATTGTTGTTCTTTGATTATGCGTTTAATTTTCTTTTTTTCATGTTTATTATGTTCTCGGCCTTCATCGGTCCTCTCGACAACCCTGACGCTGGTTGACGCGATACACGTGGGAATGCGGCTGTGGAAGCCACAACTGTCGTTCTGATACTAGAATGGAATCTTCTAAAGCCCCTTCGTGAATTCATTCCGAACTGACAGCGCGTGAGGCTCTCTCGGGCTTGGAGCATGGAGGTCCAATCGTCTGCCCGGATTTATCCGGGGGAACTATCAACAATTCAACATAGTAGCGATTCCTTCCACCCATAATCATGAACCACGAGGGCACCCACCCATGTCGCCAAACAGCCACTTGTCCGACACCGTAATTAAACAGGGAAAAAGAAAACATTTTCTTTAAAAGAAAAGAAGGGAAAAAAAGGGGGGGAGGGAAAATGCTACGAATGGTCCATCCGACAATCCTAGTCAGTCTGCACCAAATGACCATTCCCGACCGCTGCAGGGGCGGCGCTTCCCATCAATGTCAGAGCACGTATTTCCACCCGATGACGATCGCATTTTGCGACGATTCGAGCCCCCAAAGTGCTTGCGGCTCTACGACAGCCATTCAGGATCGCCGATCGTCATCTGTTTCTCGCTTTGGTTCTGGCATTGCCCGGCTCTACATGCACCCGGGCGAAAACTGATGCTCTGTCTGAGGTCTTCAGCTGAAAAATAAAACTTCTTGATCGCCCAAAATTATGACGCTTTACGTTTCTCTCTTTTTATCATCTTCCACCGTTCATCTGTTGTGCCGGACTGACAGGATCGCTACAACCCGTGAACCATGGACGGCTCTCGCTCTTTTACCGACCTTCAACATTCGACCGATCTATCAGCACACGATTATGAGCTCTTTCCTGATTGCGACTCTGTTGCTCATCCATTGATCTTCCAACGTACTTCTGAAATGCAACGCCAACTATCTCGGGGCGACCATACGATGAAGGCGCCATGGTTTCCCTCGTCCATGTCTTTGTCCAATCCAAGCATGCACCTGGATCAAATAGGATCACCGCACGGAATGGACGTCCAAATGTATCCCGTGATGTCCGATATCTCCTCACCGTTTAGTGGAGATCCCTCATCTCCTGGAGCAGAAAGCGGTCCAGGTAACAGCGGCAGTTGGTGGAACATGGGGTGCTACATGTCACCGCCTTCCAGTTGTGCCGATTCGATGCTGCCTCCACTCGATCATTGGGGCTCTTCGTCACCCGCTGCTTCCGCGAATCTCGATGCCTCAGTCGCGCCATCCCAGATTGTGCAGAGCTATCCCATCCCAATCCCCATCGCCGAACTCGATCTGGACCTGGACGCCAGGCTAGGCGACGAGCCAATTCCGGTGTCTAACCACAATGGTCTTCAGCACAGTACGCTCGGCGACACCAGTTGCACGCTCCCATATCTCGGCGCAGAACCTGCCGCAGACCAGGACTCCATTCCGTCACCCCCGCGCCCTGTCCCTGCAACCACCCGATCTGGCCAGAAACGAGGTACACGTCCGAAGAACGGCATTGAGAAGCGCTCGGGAAAGAAAGAATCTCTGAATGATGGCGCGGTTCGTACGCGTCGCACCCTCTCTAAGATAAAGACCAGGAAAAGCAGTCGGCCCCAACGTGCATTTGTTTGCAGTTTCTCCCGCTATGGATGCACTAGCTCCTTCGCCTCGAAGAATGAGTGGAAGCGCCATGTAACCTCACAGCATGTCCAGATAGGATTCTACCGCTGTGACGTGGGTCAGTGCAACCTTAACAATATGAATAAAGATGTAGGCGTGAGCTCCGCCAACGACTTTAACCGCAAGGATCTCTTCACTCAGCACCAACGCCGCATGCACGCCCCCTGGTCCAAACTCAGCCTGGCCACGGAAGAAGAGAAACAACAATTTGACGCGGGCCTCGAGGCGGTGCGCCATCGTTGCTGGCGGGAGCAACGTCAAGCCCCACCTCGTAGCCAATGTGGCTTCTGTGGCGAGGAGTTTGCAGGTCACCAGAGCTGGAACAAGCGGATGGAGCACGTCGGTCGCCATTTCGAAAAGGGCGATGCGTCCCCGGAAGGAGAAAAAGAAGATATTGCCTTGCGTGACTGGGCGATCAAGGAAGGAATTGTTCGTCGGGTGGAAGGGCAGTGGAAGCTTGCTTCTCATTGCGAGAAGTAGTAATCCTCTCTCACTCTCGCATTTTCTTCTTCTTCTTCTCTGCTTTTTTTTCTTTTTTTTTTTTGCTCCTTTTCTTCGCTTCATGCGTTTCCTTTTCCGGTGCATCCTTTTTCTTGCAATAAGCTTTTCGTTTTAATATCATAATAGCACACGGCGGTGCGTTGGTATGATTAACGACGGATATCCTGTATTTGATAGGTTTTTCTTCATCTTTTCCTGTTCGCTTTGATGCTTTTTAACTTTTGTCGCGCTCGGTTTAAAGTTGGTACGATATATCGCAGAATACCCAGGAACAGTTAACGATATGCATGCATTTGGCTAGAACTTGATGTTTTTCAAGATAGCATACACTTTTGAGTTTGAATAAACCACTTTCATTTCTTAAACCCGCAGTGATGCTTCGTAAAGTGTCCCCACATACGTCTATTGTGATGGCCTGCAGCAGAGGAGTACAAACCCACAGAGGTCAGTATCTCTGATCATGACAAGACAAGAGAAGCATGGATATATACAGAGTTGAAATAGATGTCACTCGGAGGTACACCACATTGAGAAATACATGACCGAGCGTGTAGTATCGCCTCACAGTCTGCATATATTGTATGGGACCTCTACGCACATCCATTTCTACCCCCCACCAACCCATCCTCCTTATATTCGTATTTCACCTCTTGATCCTGCATGACACCGTCAGCAAACACCACCTAGTGTCCGCATTCCGTCCACTTACCCAATACTTATTAAACCCAACTCCCTCACAAACCTCCGCATACCCCAGAATCATCGGCGGAGCCCCAGAGGTCATGCTCCTCTTGAGCCCTTCCAACGCATCCCGAATACACTTCAACTTCGCCGCCACAAGCGTCCACGGATACGCAACAGCCGCAAACCCTAACTCGGCCAAATCCTGCGCCGACAGATTCTCCGTCAACCCGCCCTCAATGATGTTCGCAAAGACAGGCAGCTGCAACTCTTCGACACATCTCCGCATTGACTCACGGTCTGGCAGGGCCTCAACAAACACGGCATCCACACCGATCCGCTTGAACTCTTGCGCACGGGTCATGGCCTCTTCCCACCCGAGGATAAGGGCGTCGGTGCGTGCCAGAATGAAGATGTCGCGGCCTTGGTTGCGCGCGTCAACGGCCGCTCGGATGCGAGCGTAGGCTTCGCCGCGTGAGACGACCGATTTGCCTTTCGTGTGGCCGCATCCTGTTGTGCACATGCCCAGTTAACCTCAACATCCAATCTAAAGCCTCAACATAAAAGTATGCATATCTGAACAGAAAAGGGAAGATAATACGTTTCGGCCACGTCTGATCCTCTATCATTACCCCTGCCGCCCCGGCGGCAGCAAAGGACTCCACAGTCCGCTTTACATTCATCGGACTCCCGTACCCTGTATCACCGTCCGCCATAACAGGGATGGTAGTCATGCGCACCGCCTCCTGGATCTTATCGCACATCTCTGCCATGGCGATGTATCCCGTATCCGGCAGTCCGTAGGAACTGGCCACGGCGTAGCCCGCCAGGAAGACAATAGGGAACCCGGCTTCTTCGACTAGACGGGAAGACAGGCCGTCGTAGGTACAAGCGTGGGCGATGATTTTGGTCGGGTCGGAATGCGCTTCTCGCATCATGGTGCGGAGGTAGGAGGCTTGGGCGGAGGGGATCTTGCCGCGGACGTTTTTGAGGTGGAGGGTTATGTCTTTTGCATCGCCTTTGGTTTGGGTTGGAGGTGGTGGGCCGCTGGTGAATTGGAAAGGGTACGGGGTTGTTTGTTTGGGGGACATTTTGGGGCTGGGGTTGGAATTGACTTGGTAGGAAATGATTAGAGGTGAGTGTGATGTATTCTGTGCCTGAGATGATGTGTGGAGAGAGTAGGGAGGGTGAATGTGGTCAATATATAGAAATTCTTCCCTGACCATATTGTGTATAGTTCTTGCGGATATTTCGAGTGCGGGTATTGCCAATTATCCGCGTCGGGGTTGTATACCCGAAAGATGGAGTTGACGATAACCCTATCCCATGGGGAACGATGATCAATGCGGGGAAGCTGGATCAAGAGAGCTATAAATATGGTACACTTATTCAGTTCGATATGTTGTCTGTGGCAAGTGATAGGACTGCTCTGTTGGTGATTTTTTTTTTTTAACTTTATCCGATTCTAATACACAGCCAAGGCGCTGCGACTCCCATCTGTTCGAAAATGAATGAAGTCAAGGATTTGGAAGCTCTTCACCTGGAGGAAGCACAGTCGAATGCTAAGGAAGCTTACAACGTCTATGTACCGCCTGCGGAGCAGAGCTCTATTCGGCGAAAAGTATGCAAGCATTGGACGTATGAGCATCAGTGCTGACCTTGACAGTTTGATCGCCGGGTGTTGCCACTCGTGTGCATACTCTACATATTATCATATCTTGACCGAGGTATTGTGTGTCCTTATCTTTCATTCCAAATATAGCTCCCCAGACTCAACTGCACAGGCAATATCGGGAATGCGAAGACAGCAGGTATAGACAAGGCACTCAGGCTCAATGATGCACAGTGGGCCTGGGTTCTGTATGCGTTCTACATTTGCTACATAGTATTCGAGTGGACCACGGTTCTATGGAAGGTTTTTCCGGCACATATTTACATTGCCATCCTTTGTGTCTGGTATGGCCCCGGCCTTGTAGCATAGGGAGACATAGATGCTGACGAATACAGCTGGGGAGCAGCTGCCATGTGCAGTGGTGCAGTTAACAATCTGACCGAGCTGATTGTCTGTCGCTGCCTTCTTGGTATATTCGAAGCCGCATTTGGCGCAGGGGCCCCATATTTTCTTTCGTTGTTTTACCAGAGAAAGGAGCTCGGGCTCCGTGTCTCTATGTTACTGGGAATGTCGCCGGTAGCGAACTGCTTTGCCAGTGCACTGGCCTATGGCATCACACGGATCAGTAATTCCATTGAACCATGGCGGCTCCTATTTATCATTGGTACTCCCCGACCCTCATCTGTCCTTGATGAACAGCCAACTAACAGACGGCCTAGAGGGAGCACCAACAGTCCTCTTCTCCATAGTTGTCTTTTTCCTCCTCCCTGATTCCCCCGGAACTGCCAAATTCCTCACGGAAACCGAACAGACCCAAGCCGTCGAACGCCTCCAAACCGTCGACCAGACCGCCAAAAACCGCATGGAATGGAAACAAGTCCTCCAAGGCCTCGTAGACTGCAAGAACTATATCCACATGACAATCCACTTCTGCTGCAACTACTCGTTCGCCGGCCTCTCCAACTTCCTCCCCACCATCATCGAAGAAATGGGCTACACCTCTGTCAATGCGCAGGGCCTGTCTGCGCCCCCGTACTTCGCCTCCTTCCTCCTCTGCATTGTAGCAGCTATCATCTCAGACCGGGGGGGATATCGGGGGCTGGTTATAACAGCATCTGCTATCGTAGGAATGGCAGGATATCTGATTCTAGCTGCAGTGCAGGATGAACACAGACCCGGTGTGAGATATTTGGGGGTTTGGCTAGCGACTTGTGGAGTGTTTCCAGCATTATCGATTAATATAACGTGGTTGCTAAATAATCAGGGTGGCGATTCGAAAAAGGGGGCTGGGATGGCCATTTTGGCGGTTTTTGGTCAGTGCTCGAGTTTTGTGAGTAGTTCAGCTTTTCCGGGCTCTGAGAGGTGTGTCTTCTTTGTCCTCTTTGTCTTTATACAAAAAGGACGGCAAAGACTGATGAGCTATTCTTTCTATAGACCATTTTATGTCCGGGGTTGTGCCATCGGGTGTGGAGTAACTGGTCTAGTTGCGGTGCTGGCGTTAGGGCTATTTGTGAAATTGAGCCATGAAAATCGGCGGCGGGATCGGGTATATGGGAAGGTGGATGAAAATATCCGGGTAGACGTTACAAAGGAGGGAGATAACCACCCTCAATTTCGGTATATGACCTGAAGGGCCGGATGGATATATCGTATTTGTATGTGGACTGCTCATGCCTTACGTGTGACTCTGCAAGCAATATTAATATCAACTGCTGATTCTCCACCATACTATATCAGTAGTGGTTACTAGTCTGCAGCTTTATTTGTTTGAATTAATTACTTGGCTTAGATGCAATTTCCCCGCACATAAAAGTACAGTACGGTATCTTCCCACATCCTTCACTTCCTTCCTGCATATCACAATGCACCGTCCACCGCGCAGTCGCACAGCGCATGACTATGCATACCGCCGCACATACAAAGCCTGTATTCCTTGTCGGAAAAGAAAAGTGAAATGTGAACGTGTGGGAGAAAGTCAGGGGCCATGTTCTCGCTGTGAAAAGCGGAACCTTGATTGTCGCTTTACCGAGAAAAGGCCGTGGACTAGAGTCAAGCTAGGTGTGTTTCTCCTTCTCGTCCTTACTTAAAAGAAGTATCAATCCTAATACTGTGAAGACCCTTCTTCTCCGGTAAATAACTTTGAAAATGAGATACAAAACGTTCCACGAGACCCGTCGTCAGAGGGTGAGTTTCTGTGCTCGCTAGCTACTCTCAAAATGTCTAAAGATACAGTATCTAGAAAATGAGAATACGTACTCTCAGACTAATAGAAACCCTCCGAAAGCCTTGCGACATATGCTTCCCACCATAAATGTCCCAATCGACCTATTTCTAGTAGGCGATATGCCCAACACATATCTACCTATGCCTCCAGACCCTACCGAAGGAAGTATCCCGAGCGAAGGGATATGTGCTACTGACTCGGAGGTACTCCGAATATGGAATGCCTGTCGGTTTGTCCGGATGGGATGGATGACAGCCCATGAGACCATAGTTCTTGTCAAGCTGTGAGCCTCGATTATCTCTTGATGATTCAAATAGATCACAAACATGAGCCTAATATTAACAATGACAGATTCTTCCAAAATATGTCTCCCCTATCGCCTATTCTGACGGACTTCTATAGCCTGATCGAGAACCACTATTGGCTGGTGACCCAAGAGCCAATGCTCTGCTGTACAATCCTGATGATCTCCTCACGATACCATATCCTACCTGGGTTCGGCGGAACATCACGAGCAAATCACATTCACCACCGCCTGTGGCAGCATTGCCAGCACCTTATTCTCCGCATCATGCTAGGTCAGGAAAAGCTATCAAAGGCAAAGACAAGACATATTGGATCTATAGAGGCTCTACTACTAATATCAGAATGGTACCCGCGAGCTCTCAACTTCCCCCCGGAAAACGATGGGTGGGACTCGGATTTGATTCTCACAGAGCCGGACCAAAGAGATCCGCCACCAGTAGAGGATGACATACCAATGCCCGATCGCTGGAAGGAAGATGTTGTCCAGCCTACGAGACGATCAGATCGCATGTCGTGGATGTTGGTGAGTACTGCGCTAGCACTGGCACATGAGCTGGGTGTCTTTATGGATGGGCATGGTGTGAGGAAGGACGAGTTCGGTGTGACAGGTATGCGGTCGGATGTGGAGGCCTATCTGCAACACTTGAAGTGGAGGCGTCGTCGCCTCCCGTCCTTGCTGTACGTGTTTGCAAATCTACTTGCCTCCAGGTTAGGCTGCACGTCGCTCATTCCGGAGGTACCTGTAGTTGAGGGCAACAAGGACACACTTGACTTACAAGACACCGACCAGGAATGGATGAGATTCATCTCTTCGTGGGTTCAGTTGACCCGGTTAGCTAAGGATATAACAGACGCACATTTTCCGCCAATGGGTAAGACCCATACCCAGTTGAAACAGTCCAAGTCCTCAGAGGGTTGGGAAACTCTACTATACCAATGGCAAGCAAACCGGCCAATATTAAGTCAGTGAAACACAACCGAACTCAGTTTTTTGTGCTAAGCAAAATAACCCAGACTCCCACCTGAACTCTATCCTTCACATCGAATATCACTACCTTAAAGTGTTCACCAACTCCATCGAAGTCCAATCCCTAGTGGAAACTATTCTAAGCTCGCCCACCACTAAGTCCGCCCCCGCAGGCCGTGCCTGTATCGACATAATAATCAGCAGCTCTTCAGAAATTCTCCAATGGGTCCTTGACCAGTCCAATATCCAATACCTCCCTATCCGTGTCTTCCTACACGTGCTAAGCTCCTCGATATTCTTAATGAAAGCCCTCGCTCTAGGGGCCCGAACCACCCAACTCCAAACATGCCTAGATCTCCTCGACAAGACAATCACTACACTACAATCGAACTCACTAGACGACATGCAACTCGTCTCGCGGTATGCGTCTCTGTTACAGATCCATGTTTCGCGCCTCCGACAGACTTTCATGACGTCTGCTCACGAGAGAGACAAGGATATTCCCTCGGAAGATGAAAATAACAGTGGCGTTATATTGCCTTCGACGCAGACAGGCGCCATTGACACTTGTAATGACCCTGTGTTAGGACAGCTAGATGATGAAATAGACGATTGGCTTTCATTACCATTTGACCCGTTGATGGCACCGTTTGGGACTTCGGATGACGCTGGCCAAATGGATTATGGCTTGGATTCAGCATATCTCGACCTGGATTTCATCTGGAATTTACCCGCATGATTGCCCTAATAAAGGCTGATAGATAGTATGCTCTATTTTGTCGAATGGGGCTGCTTCTGGACATCGCTTGTGCTTATTGATTGTAATATTGGTTTGATAGCTAAGAAATAGCTCCCACTATGTGTATGTAACCCTATTATATCACGCAAACTCACAGTGGCATTTATGTATTTCTTTATAATGTAGGATATGGAATCAAGTGCCCAAGATTCAAATCAATCTCAAATGCATTATGGATTGATCTCTACCGGGAATTTCTGCCCCACAGTCATTGACATTACCAGCAAGAAAAGAAGTACGGAAGATGGCATGGTAGATAACACAATGCAGTAGGGCTTCATGAAAGCCTGACCTCGAATTCCAGGTTGAGATTAGAAACGTGGCAGTAAAGCGGGGTAGCTCCTTGCAGATAAGAAATGGAAGCATCTCTGAATCTCTCCCCACACCCAGTATACCCTGCGTAAATGACCTTCCTGACTCACAAAGCAACCGTAATAATATCTCACTATCAGCTATGGACCAACTTGACTGGTCGGGGACCTCGCCCGAAGCAGATTTCAACAATATCCCCATAATCGACGTATCCGCTCTACGAAGCTCGGATCTAGAGAAACGCCAACACCTAGCGACACGCATATATGAAGCCTGTACAGAAGTCGGATTCTTCTATATAAAGGTGCCACTTCTCTTACTCCCGGAGTAGTCTTCTATAGCTAACAAATACACCGGACAGGATCACGGAATCCCTGAAGAGCTCATCAGCGCCCTTCATACTGCAGCGCACCAATTCTTCGCTCTCCCCATGGACCAGAAAATGGACGTTTACGTTGGAAAGTCAACGGTAGGTACTTTGACCCAGACACATACCCGTCAAAAACCAAAAATATAACCGAGCAACAGAAATACCGCGGCTTCATGCCCCTATACGCAGAACAAACCCCAACCGGGGACCCAACCGACGCAACTGAGCAAGGCGCAACAGGCGCACTTTCCGAATCATTCGACATTGGGTACGAGATCTCAGCTGATCCACTACGGGCCGCGGGTGATGTGCTTCCCCCGGATATATATGATTTGTATGGAGATAACCTGTGGCCGAGTGATGCGGTCCTTCCCGGATTTAGAGTTACGTATTTACGGTATTGCGCGGAAGCGTTGACGCTTTGTCGGATGCTTATGAGGAGCTTTGCGCTTGCGCTTAGTCTGGATGAGCATTTCTTCGACGATAGCGTGAATTATCCGGGAGTGACTTCGCGTATGTTGCATTATCCGCCTCAGCCTGTTGAGGGGAAGGTTATCGACGGACTTGGGGCTCATACGGTGGGTACTAAATTAGTCATTCTTGTTCAGTGTCAGCCATCGCTCACGGCATTGGTTGTTTCTAGGACTATGAATGTTTTACGATTTTATCTCAGGATAATGTGCCGGCTTTGCAAGTTCGCAATGCGTGTGGTGAATGGATGCTGGCGCCACCTATTCCAGGGACGTTGGTTGTGAATATTGCGGATTGTTTGTCCATGTGGTAGGACTTATCTTCGTGTGCGCTATATAGATGCTGACTTCGTTTAGGACGAACAAGAAGTTTAAATCAACTGTCCACCGAGTTACTAACTTGACTGGTCAAGAACGGTATTCGATACCGTTCTTTTTTGGTGTAGATTATGATACTACGGTGTCAGTTCTGCCGAACTGTGTTTCTGCAGATAGGTCTGAGTGCACGAAACCATTCAAAGCGGGCGAAGTGAGTGGAAAGAATTATGATGCTCTTATGAGGAGAGTCGGGTGCTAACGAGCAATCGTTGCAGTTTGTGCGAGCGCAACTGGCAAAGACTTATGTTGGGTACGGCCAGGAGCCTCCTGCGAACGACTACTGAGGGGTTGGTGTTTTCAAATTGCGGTTATGGTTGATTTAATGCTAGCATCTTAAAGTCACGATCGGCAATAAGACAGCCTCCTGTGCTGTGAACCGGCTCCATCGAGGTATTTTGGAGGGGAGATGCGAAAGTGGGACGATGAAGGTAAAGAGAGAGGCACTTCAGCGGCAATAAGAGGCATTGTAGCATCAGTTCCAACCTTGGGGATTCATCTATATAGTGAGTGTATTTGTAAGATCTCACCAATATCGATACAAATGTTCGATTGATAGTACCCTATTCGTTCCGGGCACCAATGGTGAATCCTAAGAGCTCGGTTTCGATAGTCCTTCGCCGCCGATACTGTACATACCGCCGGTTAGGGCACAAGCTTGGCCATTGCTGTCGACTCAAAATGTACACTAGAGTTTACCCTATATCGTGCGATTTATAACAATATATATTATTATTGTAAGGATGTAGTGCTTCAGATATACAATGTTGTAACTCCTGCTTTAAAAAGCAGTCTTTCCTACTGGAATATTGAACGGTTCAGAATGCGTATTTAAGTGTACACCGGATGTGACAAGCTAGCTCAAGGATATAGGATAGCGTTCTGGTGCAAAACACAAGATGCGGAGCGTTACAGCAATATTTGTATACTGTATTATTTTCCAGCAAACCAAGGTAGTTAGTTATATGCTCTCGCATTTGGAGCCCTCTCAACATAGTACAACTGCGGTTAGGTTCTCTAACCGGCCCCTCCTAGTATTCCGGGGCCGCACGTTACGCGGCCCTGACAGCCATCCAAGCACAACGGCCACCCGAGCAATTCGTTGAATATAGACTATTTAAAAAATCATAAAAAATCAAAATTTCAAGATACCATACTAGATTCTATATAGAAACAAAGTATATAACCTACTGTATCTTCTGACTATGTCTAGATTGTTTGGTGATTATACCTCAATCTAATGCATGGTCAACAAGTTTAATTATAACCTTCTTCTACTTCTTGCACAATTGCTGTTTTTCTTTTATAATATCATAAGCTTTCTGACTCTTTTGAATTTGAGCCAGATTAGTACTTGATACTACTTCTCTAACTTATATATAATATTTTAAAGCCTTAGCTCTTTCCTGTCTTGCGCGTTAAGCTGCAGTAAGTTGCTCTAATTGTTTATATAGACTGACTGTAAGATGAGCTTGTGCAATACTGCTCTTTATCAATATATCAAGATAATGTTTGAATTCCCAGCTATTTTTATTAAAATGCTTGATATTCTGAGCCACTGATTTAAAGCATTGGATAGTTTTAGGCATGCTTCTAAAGGAAAAGTTGCTACTCTCATTAATAGAAGAAATAGGTATAATAGGCTGAACTTCTGGTAGATTATCCAGGACAATACTAGGATTCCAGGGCACTATTCCTGCAACTTAAAATCTATATAGCACTGTATGTTTTTTAAAAGTTTTATAGCAAATAATTATAAGTGTAGCTAAGAAATCTTTCTTAGAAAACTTGTCTCTATCAGGATATAAAGAGTCAACAGCACTTATTGCCTTAATAATTAAGATATACTCATGATTGGTATTGCTATTAATATAGGCTTTCTTTCCCATCTCCCGTGTGACTATCTATTAAATCTATTAATCTTTTCCTATATCAATTTGAAAGCCAGTCTTATCAAAATTCCAGATATTATTATCTACAATTCTATAATTGTCAAGGATATCTACTATTCAGGGTAGAAGACCTGTCAAATAGGTAAGGATACGTAGGCTGGGAGGGAGAGAGAGATCAAAGGCAGGCAGTAGATATTGTTCAGACAGGAGACTGATTCTTGATCTCCTCCTACTACTAACTATTCGCTAATTTATAGCTGAAGACTCTGTACGTAAAGGGTTCAGATTTCCCGTTGAAAACCAAACCGTTGATGGCCTGATGTTCCTCATCGGTGGCCGATTGTCCATGCACCTGGGTCAGGGTATCCTGTACGGCCATCAGGCTGAATCGCTATTCCATCTGTGACAATAATCTTAAATAATTTTAGAAAGACAAGAAAACTACTCTTAAATAGTCTTAGTATTATAAGCCTGTTTTCTTTCCAGCTCAATAGCTTTTCCTTTTTGTATATTATATATAGAATGATAAGAAAGCCAATATTGAAGCCAATTTTTACTGACTTTAGAAGATAGTATAGTAGGATTAATATATGCCTCCTTTAAAATTAAATTTGCGCAGTTTTCAACCATCTAAGACCTCAAGAAAAGACTAACCTCTTCCAGTATATTAATATATTAATATAATACAAGATCTTGAGCTTTATTTAGCTTTAGATTTATAAATGGGCAAGCTGCTAGAGAAGAACAGCCATTAAAATATGTTGATAAAGTTGATCTTGGGACATTAAACTCACGCGCAGTTTTAGAGATATTTGGTTTTTCTTGGTATTTTAATATATCAAGAGCCTTTTCCATTGATCCATCATATTATATGATTTATTAGACATCTTGGTGGTAAAGGAAAGACGTGTTGACTACAATTCATTAAAAATAGAAAAATTGCTCAGGTGGCCGTTGTGCTCGGATGGCTGTCAGGGCCGCGTAACGCGCGGCCCCGGAATACTAGGAGGGGCCGGTTAGTGGGGCGAGCAGGTTTTTATCTCTAATCGGACAGTCGGCATCCCGAATTCCGCCGCGGGATTCCGCATAACGGTAGTGGTGACCTGTTGTTCCCGTATATTTCTACCAAGTCATTGCCACTTCATCGTATGCTTTTTCTTTAATTTTCCCTTTCCCTATCTTTCTCAACTTTCTCAACTTTCTTTCCTTTTTTTTTCTTCTTTTATTTATATATATTCAGCCACTAGAACTTGTGCGTTCTTACCTTCAACTTACGATGACCGAGCCACCGTACAGCGGCCCAATATTTGATGTCCAGGCACACGCTATCCACCCGAGCGCACTTCAGACAGTTGCAGCAGGAGTACGAAGAAATTCGAGTCTAGTGACAGACACTGCCGCGACCATTGCCAATGTAATCTGCAAAGAACTGGCCGATGACCTCGACGGCGAAGCCCGTCGCAAAGCCTTGGGCACGAACACTGTCCAAGTGATCACGGTTAATACATTTTTCCCTCCAATTCCTCCAACAAAGATACTAGATATTGTCCGCAATATCAACCATTGGATGGCCGATAAAACAGCAGGTCAAGCACAGTTGATAGGTACAGCCTCGATCCCTCCACCTCCAGCTCTCCACGCAGCCGGGAATGCCCTGGATGGTGAGCCCTACAGCCAGAAAGCAATCTCGGACCTCCGTCATGCCATTACAGAACTGGGCCTGAAAGGGGTCTTGCTAGCATCAAATTATGATGGCGTCTTCCTAGGTGATGCTGTCTATGATCCATACTTCCAGCTAGCTGAAGAGTTGGAGGTGCCTATTATTATTCATCCAGCTGTGGAGCCCGTTGAAGCTCCATTCATCCGGCGTAAGAATATTGCAACGTACTCCGGATTTTTAAACGACCAGCGAACCACACTTCTCGACCTTGTGATGTCGGGCGTGTATGAAAAATATCCCAGGCTTACTATCATCGCGACACATCTTGGAGGAGGTATACTAACTAGCCTAGGCCGCTTTAGAGCCCTGTCGGCGCGTTTTCCCGGCGATCCCTGGTATGTTGATAGCAATGGAGAAAAACAGCTGCTGCGTAAACCTATAGAGGATTACCTTCGTAAAATATACTACGACTGCAACAACGCAGATGCTGTGGACATCCTGCATGCCGCTTCTATCGTGGGCAGTGACCACCTCCTTACTGGAACTGACTTCCCTTGGACCGACGACTCTTTCACCAGAGAAGTTCTCGGCAAATTGGATGCTTCTATTCGAGCAGAAATTGCTTACAATAATGCTGCTAAATTATTCGGCTATGATCCAATAATGCTTAGGTGATGGGAATACTCTTTATTTATTCAATGCCACTTTTCCCAGGTTAACAAAAATCTGGACTTTGTCCTCCATTCAAAGAGAATATATGAATGCTGTTTCTGTGTGACATTGCTTGTACCTTTTTTTGACTTCTAGGTGTTAGCAGTTTTGTCGTTTGCCGAAAACTGTCACCTATCTTGATTTCTTATTATGACAAACGTAGTATAAAGTTTCCTGTAGTGGCTAACTAACTGTAATGCGTTTACAATCTAGTTTAATTATTCTGAAGAGACATCATAATTTTGGCTTTATTAGTAAATTACGAAACACTATGGCTTCTACTGCTCAAAGGACTGGCGAATTCAAAGCAAATACTACCGTTCTTCTCTGAGGTTTAGCTGTCATGCTTCGATTCTGACCACCGGCGATAAGGACGTCCTTGTTTACCCCTGGTTGCTGATTTTAACTAATTCTGACTAAAATTATGCCGTATCCCTTCGCACTGCGATTAGGCGACCTAGGTCTGACGCCTAGGGAGGCTGAGGATAAACTGTTGAAAGACTTACGATTAGCGCAGGACTAGGGCTGTGTCTTACTCCTCGGGTGAGGCCGATGCCTTTCCCGCCAGGAGAAGTGTAACTGACACGAGTAGCAATGCCTTGATGTCTGGTAAGCACAGCTTCAATTTTCCAATACGATTGTCCTAACGGAATCCTTTTATTATATCTGCGGAGTACTTTTTCTTACAACAAATTGTGTGGGTGTGTTTGGCGAAGCCTTCAAATCACGTATCCACATGGCCTTATACTATCCCCCACTCAGCTCGTCGCAGACCGTAAGAATCTGGCAACGACATATCGAACAGGTTAGTAAAGCGGGCATCCACGTTAACACCGGTGAACTGCTGGTATCAGATCAGTTCAGCAGTTATATATGGCCCACCAAAAACTACCAAACTGATGCGGATCGCAACCGGCTTATGATGACTCGGAGAGGTAACTTTGAGTGTCGTGTCTCCAGTACCGGAGAGACAATCATCTATGAGCTGCAGCAGCAACAGCGGAAGCAAGTCTCTTATTTCCATTCAATATATAGGCAAAACAACATGCTTTCGACCTCGACTATTGATTCCAAAAAGGTATAACAAGGAGGGCCGATCGACAGTAGATCCCCTTACCCAGCATATATCCAGCGCTTCGAGGGCATGCAAACTGCTGCAAGGCAACTAGGAAACCACGCAACTTTGAGAATGGGCGGCCAACAAGGTGCCCCACGTCCTAAGGGCTCGTCAATTCAGTCTCCAACTATATGGTCCAGTCCCAGCAGCAGTCTGGTTAGGGCACCCAAGCGGCAAACTTTGGACGCGCCAGTCAGCAAGGACCACTCTCAGTACAGCCATCTGTGGGCCAGATGGTGTACGTGCCTGCGAACATTGCTCCTCAATGAGTGTTTTCTCCCGAAATGGCCTAAACCTAGGTAGAATTAGAATGCGGCTATTTGTCAACACACTAGGTAATGTTGTTCCATTCCCTCTACACTAATGGCTAGCTAGTACATACGACCCTTGGTTGTGGAGAAACAACCCCTTTGTCAGCCAGAGACGTTAAAGAAATATTGTCTATTTGACTATTCCTACTACAGATTGACCACATTTTGTGGTCTAATGGCTGCTTTGGTCAACGGCTTCCCCTCTGCTCTGCCCCATCAATACACGCGCCAGTTGGTGAAAATCCCCTAGGTAACTAAAAATCGAACGTCCTACAACATTCTTTAGTATGGGTCTGCGCAACGGGGCTGTCCAGCCATGAAGATCAGGCTAATGTTGGCCCCAGGATGAGCGATTTCCCCATCGATTCCCACTTGTAGTCGTATCTTCCTCTTAATTCGCTTAATCTAGCATCTCAGGAACGACGTGATGGATATGGGATCCCCGTATCTCCCTACATAGATTCCCTGCACCAAGTTCAAAAAGCTCTTAGTCCGGGTGTTTAGCGCCTGCCAGCCCTGCAGGTGCTTCGTGAATGACAGAAGGACATTTGGGTTACAGACAACTATAGTAATCTATATCTCCCACGGCCACATCTGGATCAACGGAAGCATTGGAACTATGTAGGTGATGGCCTCGAATACTGCCCCAAGCTGTGCGTAGTGAGCGTTAAGGCACTACTCGTTGTCGCCGACTGTCCTGTTTGATGAATCAATATTGGCTGCATACACCCTGATCACTCCCTAAGTCTGTACCGACCCGCGACTTTTCAACATTTGGAACGGTCAGTTCCAACGAAAGAAAAATGAAAAAGAAAAAAGAAAAAAAACAAATGAAGACACCTCAGAAGGGTCTCTCATACCGTGATGTATCCCCCAGGACAACTTCACATGGACTGACCCACATATCGACAGTCTTCGGACATTATCTTTCCGAGATCTTTAGAGCTCGTATTACGTATAGGTCCCTGGGTATATAGTGACCTATACTGCATGTAGACTAGGGCTTATATCTTGGCAATCAATTAGGCGACTATATATATCTTCTAACAATGATAGCTAGCTACGCATGTATGTGTATACCTTCTAGTTATTCGACATACCGGAGATATTGATCCAATTTACCCAGAATGGCGCAGAACAACAATGAGAAACCTCTACGTTATGCGCACTATTCCGTCCCGGACCCAGACTTCGCCAAATATAAGGCCATGCCCAACCCGTTTGCAGAGCTGGACACCCTTTCGCCGGCTGGAATGCGCGAAATCATGTCCCATATGCCAGTCACGTTCCCGTATGACGAGGCAATTGTCAGCAGCGTTGAGGTCAACCATCGAACTATCAAGGTCCGGGATGGTGCCGAGATCAAAGTGGGAATTTACAAGGACAAGGACGTTGGCCCCAACGCTACCTTGTTCTTCGGCGTTCATGGCGGAGGTAGGTGTTCAACGACTGTTTCGTTCCATTGTCTGTGATTGTAACTGATTCATCACCCAAGGCTGGGTCCTCGGAGACTATCAGTCTGAAAGGCCTATGCACCTTTTGGTTGCGAAGAAAACGAAGTCGGTTGTAGTTGGCGTTAATTATCGGCTGTGAGTCCTTCCGCCCTTCTAATTGACTAGGCGTTTTAACTCATAGAACAGGGCTCCCGAATATCAATTCCCACACCCTGTCAATGACTGCTTCGATGCCCTGCAATGGGTGAGCTTTCATCCCACTCCCCGCATTCTATTTATAACCATGACATCTAACCAAAACACAGTGCCGAGAAAACGCAGATACTCTAGGAATTAACCCTAACCGAATTATCGTCGGTGGAGGCAGCTCGGGTGGAAACATCGTGCGTACATCTATACCCAAACCCCGGTTGCCCTCTAACTTTGACCCCATCCAGGCTGCAGCCCTAGCACAAAAAGACAGGGATGAAGGCATCGGCGCCGTTATCGGCCAGGTGCTGAACATCCCTGATATATGCCACCCAGCCCACTTTCCTAAGGATAAATACGAATACAGCAGCCCTGAGCAAAACAAAGATGCACCGATTATGCCAACTCATGCTGCCCATTGGTTCTGGGGTATGGTACCCGATGCTTATCGTGTCATATTATACCGATAATGTACCCCATTTACTGATACGCACGTATATAGAACAATATTGTCCCACAGCTGGTGTGGATCCCTATGCGAGTCCTATATTGGCAAAGTCGCTTGAGGGGTTACCTCCTGCTTGTATGTCTTCTTCAAACCTTGATTTCTTACTTCGGTAATGAGTGCTGACGTGCAAAAGTGGTACAAGTAGCCGGACTTGATCCTATTCGGGATGAAGGTCTTGCCTACTGCGAGGCTCTCGAAGATGCAGGGTGAGTCAAATCATGATCCTAAATATTGGATCACATACCTTTCTATCCAACACATGGAGGGCAATCACTGATAGTCTGTCTGTATTACGCAGAGTTCCTGTGCAACGAAAGGTCTACCCCGGCCTTCCCCATGCCTTTTATCTTTTCCCGGATCTGAAAGCTACCTCTGTTTTCTATGATACGGTAGTGGATTGGATTCTTGCCCTTGAAAAAGCACACTAGAATTTGGTGTGCTTGTGTACGAAGACAAGTGTACGGGAGCTTAGTTTTTCAGGTGTTCTATCGACCGGCATAGATTAATTGACAAATACTTCGAAGATGATCTGTCAATGCATACATTGGCCCTTTGCAAAAAAGCTGCACTGGCGCATCAACTTGTGAGTCCATATCATGCGCCGTAAACGCAAGAAAAGCCATAACTATAATTCAGGTAAATTCTGCGCAGGAAACTTTTCCTGAGGCAGCATGGTCTCAGGTCAAGAGTCTTGACGACTATTTTGAAAGCAACAAAGGGCCATATTAGGGTTGAGGGGAGTGGGTCGGACGGTAATCCACAGGATATCGATTAGCCCGCAATGACGCGTTTTATTACCTAGAAATTTTCGCTGTTGATATCTCTTGTCTATATTACATTTTGTTCCTTAGGATGAGTGTCGGGCTGGGTATGTGGAATAACTAGGAAGGATGGCACAATCTCAACTTCGTACGCTGCAGGCTTACCTCTGAACATGATGAAATGTCATGCGTCATTAGTGATAGAAGAGAAAGACTGAGATCTGCCTTGTAATCCAATCAATTAGTGCAGATCACTTTGCACTTGCTTCATGCGTGCGGGGTTCGGAGATCCACGGTCAAGTTAGGGTCTGAGCGAGACCTGAGCGGGGACGTCAGGTAAACCCTGAATGTTAAGCATCTACACTCCCAAGTACAATCCACCTCTGAATCAGGTCAATACCCAAGTAACCTGTAAAGTAGCCCTATCACCATGAGTGCCAGAAGCGACTGTAACGTCCATGACCCCATGCACCGCGAAAGCAAGCCATCACAAGGAGATCCATCGCGACCAGTCACAGACCTGTTCCGTCTAGATGGGCGCACGATCGCCAGTAAGACTTCGATATCTTCATCTACAAATACATGCCGATGACCAAATGTGTCCAATAGTAACCGGTGCCCATGGGTTCCTTGGCACAACTCTCGCCAAGGCTATCCTCGAAAGCGGCGGCGATGTAGTCTGTCTCGATCTACCGGATGTGCCTACTGCGGAGAATTGGAGTGCGTCTACTATCTTAACCCTATGCGACCCTCGCTAATGTGAAGGCAAAAGATGACATCGAGGCCGCTGCACTAAAACATAATGGTAGGCTCTCATACTGGCCCCTCGATGTCACCAATGAGGATATGGTCGGCGAGGTATTTTCCAGGTTCATGTCTACACTGCGGTTTCCACTTCGAGGACTAGTGGTCTGTGCGGGAATATCACGCAACGGTCCTGCGATTGACTTTCCGATCTCGATAGTGCGAAATATATTCGATGTCAATGTTAGCGGGGCATTTCTGGCCGCGCAGGCAGCTGCTCAAGAAATGAGGATGGCGGACGTTAGCGGGAGCATTGTGTTGGTGGCTAGTATGAGCGGCTATGTATCGAATAAGGTATGTTACGCCCAGCTGTTTCTTTGTGCGTCGTATCTCTGTATCGTGCTATACTAAGACAACCATACAGGGAGTTGATACTGCCGGGTATAACGCGTCTAAAGCGGCTGTCCAACAGTTAGCTCGATCATTAGCTGCCGAATGGGGATCAAGAAAGGGCATGCCCCTAGTCCGTGTCAATTCCCTTTCTCCGGGCTATATTCGTACGGCTGCGACGGTGGAATCCCTTCAGAAGCCTGGGATGGAGGCTCAGTGGGTTGGAGATAACATGTTGTACCGGCTAAGCACGGCGGACGAATTCCGAGCTCCAGTGCTCTTTATGTTGGGTGATGGGAGCAGCTTCATGACTGGTTCTGATCTGCGAGTGGATGGTGGGCATTGTGCTTGGTAATCCTTGTGCTCTGATCGATGGAGACAATGCCTCGGACATAGCTGTAAGCCTGTCTTGAATCTGATAAAGCTTTTTCAATCCTACTCTACGGAAGTTGCTGGCTCCGGGGACTTTTTGATAAAATTTTGTTCTTCACTATCTTCACTCCCAAAGTGATGCGGTATAACCATGTAACACGCTATGACAATATTTTGGTCTACTACGATATATGGAGTTGACGAACTAATGAGCACCGCCCCCACGGTATCCACCCTCTAACCTGAGTCTTCACAGCCGCCTATTTAAATACCACGCCGGAGTCCGGAAGGGGGAATGTGCTGAAGATCGGCCGGCGCCATGTCAGCCAAGGATGAATCACAGAGCGATTGACCCACCAAGCTAAGCTTTCTAGCTTCTATATAAACGACCGCTACCACGTTCGAAGCTTCATCGGTCACTACTCCTCCCAATCTAGCTCACGCCTACCAACTGGTGAGCTTCTACGAAGGTTGATATTTAAAAAACAACTCAATACAGAAACACAGATCACTCTGCGACATGGCAAGAGAAGACTTTATCAAGCAGATTGAATGCTCAAAAGAATTCCAGATCCTCGAGAGGCTGGGTCTACATCCTGATGCAACAGCCAAAGATACAGTACAACAGATACTCGACCTTGCAGTGGCAGCTCTTGACAAGGAAGGCCCAGCCGAGCTTTATGGCGTTGGCACGATTGACTACAACGTCTCCTTGGCGCTCTTGGAGCTCGCTCAACGTTTAGGACCTGCAAAGCACGGCAAGCTAGTCGAGTTTGTCTCCTTACTTCAAAAGGAAATAGTCCTCAATCCATCAACAGGAGAGCCGTTGCAAACGCAAGGGGATGTTCTCTTCGCGGATCTACCTTCTTTGGGCTACACGGAATTGACAACATGGTATGAGTTTGGAGGTGATTACAGAGGGAGTGAGTGCCGTTAACCACATATACCTTTTCTTGCTCTAACGAGTATGATATAGATCCCAGTGACCCAAAGACGAAGTCTAAGGAAAGGGAGAGGTGGGTGAAGCTAAACGCATTTATTGCACGACTCAGCCAAGCTGCTGATATTCGGTACCCTCCGTCGGGTGAGACATTTGATATGCACTGCATGGATAAATCTCTACATGCGATTTGGACGATGCAGTTTGCGCTTGAACATGAGATGCACACCCCTGAAGCATTAGTTGACACAGCTGCTATGGAAGCTGCGTGTGTTTGGTTTATTTACGCGGCCGACCGTTTATGGGCCAATGTTCAGCACTCTCGTATGTACGATGTGAGCGCCGGAGCTGGTAGTAATAGGTTTAAGGAAAGGGGATGGAATGGGTACACGCGCGAAAGGTGGGAATTATGGCATGAGTGCCTTCAGGATGCGAAGGGTGCTTGCACGGATGAAAGGATGGGGAACTTGCTTGGAGATGCTCTTGCCCACATGAGGCGGGCAGCGTCGTAACATTAAATCGACATAGGTTGCCCTACTTAATTCAATATTTGACGTACATAACCTCTCTTATTTACATATGTTGTGGTCAAGCATCTTTCTCAAATAGCCCTCAGATATATAGTAAACTCAAATTATATTTTAAGATGATTCTGCCGCACAGATCCTGCAGCGAATTTAGCTGATCAAGCTCTAGGCGCTCCAACTACACCATCCCACTCGCCTTCACCCCCTGACACGACGTCTTTCCAATCCCTCTTCTTCAACCACTCCTCAAATGAGTCTGTCTGCACGGGCATCTTAAGTTGCGAAGGACTGATGACCCCTTCAATACCAGCCGCATATCCATACTCCGCAATATACCCAAAAGCATCCAAGACCTCCCAAGGTATCCCAAGCTTCTCGTGCATCTCCTCGAGGTCCATTTCGACTAGGTCAGCCTTGTGCCCCGTAGCCCTCGACCACACTTCCACAATCTCCTCTATACTACTCTCACTATCATAAGCAAGCAATCTCGTCTGCGGAGCCTCATCAACCAACGCCCTAACAAAAGCCCCAGTCGACTCCCTAGCCCCAATGATAGGTATTCTCTGGCCTTTCTTCAAGGGTACCGTAAACCGATAATTCCGAGCCGAAGGATCCCACCTCGGCATAAGGAGTGGGTTAGTTGCCTATGCGCCGAGGATAATATATGACGTCTTCTTGGCCAGCTCCGGCATCTCTGTCTCAATATACTCCATGATCTCGGCTTTAGTATCGCAGCGGTATACGTGGGAGTATTTCCCATGAGAATACTTCTTCAACGGCATAAGGGCGGAGTAGATGAAGCGTTCGAGTGTCGGAATACCTGTGGCGGCGATCGCGGCGTTCCGACCGTGTTGCACCTCTACTGCGTAGGCTTCATCGCTGCTTCCGGAGGCACGATAGGAGCCCCAGAAATCCGTGTTGGCAAAGATAACATTTGCATTGGCGAAGGCGGGCCGTAGGGAGGAGACGTCAGAGAGGTCAGAGGTCTGCTTTTACGACGCTGGCGCCGAGGAAGGCGAGACTTTGCGCGTCTGGGGAGGAGGCATTGCGCGTAATGCAGCGGACGTGCCAATCGGGCAGGGAGAGGAAGGTTTCTGCGACAGAGAGGCCTTGGTTGCCTGTTGTGCCGACGATGGTGATGGTCTTCATTATTTGGGGTTGTGTGGTTTGGATGGCTTGGGTGTGGTGTTGGGTGGATAAATGATTTTGCCTATGAGTTCACTCTTGTTGTTGTTTCGGGATTCTGTTAGGATTTGGCTTTTGGACGTCGTTAAATTCCTGGTTTATATACTTCTACTAGGAATGATTTGTATATTGAGTCGGATGAATAGTACTATTGGACAGTAAGCCAATAGTGTGGCGACTCTTAGGGCTGCGCTCCAATTGGTGAGAAAAGCGTAAGCCACCCCCAGTCGGCGGAACTCAACATCAACATCAACCCTGTTCTTGATATTCGAACCCGTAAGCCACCTAACGACATGCACGGAGATAACAACCAAGGAATACGAAAACGTCCGAAGCGAGTCATAACGCCGGCGCGCAAAGAGCAGAACCGGGCTGCCCATTGAGTTTATCATGAGTATACCGAAATGTCGGGGGAGATAGGGACAGTGCTGATTTGAGGCAGGCCAGAGGCAAAGAGAGCGCTCTCAACGAGAAAAGCACATAGCGCAACGGCCTAGCACAGTGAGGACGCTGCAGCCCGCTCCAGCGCCAAAAAATGTGCAGCTTACGCTCGCTGACTCGTCCAAGGATGTAGGCCGATCCAAGCAATGCTTGGCACCGATGACATTGACCCTCAATCATTTGTTTCCTTCTGAAATAGCGCCTCATCCACAGAATGGTGCACAAAATTGCGACCAGTTCACACCCAGTTTAGACTTTTTAGACTCAAATTTACTGCGGGATGCAATGCCACTGGATCTCTACCGCAACACTCTCGAATTGACGCACACCACGCTTCTCCGAGCATGTGTTCACAATGCACAGAGTCTTGGCATTAACATCGAGGATTTCTTCAGCTACAAGTGCATGTCACTCTGCTCACCATTCTACGGGCCCAATACCACTATGTCTGATGACCCTCAAGCCCTTGTTACCGCCCTTTCTCGTCCTCTTACTCCTGCACATCTCCAACCCACACTGCCCCAAATTCTCTTTCCCCATCATCCACTCTTGGACCTGATACCTTTGCCTGCATTAAGAACCCGAGCCATCATGCTAGCTGCTACGGCACCAACTATGTTGGACTCTGTAGAACTGAAAAGGGATATTGTCGAACAGGGCGGGATTATTTGTGAAGGCGAACAACCCTTGGATATACTCAGCTGGGTGGCTAAGCCGTGGTTTATGAATAAATGGCGGGTACTAATGGGCGCCTCTTATTTTTTAAATTTTATTCGCTCCAAGACAATACTTATAGAGATAATTTTAAACCGTTTCGCCACTGGATGTGCAGCGCCAAGTCATGGCCTCCTAGTGGATACCAAACTTGCATCCAAGGTGTACTTGTATAAAGGGTAGAGTGTTCCTAAAAACTAAACTGCTAGTCGGAGGATATTGGCGTCATAACTTATGCAGGTTAGTTTCTAGTGGCTCATATATATCTAAAAAATTGAAACAATTTGTAATGTGGTATGGTTGTTCACTGTTTAGTTTCGATATCTTTATCAAGGATATATATCTCGAGAAGCCTTTTTAAGTCCGCAACCCTCGCAATATGAGATAAGCACGACTAAATTTGCGATATTATTGCTCATTATTGAGATTTAGCCATTAAGCAACTGCCTAATATGTCAGCGAGATATGTCTAGTTTTGGTTGTTACAGGGTCGACCTCTTAATGGGTTTCAAGTCGAGACAGTTAGGGTTCAAGGGTTCAACATAACCCGCGCCGACCCGCAGCGGTTGAACTCCCGCGATTCTTGGCTTGGAAACTCCTTATTAGCCGAACTTAGCCGCAAATGTAAGTTCTGCGGAGATAATTCAGAGGACTTCCTTCATGAGATGCATTTGCGGAACCATGCAGCTACTGACCACCGCCTGATAACATAAACTTTGTCCGTTGGTGCTGTCCATGCCAAATATGTGGACGATGGAGCTGTTTCCGGTGTTTCTTGTATATTTATTAGACTACGATCCTTTTCCCGGCTTTTGTGTTGTGCAATTTTAATTTCCTGTCGTCGTCGTTCCTGTTGTTATAGACTGTCAGCTTTTGCAATTTCAGTTCGAGTTCAATTCGTGGGTCTGGACATATGATATATCTTACCATGCCCATTCGTTACAGCGCCTTGCGAGTTCCGTTTTGCATGATTTACGCTCTTTGACACTATCTCAGCGCCATTTCCGCGGCCTAATCTATACTAGGCTTGGTTCAGTATTGAGATAATTTACGATCCGTAATGAACATAAACTTACCAAAAGGGCATAAATGGGACATTGTTCTGTAAATACACAGTGAACGGGATGTCCCAAGCTGCAATAGAAGTGGCTCCTCTCATGGTGTCTAACTACCTAATGATTATATACAATGTATTTATATAATTTGGACATAGAGAAAAGACAATATAAGAAGTACAGCTGGTTAGCTATGGGGCCACTATTTGCTTGACATAGCTGATTCGTGAAATGTGTAGTTCCTCCTCCCATGCCAGGATACTTACAGTACACGCATACTCAGCATGCTGGAAAATCAGGACAAAACTAATCCTACTAGCCAATTGTTTTGTTGGCGTGACGGCGACAAATTAATCAACTTCTTCGAAGTCCTGACCTCTCAGCGCGGGTGAGGGCGTTCTGGAAGCCATGACAAGGGGGTGATTTCCAAGAAATAGTTTGACAGCCGATTGTGTCTGGGTATGAGGTAGGTTGATATGCTCTTCGCGAGGTAACTAACCGACTATTACAGTGGCTGTAGACCCCGCTGAAGTTTCCTGCAGATGTTGTGAGCGCCCAATATGAGTGGGGTTTGCTGGAGAGGTTGGACTTGGTAATAAATTGTACTCGTCCATCCAGTTACTGAGAGCACGAGAGGAGGACCTGGCATCCGGTTGATTAAGCCCTAATATTTTGTTGTATAACCCAGAATATTTTTTCTTTATATTCAAGGCAGCTTTGAGCTTCCCTAGGGACTTCCAGGTATAGGCGAAGTTCGCCATACTGCTCAGGGTGTCAGGATGTTCATCCCCCAGCACTGTCTTCCTTGTTCCATTACTTGCATGTCCAGGTTCTCAGCTTCATTCCACGGTCCCTGCTTCCGGTAGGTTGATGCCAGGTTTGCCATGCTGGCCAGAGTTGAGGGATGTTCGGACCCATTTCTTTTATAATGGATCTTCATCAGCTTGTTGTATAATACCTCTTTTTCGTGGTATCGTCCATCACTCGCAAGGCAATCTGAAGTTCTCTTAATCTAATCAATGTACTGTTCCTGTTGTGCTAGAAAATCATTTTCATGCACAAAGGCCAAAACATGAGGGAGGTACTCTCGCCATAGTTCTCGATTGATATAATGATCATCTGGAAAAATATCCTGCATTCGATCAGACACCTTTTAGGTCCACTGACTGAATAGTGCATTCTTTCTTAGCCAGTTCCGGATCGCAATATACACAAACCTGTGTATACTAATTTCTTTATCTTGACTATTGATAAATGAAATAGCATTCAGAAGTCCCAAAGCATTTATTCCGCGTTTTTTTTTTGATATTGGCAAGGGAAGAAGAGACTGGGAAATGTTTTAATGATTAAACAAGCCATAAAAGACAGATAGTCGGTTGCTAAATGATCCTGATATTCAATCTGTTTGAATAATATTAACCAGGTGGTAATTACTGGGTTCTGGATATCCTTAGAGCGTCCTGTATCTCTGAAGGCTTCACTGAAAAGATCCACTATTTCTAGTTCCTGCTTTTGTAGAAGCTCGAGGTAGGTAGACAGACTTAAACCATTCTTATTAATATATGCTGATGCCTGTGTAATTGCCAGTGGAAGGAAGGTCAGTTGTTCAACGATGTACAAATTCGGGGATGCTTTTAACGAGGAAGTCAAATTGTGTTGAAGGCATATGATAAATCTCCTTGACCTTGTAACGTAGTACTCAAAATATCGTCATATCGCAGTGCAAATCTCTGAGCCTTTTCTGCTTGTCATTCCGTCGATCGATTTTTCCGAAAATGAATTTCATGAAATGCTTGACCTTGGTAGCTTGTTGATTGGGAAGACATTGACCACCCTGTCGCTATTGTAAAGCGAGGACCTGTGAGTTCCCTGCTGTGGTTAGTTTTGGCCTCCCGATACGCCGGCTGTCCGCCCCTCATCGTGACCTCTGGTAGTATATAAGAACCGTCCCCTCGCTGTTCGAACCATCCTCTCTCCCAACTTCTTCTTTCCTCCTAGATGCCCTCCCTTATTCTGCACCCCTCCGGTTGCTGCCATCGTTTCACTTGTCCGTATGGCTGCTACCATAAAACCTCCTCCCCCCCTTTCTCTTTTCCCATCGGAAATAACGGCTGCGCCTCCCCCCTCTTGTCGCCTCCACTTCGTAGGCTCCTTTCCTGCTGTCAGCCTTGACCGGTTGCTGAGCTGGCCAAGCTGATCATATCCCCCTTTCTTTGCTTCCAGTGAATTCATCCAGATCACGGGACAGTAAAGGTGCACCCCCCTGGTTTTCCTAACCTGTAGCAAAACCCGTTAACTGGAGAGCTATACAGCTAGTTCGCTCCCCGTGCCAGCCCTTCCACGAGCGCATTCATATTTGGTGGGCGACCCAGGAAATCCTCCAACATTTTCAGTAAATCCTGTTGACTTCCACCTTGCTCCAGGATGTGGCGACGATATCTATCCCAAGAGTCCTTATTGTACGGGGCTTCGGCAAACACGGAAAAGAATAGATCCTGGGCCATTGCCGTGCAGCTTCTACTGTTAGTTGCGCCCGCGTAGGATTGGATGGGAAATGATAACATACCACAGATAAGCGTAGTAACAAACATCATAACCCGCTGTCAGATGGGTAAACGTTCCAAATGCAAACCCGTCTCTGCACTCGGAAAAGTCCATTCCCTCTATCTCCTCTCGGAGGTCATACCAGAGCTTCTGGACGTTGAGCTCGGCGATTTCCGTTTGCGCCTTGAGGCTATGAATCTGTAGATCGAAGATTGAGATCGAACTAGTTTATGAGACTCGTCATCAGTGTCTTGGTCCAGGGGATTAATTTTTGCGACGGTACATACAGTTGATATAAATGATAAAGCCCCCGGTTGAAGTAGCGATGCTTCACCAGGCGGTTCACCAAATCCTCGGGGATTTCCTTGGGCGGATCGGATCCACCAGGGTGTTGCTTTCGCCATTCCACTAGGTAGTTGTCGTTAAGCGTAGTGTAATGGCAGCTGAGCCGTTTAAGGACGTCCGGCATCCAACACCAGTTCTCGAGCATGACGCTGGGCATCTCGCCAAAGTCGGGTGGTAACCTGTATCCGTGGAAGTGAACATATCTGGTCTTCGCCAACAGATCATGGATCCCGTGACCCATTTCTACAACGTGTTGTTACTTAACGCGGTTCAATCATTGGTAGCTAGTTTAATGGGCACATACCATGAAACAAAGTCACCACCTGGTGATGCTTGAGCAAGGCACAGGTTGTAGGTGTTGATGCTGGGAATGAACACATTAAAATGGTTGATGGATGTTGCCTGTTCCCATCAGGTTTTAGATAGCCCTGTACGTCTTGTGAGCAATGAGGTAGAGAGCTGGAAGACCCTGGAGGGATGTAAATACTAACACATTGAATATTGACGCTCTGATTCCCACGATACTTATTTTCCCTCCATAAGAGATCAAAATACAGATATCCGATGAATCCACCACATTTCGTATCCCACACAGAGAACACCCGTACGGTGTCATGCCAAATGACATCTTCATTCAGGTTCTCGGTTGGGACGGGTTCGAATCGGAGTTCAAGAAGAGAGGAAAATATGTCCAGCATCCCAGTCGCAGTTCGCTCCAGTGGAAAGAATTCGGAAATTGTGGTTTGGTCAATATCAAACTCCTGCTCCACCAGCCTTTCATAGTACCTCTTATCCCACGGCGGAAACTTCTCCGCTGCTCGTCGTTCGGCGTACTGTCCACTCTCCTGTAGATCCTTCAGCCGTCGATGCTGTAGCACCTTGATCTCCTCTCTCCCACAGAGACAAAGAGTTTGTCGAAGCTGACCAAGGAAGTCCTCTAGCCACTGCATGGTCTTCATCATCCGCCTTTCTAACCTAAAAGCAGCATGATGCGGATATTTCAACAAATGAGCCTGTGCAGCGCGACGTTTGATAATCGCCTCGAGAACCGGCTTATTCTCTCCCAGCTTCATATTATCCTCCAAGAACATCCTCTTGCGTGTCTCCGAGCGCTTCGCATAAGTCAAAACAGCAAATGTCCCCCCATTCGCAAAAGGCACGAACTTCAACCCTGTACTCGTCTGATTTTCCCTCGATCTCTCTCCTGACCCATCCTTCCACTTCGCCAATTCCTCCGCCGGCAACCCATCCAGCTCATCCAAAGTAAACCAAACACCCCCATTCTCCCGCGCCAAACTCTGTTGAAACCTCCTTTCTAGATTCGCGATCTCCATCCTCTGTTTTGAATATTCCTCCAGCTCAGATGGACTCAACAACCCATGTCCCGCATGCCTGTAACTCAACAGCTCCTTCTCCAATAAATGCCTCGATTCAACATCCAACCTCTCAAAATCTGGATTCTCCCTTGCTGCCCGGAGGAGTTTGAAAAACCTCTCGTCCATAGTCCACGATGCCTGAGCCTCGACGAATAATTTGTGCGCCTGGTTGAATGCCTCCTGTGTGGCTAGTGACGGGGACCCGTATTGTAGCATATAGATCATTCCGTGCTCGCCCTGCACGCTGTTTTCAACTTGGGCTAAAGGATACAAGACATTGTCGAAAGATGCAGTAGAGGGGGTGACGGTCTGGAGGATTACTTTTCTGACAGTGTTGTATTGGGAAATGATGCGTTGCATTGCTGGGACGATTTCATCGGTGCTGGGGACTTTGGGAAGAGGCTGGGGGAGGGCCATAGTTAGTTTTGCTCTTAGATGAGGGGTGGTTTGAAGTCAAAGGGTTGTTTTTGGGTAGTAGGAACTCTGTTTTGGGGGTTTGTGATGGTGTATTCGTGATAGTTGCCGGGCGTCACTGGTATATGTGGGACTTGTTGCTTCAGGTTGACGTATTAGATTGATTGAGGTAGGGTGTCAAGTCCAGTCGGGCAGCAGGGAACCCCAATAGTGTGCAAGGATTCGAATATATGCAAAGCAATGACATTGGAAGGATGGGTTCCTAGCACTTTTGTCGATAAGCAGGCACGAAGCATATTATGACACCTAGTTGGTATGGGGTCAGGTGGTCGGTTTTCGGCGGCAGTGCTAAGTGACAATGATTGATCATTGGTTCTTGCGGTGTTTGGTGGAAGCATTAGCTTGACTGAATGGGCACTAAAAAATGCGAGTTCCTGGTCTAGGGCTTCACGCGGACCTCCGAAATTAATTAGACCCAGCCCCGTCTATTGCTGTACCGGTGTTGAACCTCCTAGTTCCTCCTATATGTGATTAAATTGTTACATTAGGTTACTAGGTCTGATAATTTCCATAGCCCCGTGCTACTCTGAACCCCTGCCAAAACCAAAATTCGAGTCCAGAGTAGGGGCGCGCGGGTAGGTAGGAGTGAGTATAGAGCTTAGACTTGGGTGGCTATTGTTTTGTTTGAGACCATTAGCCTTTTGGCTTCACTATCGCTTGCTCCATGTCATACAGCTGTGATGATAAAGCCCTATAAAAGAGGGTATCCTGTCTTTTTAGCTAAACTACCATGACAAAAGTATTGCAACACCCGAGATTCCGCCCATTGACGCGCTGACTTCACCCGCCATTATTTCAACCAATTCTGTATGTTCTATAATCTATAAATAGATTCTATGGAAATACTATATCAATATTTAGTATACCAACCCCGTGCTTTGTAAACAGAGTGAAGCCTGCGTGGCATAGAGCAAATCAGTTGCTCAATTGTTCTTTGATCAAGGGCCTCCCACGCAGCCTGAATACACTTTTTAAAACGCTTCAATTCAACCTGCGTGTCTTTCGTAGAGAAGAGCCCTGGATAGAGCTCCTCTAGCTTGCGCTTAAGCAGGTGCCAGAACATGCTCAATAGGGTTTAAATCAGGCGAGTGTGGTGGCCAATCTAGGACCCAGATCCCATACATTTCAAACCATTCCTGAGCTTGATGAGATAGATGGAGTTTTGCGTTATCTTGTTGGAATATAGCCCCTGGCTCGTAGATTGGCACGAGACCTTTTTCTAAGTATTCTAAATAGGAGTTGGTTAAATAGCCTCGTCTAGGTGCTGTTTTATCCTGCTGTAGAACCACTAACTCTGACCGACCACCGATCTTGATAGCAGCCCAAATCATATAAGAAAAGGACGTTCCATACTTCTTTAGAGTAACAAGATCAGGTCCATATGCCTCATTCGATAAGCGAAAGACATAATATGTAGAATTATTAGAATCGCGCGCAACGGAGCATTCATCCGAAAACAGTATATTAATCCAATCAGTATTATACAGCCATGCAGCAACGAACGAGGAAATTGATATCGCTTTTTTACAATATCAGCTGTAAGCGGAATACGCTTTTTACTTTTCCTCTTTTTTTTTCAAATAGGAACGTAAAGCGCGGCGAATTGTACATGAAGAGATATTTCCAGGAGTCCCAACAGTAAGCGCTTCCCAGCTGATTCTAGGCCTCCGGCGCACTATCTGATAGATATAGCGCTTAGTCGAGTGGCTTAACTTTTCAGGTCTACCAAGCCTAGGGCGTGATTTTAAAAGGTGGTCATTTTGAAAGCGTTCCTTGGTGCGGTAGACAGTGGAACGATCCACCTTAAAAACTTGAGCAATTTAGTAGGCTGCTGACCATTCTCTAATGCTTGAAGGATAGCAGTGCGTTGCTCACTGGATAGCTCAGATCTAGGCCTTCTATTTGCACTGATACCTGTGCCAAAAGACCTCATTTTGATTGAATTGTATGTAGTTGAAAATAGTGCAATTTTTGACGCGGTGCGCGACGCGCGAAAGTGTTGCGATATCATTGACATATGATTGTATATCCACGGCAAATATAGCCCCAGCGGATAGATAAACCATCCCTTGTTATCTATGATTGTAAGTTAGCTGGAAACTAAATATAGTCAGATTGGTCTATGCAATTTAAAATGTGGCTGACCACACTTGGTAAGGCACATAGTAAATAGTGTAAATCAATCAAGTGGGGAGCCAAACGGGCTGCAATCAATTTAGCCTATAAATTATCATTTATTAATTAGTTTCTTATTCAAACTATGCGGTATGTATTGCCTATTTTGATTTGATCTTCGTTCTCCATTCTATAAAAAGAGGCTGTGCTTGGCATAATAATGTATTCATACAGGGTTATAGTGGCAACCCCAAAATTTCTCCTGGGCACCAGAGGACGACAAAGCCAACCTGGTGAAGCTGCGAGATGTCGAAGAAGACCTTACTCCAGGGACCAGCGTAAGTACTGTTAAGATCAATTGTATTCTGAGGCCCGGCCTTGTGGATCTAAAGTACAGCCCGAGGAGCACTAATCACCTGAGAAACGAAGTCTTTGTTCATCGAGATGACCTCAAGGCTCATCTTCAACGCCTCCTATATAGCGTATGTGGTGTCCCCGAGAATATTAAGCCAAGTGGATCAGCGGTGGGCCCTGGGAAATTGTCCGCTGCATGAATCATAGAATGAAATTTGACTAGTATACCCCATAGTCTCCATAGGGAGCTGGAACACCATTTACCAGCGGATGTCTCCACGTATCGATAAAATCTACTCCCCCTGGTGGACAGGATGAAACAAACCCACGCTCTGCAGACCACCTGGGTAAGTTTCCGGAATCGCCGTCAGGACTCCCTCCCGTACGCTCTCCGTCTCCCGCAAATGTAACCACCTTCCTCTTCATTATACAGCCTTTCTCGTTTCTTTCTCTCGAAACGGCCAGCCGGTCTTCCCCATGGAAGAGGTTTGGAAGAGAGCACTCACGCCTGAGCGAATAGCCTACCTGGCGCAGTCCCGGATTCCGGAGATCATCGTATGTGACACGCTGCTCCTCGTGTTCGCGACCGGCGGGCTGCTGGTGCGTCTCTGGGTCCGGATGCGATACCTTGCTGGGGTCAATTTTGATGATTTATTATGTGTAACCAGTTGGGTACGCCTCCTTGCTCCGCCTGTCTTCCCCTATTTACTCATGCACCGCTGTCGGATGTAGGTCTTTACGTGTGTTCTGTGCGTTGTTTGCATGTGTAGTAAGTAACCACACCGCGGATAGGACACTAGAAATGGTATGCTAATGATTCGATTCTCTCAGTGACAAAGTATGGGCTCGGTAAGCACATTGGGACGGTGCAAAGCTTCGATGATCGGGGAATGTTTCTCAAGGTACGAGACTATTCAATGATGGGCAACTGCATAGCTATCCGCTAATTGTGAAAATCCCTTTACAGCTCAACTTCGTCACCATGCTCGCCTATGTCCTCGCCCTCGGTGCTATCAAGATCTCCTTCTGCCTGCTCTATCTACATATTTTTCCAGGGGAGAAGTTTCGCCTTGCCTGCTGGAGTATATTGGCCATTCTGGTTGCTGAGACGCTCGAAGAAACTCTTGTGGTTATCTTTCAATGTCAGCCCATCCACAAGGCATGGGACCCTACCGGCCTCGTCGAGGGCAAGTGCGTGGACATGACGCTCTTTTACTACATCAATTTTGGGATCAAACTAGCCACTGACCTGGCCCTTTTCGTGATGCCCGTGCCCAAACTTATGCAGCTGAAGATGACGGTGGGCAAGCGTGTAGGACTGGTGGTGATGTTCAGTCTGGGTCTCCTGTACGTTGCTCCTTTTTGAAAGGAATACGGGAAGAGTTAACTAGTATGGATGCTAGGGTATGCGTGACAAGTATTATTCGCGTCACCTATATGAACTCATTCAAGGATGACCACACCTGTGGGTTACAATGATTTCTTTTCTTCCCCTCTATTGTAATTATTCTTTTTTTTTTGAGGACTTTACTGACGACTCGTCGCCTATAGGGGCATTGGTCGGAGCCATGAACTGGTCTTGCGTGGAAGTCGCAGTGGCCATTTTTATTGCATGTATTCCCTCATTCAAATCGCTCGTTACGTACCGCTTTCCCGCTCTACAGCGCCTGCTCGGCCTCTCTAGCAAGGACGACTCAATGAGCCCGTCGAAGATGTACGGGACTTCTACGCATCGGACGTTCAATGGCTTATCAATTAAAGGGCACAATAGCGTCAAGCTGAAACCGGTGACAGGATACAGCAGTGCAGGTGTAGAAACAAGTCACTATGGGTCACAGGAGCGCATCGTGCATGAGGGCATTCAAGTTACTACCGACGTGCGCGTCAATGAGAGTGTCTGATGCCTAGGAATACTATGGTTTCTGTTGGTATATATTTCTCTATCCGACAAATATTCTCATTACAGTTTTCACTCATTCTAGTATTGCTATGGCCCCTGATACTATTGTTGCTATCTATTGTACTTGCCTATCAGTGGGCCCTTGACTCCTTTAGACTCGCGCGCTAAGACTTTAGGAAGTATGTCAATCCTCAAGGATGAAACTAGTAGTCTAGGTCCTCCATTTAATTTATATCCTTCACGCTACTGTCGCACCAGTGGAACCCTAAAGCAGGTAAGACATACCAAGCCTTGTCACTGGCGGAAATCGCCCGAGATTATATCCAGTACCTAAATATACCAGAATGTTTTACTGAAACCTGGACTTGAAGCATTGAGCCACGCATGTTTTATTATTATTTCATGTTTCACTGAGGTTTTGAAAAGTAATTTCGGTAGTTCAAGCGAGCTGGTAAGCTTGTGGAGCTGGGACTGGGTACGGTGCTGTGGGCCTGAAGCCGTCCCCGTTTTCCTCCTCCATTCAGCACCATTATTCCTATTCCATCCTTCCAACAATCCAGTCACTATCATGCAACAAGGAAAGATAGGCTCGGCCCCGCCATTCTATAGGTTGATCCTAGATCTTAGACCTGTATGTATATGCTTATGCAGTTCGTGCACCGTCGTTTGACTGACTCCCTCGGTGAAGTCCGCGCCCTTCCGCAACACCTTGCCCTATTCATGCCCAGAGACTTGGTCTCCTTGGCTCGGGCTTTGAGGAAGAATTGTGATCGATCTGCCCTGATGATCTCCGATTCGTCACGTAGATACTGCTCGATGAGTTTATCATGGAAGCACATAAGAACGCCGATGCCAACGCCATTGGAGCTGAGGAATTCTTCACAGTCAGCACTGCTCCGCCATTCATACCATGGAGACGCTCTAGAAGTCTGGATTCTGCAATCGGGATTCTACACAGTCTACCCTGGTGATTTTGTTAGTACGGTCCACCGCCACTAAAAACGCGCTAAGGAATTCTGCCGGTTATTCAACTCATACCAAATACCAACTAAAAGCGCTCAATTAAAAGCTATTCAAAATCAATATCTTGTATGGCCACCTTCTGCAGCGATTACTGCCTGACAACGGGCCTGCATAGTATCTAGTAAATCCCCAAAAAATGATTCAGGGACTGCTTCCCAGGCCTGCCTAACTACTATTCTCAACCGATTATATGATAAAACTGCCTCATCTGGATAGCGTGCCATAATCCAATCCTTCATCCAATCCCATATATTTTCAATAGGATTTAGATCAGGCGAGTAGGCAGGCCAGTATATCACTGATACTCCATGCTTTTCTAGATCACTCTTTGTCTCTTGAGCAGCGTGCCCAGGTGCATTATCTTGCATAAAAAACAGCGGAGTAGTATTGGGATTTTCTTGCTTTAACAGGCGTATATAGCCATCTACTAAAGGCAAAATCTTTGCTTGATATGATTCAGCAGTAATGTGGCCCCAATCCTTTTCCCAGAACAGGCAGGGACCTTTAGTAGTCCCATGAAAAGCACCCCAGAACATCCAGCCACGGCGTCGGCGATCTGAAGAGCGAACACAGGTCTCATCAAGATCCTCATCTACCCTACGCGTTACATAGAGGCGTTGGTGGGATCCAGAGGTGACCCAGGATTCATCAGACCATAGGATCTGCCTCCATTGCCCAGCAGTCCAATTAACATGCTCTAAAGCCCAGGCCAAGCGTGCTTGCTTATTACGCTCACTTAAAGGAGGCTTGCGAAGTGCTATATAGCGTGAATAGCCTCGTTTTCTAAGTGCTCGGGCCAAAGTATTATAAGAGACACTTAATTTAAGCTCTTTGATTACCTTATAGTAAGATAAACGACGCGTACGCTTAGAAGATGATATCCAAGCAATAATATCATCAACTTCTGCTTCGCTGAGCTTAGGTGTTGCATCACGGGCTTTTCTAGGTGTATAGGTCTGAGTTTGGCATATATATTGAATCTGTCAATAGGTGGTAAAGGGCAGATACTGCTGAATTTGCTCATAGGTAAAGCCGGCGTCTCGAAGCGCTATTATACGTATTCGATCATCTCAATTCAAGCGCTCAGAGTTCTGGCGTTCTGGAGTTCTAGGTCTAGAATCGGCCATTCCGTAGGTAGACAAGAAAGCAGATAGATAGACAGGTAGGTAGATAGATAGACAGGCGGTTCTGAATAGCTTCACCTGCGGCCTTGACACGGAGCCTAAATCACTTCAGGAGAACCCTAGAAAGGTAAGCGGTGGCAGACCTCACCGCCAGAGTGCTGACCCACCTAGATGGACCGTACTAACAAAATCACCAGGGTAGACCGGTGTACGTCGCAGTAAGGACGGAGTTATTAACTCAGTTTTTTCCGATCCCCATTGTGGTCCCGCCTCTACTTCTCCGAATGACCGGTGAGCCCACTGACTCGATTATAGACCCACATCGGCTCACACTAACTCACGCCGCACACCTAAGTCTAGCCGGTGCATGGGGCTTCTGAAGAGTGCCGGTATCTACCGGTATTATCGTACAAATATATCCGGTCTAACGCAAAGTCTTAACAACTAACGCCCACAATATCTTCAAGCTTGTCGTCTCCATCTAGATTGAGCAGGCAACAATAATACTGAACCCTGGTGCTATTGACCAAGAGTTACAGTCCGAGAATTACGCTACGCTGTTAGTAAGTTTACGATCAACACACTAAGCAGAGGGGAAACGTCGGAGATACCAACCTACATATCACTGTGCCAACCTAGGAAAGGATTTGTAGCAGCGGCGGAGCCAATCCAATTGCCTTGCGGGATCAGAGCTAACAACTTCGATCGCCCTGATATCGTCATACACCGGACGTTTATAACGCCAGTAGCGTCAGGGATAGTTCTAGTCTCGGTTGCAATCGCCGCATTTGGTGCGCGTGCTTGCTGTCTGCTGGAGACTCAGAGGCTTCAGACTGATGGTTGTGGTCTGGATGGGGTATTCACTGTTGTGCAGTGCGATGCAGAACAACAGGGTCGTAATTACTCGCACCATGAACCCCACCGAATAGACATCTATATAAAACGAACTTCCTCATCTCCTAGTAACATACAGCAGATCATGAATGATGGTAGAATCGCTGTAGGACCACTCTCAGCTGATCCAAGGGTTCGACCCACAGACCGGATCGGGGCCAATTATGGTTCTCAGCAATATCACACTTGAACAAATAATATTCTGATTGGTTAGATTGCACTGCCTTCCAACTAGTATTTAGCTTGATTCTCTATGACAATATCTTGCAAAGCCCCAAGCTAAGCTTTCTTGAAGCCAGTATGATATGCGCGTGGTTTGATGTAGCCCTGGCTATCTGCTGGCTATTCCCCCCTTTCATGAAGTGCTATATCGGAGGTAACGATTCGCCAAAGATCAGGATTATTTGCCGAAAGACAATGAACTATTGCCAGACACAGTAGTTTCCGGTCTATAGAATCCTTTATGAAACTATGATAGTGAGAATTTATTTAATATGGTTACTAATAGAGAGTCGCCTAACATTTGAAGAGGTGTAGCATTCTAAAAAAAATACATTTCACGAGCTCTGGGCTCGTTGGATTTGTAGTATTTACTTGTGAGAAAGATACTACCAATACATAAATCTCCTGCACCGAAAAAGCTGTCGACAATATATACCTTCGAGACTGGCTCTACTCACCTAAGAGCACAAGATAATTGAAATGCTATCAGGTCCTTTTGTACTGCTTGCCATTTGTTGTGTACAACTGTTGTTTATGGTGATGGAACCGTGGTCACTATATATATTGTCTATGTTAGCCATTTTTGATGTCGGGCTGGAAGTCACGGACAGGTACACATATCCGTGATCTTGAATTTCAGGGGACAGGGCTCCGAAAAGAGCTTTTTAAATATAGGTGGTGAGAATATCTGCTCTCAACAGTATTTAGCAGTCTGCTTTTAGATACAAAGGAAAATATAAATAGCCAATACCATGTTGAATAGCTTAAAGCAGGTGAGGCAGGAGGCCGACTTTGGAAGAGCAACAATATGAAACAGAGAACATCATTGGTCAAATGATATTGGACCACAAGACCATAATATATATATCCTGGTATGAACAAGAGTATAGGATGAAATGGTGGTGATTCAAATCACCATCTATGTCAGCTTTTTCGGGAGCCGTCCTGTCATTGAACAAATGGCCATAACAACCAATTGTTATCATCCCCTCCTTTGTGCCGGCCAAGTAATCTAATTCTCGGTATATCGCTCCTGCTGCGTAATTATTATTGAGGATGTAGCCTATTGCATAGAGACGACTTATGCTGAGTCAAAAAGGGCTCTATCTCTTCAGAGCCTCTACGTACATTAGAGTCACAAGTGAGCGTGTGAAGGGTCTAGAGGTGCTTATCCAAGATGTATCTTTTTACGGTAGTACCCGCAGGTTGCAGCACGAGCTTTGGTTATTCCATTCCCACCAGATTGTTAGCTATCGCCTACGATAGCTTTGAGAAGATGTGAAATTGCAAAAAGAAATACATACCCCTTTTGTCCAAAGAACTGTCTGAGTTCTTCGTCGAACCCTAGGAATCGATCCGAATCTATCCATGAGCGCTAAATCGTGCCCCTATATGCACAGTCTGCAGCTATTTCCATCTCCACTGGGGGTCTGTTTGGCGTATCATCTGCCGTGCGAAGATGTTGCTACGAACCTGGTGAAATTGTCTTGTCTTCATAAGTGCTTCTTCACTTTCCTTCTTCTGTCGTTCCGTCTTTGCCTTGTGGTCTGGTTAATTCTTTGTACCTGGTACATTGGTGTCTGGGATGGAAGGCCGTGATGGTTCACCTGATTGACCTGGGCCAGCAGCCAAAGTCAGCGTGAATAAATAGAAGAATAGTATTGTGCACAGTGAAGAGAAGGCGAGAAACAAGAAAGGAAGAACGACAAAAATCTTGAGATGTGCTAGTTGACCCGAAAACAGACTTTTATAACAAACTGATACACTGTAAATAGTACGGACTCGCTTGTCTCTTCGTGAAAGTGGGCGTTAGACAAGGACTTAGTGGGCGGCTTATACTCCGTACAGAGACAAATAAACCTATTTATTATAGGAGGTGCAACACTTATTCTATAAGTGAGAGCAGGAAAGCCAAGCAAACACCTGGGAAACTACAGGCAGGCTTATGGGACGGCACTGGTGCCTGGAGTATATCCCGCGAGATGGCCACTGCAGAGGATGTCCGCTTGAATTCCCACGTTGGCAATCTAATGGGCCCGCTAGGTCGCTGTTCACACTCTAGTTGAGCCAGGATCACCGGGTATCGTTTACCATCGATGCGCGTGCGGCACATATACCGGTATTCGACTAGCGGGGTCCTCTCTAGACTTTGCGATGAGCACCCTCGCCCGGCTCTTAAGGGGGTGGTTAGTGGTAAGACCGTTGAGAATGGGTTGTTTGTATCTCTTGCTGGCATTTGCTATGAGAATTCATAAACACATCACTCATAGAGCTTGCAAAATCCACGAGAGTTGCAAATTGAACATCAGTGGATGCCCAGCATTATGGATTATGTAGCACTAGTGTCTTGGGATTGGTGATATCAAGTAGTTATAGTAAACCCGGATAGTGTGCTCTACCTTCCTATATAATGGTAGGCTCCTGGGGAGGCACTGGGAGGTTGGGATCGTAGGCAGATTACTGCCCGTTTTAGTTTATTTTCAACTTTTTTTTTTTTTTTTGCTTTTCTTCCTACCGCTTAAGACCTTCAACGCGACGCTTCTTCAAAGGAATCAATGATAAATACCCTTGCGGACATGACAGGCGTCAAGGATACTAGGACACCAGCTCCCACTCTTCGCCATCATCATTAACTCTCCTAACCCTCGCCCTCCCTTCCCAGTCATCAGAAGCAAAGCCATACTTAAACTCACCAAATTTGAAATCATCACCCCTCCAGTCGAGAGTGAGCAACCCATCGCCGGCAACCGACACGAAACGATCCCTATGATCGACAGGCGAGATCGAAATGGAATCTCCTCTGACCAACACCGTATCCTTATCCGTATCTCTCCCAGTGATACGGAACCTACTACGCTTGCCCGTAGCAGCATGTATTCCATTTGCGTCTGCGAACCAGAACACAGACGGATCGCTTTTCGACCGAATGTAAAAGCTATATATATGTCAGCAAGTGGCAATGCTAGTACCTGAAGAGACGACATACCACTTTCCGCTACGATGGTCGCAGACATGTCCGTTATAGAATGGCAGGTAGAGGGGACCGTCGACGTTATTCAGAAGGGCGAAGGTCATCCGATTCATGAACTCGGGCACTATGTTATGGCCGGTCCAGGTGCATCTTCCGAGATCGACTCTGCTTGGATCATGCACGTAGAACTCGGGGGACTGTCGGGTTATGACCCCGGTCGGGAGTGCTTTCTGCATGGCTCGGTACCACTCATCCATGACTTCCAGACTTGGTGCAGTGATCAGATACCGCCAGTGCACGTCATCCTTGATCTAGGTTTTGCAAGAAACATCGGTTAGAAAGGATCCTTGTACGCTATTGCGACTTGGATTGCTCACGCTTTTGGAGTATGCATAGAAGACCATATTTGTTCACTGGATGTAGTGTTGGACTATGTTGTGTAAGTTACAGAAAATGGTTGGCGATGGGGATACTGGGCGCCCGAGAGCTGAATGAACTAACTTGATTACAGGAGAGACACTGGAGGGGTCTTTGGATGGCATATATATAGCATCCCTGGGTTGTATGCAAGAGCGACTCCGGGCGTCAAGGGATAGGCGAGGTACAACACGTCAGCTAAGAAATAGATGGCTGCAAGTGTAGTGCAGTGGCCATCCAATTAGACAAACTGATTTCAATTAGGGCTAACATGGCAAATAACATCTGCTTCCCTGTCTTCAGCTGAGAACGGGTTCCGGTTTGTGCATGATGACGGGTAAACGAAGCTGTTTAACGCATCATCCAAAGTTGCCTTTTACTACATATATTGTTCTAGAGTAGTGACTTCTTCGGACGTCAACCACACTGTATGATTAGCTAGAATAAGTCAGGACGAATATCTCATCTTCGTCGTAAAGATATAGGGCTCTCACATGTAGTCGGTACACTCCTCTTTGCTTGAGATCGGAGAAAGGATACCAAAGAGGACTGCTCAGACACACTTCGGTCATGTCATAGGGCCGAGCTACGCCTCACATCAGGAAACGAGGTAGCCTAAGACAATGCGCCAATTTCGCTACCGATCACCCATGCCAGCTGCGGTAAGTTGTATCACTAGTTCGCATCACTAGAGGGGATCGAGCCTACGGCCGGTGGAAAAGGGCGCAGCGAGTACATCTTCGGGATACGCGCCCTGCAACCAAGTAGGCAAATACCATGGTTGATTGATTTTGATAATTCCAACCCCAGTGCACGCCAGTCAATGTTCTGTTTTTACACACTAGCATAGATACAACGCCTAAAATCGATCCACTAAACCAAATTGAATGAAGATAAATAGTCTAGTTTAAATCACACGATAGACCTGATTTTTCGGTTAACGTGGCGCTCAGGGAGCCTATAATAGGCTAAGATACTCACAAAGGTGATAATTAATCCTCGTCCTGAATGTCGACTGTTATATCCTTATTCTACAATTGATCTTAATACCCCGCAGCTAGTGAAGTAGGGACGATAGTCGCTTTAGCATGAAGAAACGGGTCGCGTGAGATAATAGGGTAATTGATTAGCTCCGCAGCAGACACATTATATTATTGGTAAGGCAAACAATTCTCGTCTAGGTCGTTCAGCTAATTCAGCTATTGGTAATCACTTCGCCCTTCGATAAGATTTGAAGCTTTCGAATATGCCTATTCGGATTTGAGAGAGGCAAGGCATAGACGTCTACTGGAAATGCGAGATTCCATTTTACCTGGTAATCTAGCCCTGAAACGTAAGGCTCGCAATCATGGAAGTGATTTCCTAACCTAGTAGGAAAATGAGCAATATTAATAGGCCTCAAAATAATCTTATGATCATATAATCTCATTATCCTATTGCCTGATGTCTGCTGCAGCACATGAATCTAGATTGGGTGGGTGGGTGGCTGGTCGCAGGTCCTAGGTGGGACTTTTCGTTGACAGTATCTCTGTCCTTGACCATGGGAACGAGGCACAACGATATTCTAGGCTGCTAGAGGCTTGTATATACAGGGCTGAGAATGCACTTCCGTCAATTTTGAGGTAGTGGCAGGCTGAAATATCTTGTTCAGGCTCCTTGCATAAATCCAGCTTCGTATAATCTGCAACTTGTTGCAAGCAGATATTAGGATTGGAAAGCGAATGGCTTGGGAGTTGGCCATGCATCTAGCCTACAGGCTGTTATGTCATATATTCAGGTAGCCACAATATGTAGCTTGATGGGAGTGTTATCCCTTTTGAATCATTCTTACGTGAGATTCGAACGATTTAGAATATGTCTGCTTCTAGACCAGGGACTAAATATGGGTGCCAGCAGTGCCAAGACGCAGTGTAATGTTGATTGACATACTTGGGAGCGATACTCCAAGGCGAAGAGGTAGTCGGTATTTGTCTCTGTATGCAACGATATGCGCGCCAGTGGCGCTGGAGAGCCTGGTATTTCCTGGGGTTCCATTTCCGGTTAAGGTGATAGGCAAGGTCTACAGTAAGGTTGGGTTTCGGAATCCCCGCTATTTCTTATCACCATGTTGCGGTTTCGGATCTTATTAGAAACCAAGGATCATGGGCTAATGCCTTACAGCTCTGCTCAGGCCTCACAGCGCGTGCGTCACATCGAGGCTTGTCCTTGTCAATAATACGTAGTGTTAACTATAGCGAGGGCTACCTGCTTAGACAGCAAGGTAAGAATAGAAAGACTCAGACCTTACTGCCCCTCCTTGACCCCTCATCAGACAGTGGAATCAAGCAGACTTTCAAGTCTACATTTTGAACATATCTAGGTACTTTTCGTCAGATCAAGGTTTTCCTTCCGCTTGAAAATGGCCAAAGTAGAGAGTTTCACTGGGCCCGTTACTCTTCTCGAGATAACCGAATGGCTTAGCCGTTGTGAAGAATCTTTTGAGGCCTCCGCGGCGACCTTAACTGACAAACAAAAAATCCTCGCAGCAGGGAGCGCCGTTGCCAAATCCCAGGACACGAAAACCATCTACGACTGGTGGACGAAAAATCGCAAAAAGCTAGAAGGGAAAACCTGGAATGAGTTTCGCAATGCTGTTAAAGACAAAGCCCTAAGCAAGAGCTGGCGAATGAAAGCGCTTCTGGACTTCTACAGCACCATCCAGGGTAGTAAAGGCCTTGGAGGACTATTTATCGCTGCTTGAGGAGCGAAAGTTTGTTATCGACCGGGGAGATCCTGTGCTCAACCCAGTTGACGACCTTATTTACAAATGCCTTTTGCTCTCTAATGCTACCCCAGATCTCGTGGCACACATACTGAAGCATCATAAGGATATCCTAGCCTTTGCAAAAGCCAATCCCGACGATGTCAAAGATTAGCTCCGCAAATATGATACTGGTGATACCAACCCTCTTCCAAATTTTGGCCCTGTGCCTGGCCCCGCTCCTATATCTTCGCCTCCAGCCGCATTCGAGTAAGTTAACCACCACCCCCGCTTACTACCTTTCATAGAAAATCTCTCCACCCTTCGTTTCTTGCTTTCCTCAATTTCTTCAACTTATGTGCTTTATTAGAGAGCAGGCAATTCTCGGGCATATATCATTACCGGCCTACCCCTAACTCCATACAAGGAGGACTGCACTTCGTTTAATGACTTAGACCTGTTTCCCCCCAAGGCTTCTGGGCTTGGAGATTCCACGAAGATTACTGTATGGCATAACAACGATGCAACTTATCCCATGATTGAGCGATACGAGATCATCTTCACCAACCCGTCCTTAACAGCTGCAAATCCCCAAACGTAAAAGTCATCGACCTTCAGTACCCTAACCTTCAGCGTGGGTGAATATATTAGCTCGGTCACATTGTCCTTCAGGCAATTTAGTCTTGTCTGGGAGTCCCTGAGTGGTCTCTCAACAAGTAGAACTCCAGTGCGCAGTGTCAGTGGGATGATGATTACCTCGTCAAACCCTGCAAACACACTCTCGATAGGTGTTATGTCTGATGACAAGGTCACCTTTACTGCCCCGAGTGGATGGAGAATTGTGGGATTTTATGGAATGTCTCGCAAGGAGTCAACGCTTGAAAACGGCGTCCACATCTTTGATCGGTGCATGATTGATACAATGGGTGCCATTTATGCAGTGGTGTAATGCTACGCGTGGGCAGTATTTAAGAAGACATCATACCCAAGGCTAGTTGGAAGATCAACGGGTCCAATGGAAGCTAGCAAAACTCGATCTCGATGAGAGCGAGGGCCTGCAACAATGATCTAAATGGAAGTTTGCTCAACTGGCTAAATTCCATTCTACCTCAGACAGAAACCGACGATTTACATGATAGCGTGCAACGTATATAACGTAACTCACGAGCGAGCGGCAACAACAAGCAAGCGGCTACTGCTGTGACACATACTAGATGCGATGAATTACAGTGCAATATCTCAACAACCATTAATTGGATTGAACTGAGAATTGATACAATGACTATATATAGGCTCAGAATAGTGTTATATTAATGTCAAGGCACTTCTATAGAATCTTTGCTAAGATTACAAATGTGATTTTTGGAGAATTAGGGCTGAACAACCGCATGTTCTTATGTATGTTAGTGAAAGAACGCTCATTACACTTTGCCAGTTTGGCCATTTATGATGTAATAAGTCCTTTCTTACTGCTTACAGTATCATGTGTGCCATCATCTTACACTGCCAGCGATTCAGGTTTCGCGCCATTTTGCAACGATTTAGGGCGTTAATGGTTGCTTGACTAGGGAGGGACGATACTAAGGGATGGTTATTTTTGGATCAGTAATAATACATAGTATTACAGCTCTCGTCTGTTTGAACATTACCGTTCAAAACCGAAACATGATCCAAAGTACGGGAGTAACCATATCTGGATTCAGAGGACCATGTGATTAGGGTTTGAAAGAGCATCTCTGTGTTTCCGACATAGAAGGCGATGTCGGGCGCTACTGTACTTGGGAGCGATACTCCAAGGCGAAGAAGTAGTCGGTATTTGTCTCTGTATGCAACGATATGCGCGTCAGTGGCGCTGCAAATGGAATGACTCCTACGTATGCGGAACACAAAAAGTATGATATTTGTAGACAATCCTCCTAACATCAAGGATCCTCGGTTGACTTAGACCAAGCAAACCTCCACCCGGAAGCAGAAATATGGGTCAATACGGACTTGGCTCTACTCAACTCAGGACTGCGGCGGACACCTATACTTTTTATTCTTTGTCATCACTTTTAGGTAGAGTTTGTCGGCCTTTGGGTCGATGATGTCGTTTGGATGGATGGTCTCTTGCGAAGATCCTTTCCAAACATTCTGATTGGCGTGGGATAGTACAGGTCCTAGTAAAGGGAAAGTGAGCAGCGATCCAAGCAAGCCAGAGAGGGAAGAAGTACTAATGGCTTCCACATGGAGGGTAGCCATCCCGTAAAGGAATCGGTCTCGAAGGTATACACTTTTCCATCTTGTCGGGTCCGCACGGTGACACAGACGTCTGCGTCACATTTGAGCCCGTACTGAAAGGCTTTTGTAAATAAACTCTCCCTGAGTCTACGTTTCTGTTGACTCTTCTGCTTCCTCTTCGACCCGCTCCCTTTGGCCGCTGTGAATTGATAAGTCATTTCAACAGTTGGCATTAACTTTGGCAGGGTTCTGAGGTGGATGTAGAATAGCTTGTAAGCTATTCGTATTAAACGATATTAAAATGATATTAAAATGATCAGACTTTAGGACCCTATCGAACTATCTCAAGGCCTATCTAGGTGAGAATCGTGAGGCTCTTTATATGTAGCCTGATTACCATAGTATTTTAACAATCCACATACTTCCGCAGGTGGTTAATTCACCAGGCATATGTCAGGTGCCTGTGATACTGGGTAATTTCATGGGCGTATTCAATAATGGAAGGTTGGCGAGCTCTTCGCAGATTCACGAGTTGATTTATACTTCATACTCCCAAAAGGTTGCGACCACCTTTTTACGTGTACCTGTTTCTTTGTTGAGCTATTACTGCGGTCTGGCCTGACGGATTCTTGTCGCTTCCTAGAGAGATTATATAAGGATCGGGCGCAGACAGTGTACCCTGACCTAACAATAGAAAGTCACCGCGAAACACCCTGTCCAATGGAATCGTTACTCTTCCTCTGCCGTCAAATCTTCCTGTTATAGGGAGGTACATATTATAATAGGTCCTCGCAAATAGACGTTGCCCTGGCGAATTGTCCAAAGAGGAATATTTTGAGAGTCTGAGTTTTCATATACCTTGGACCGCCATTGACCATCCATCACCAGTAACCATCCCCTCAGACTTATATCATTCACCTCCTTGGGGGCTGTCCGTCCAGAGCAACACCATTGTCCATAGGTTTTTGAAAAGCGACTGGCAAAGTGGCAGTAAGAGGATTCCTAGGGATATGATTAGACTGTTGCCTAAAACAAGACATCACGTCTGATGTACGGAAACTTGATTTGGCTTGTGGTAGTGAGGATAGTTATTCCAAAGTGACGTTAGATCAGATCGATAGCTGCTAAACCCTACTAGCCAAGCAGTCCGCAGGAATTTAAGGCGGAATGTGTAATTGTCCTCCACCAGCAAACGAATAATATGAGGTGATGAAAGGTACAAAGGCGCCTTCCCGCACTGACTCGTAGTGTCCTAGAATTGCCACAATGTTGTGTGGGTCTATTCGCGCTGGCAGATAACGTAGTCAATCGTATGAAACTTGACTGTTTTCGCGGGCGTCCATGAATGTCCTGGAGAACCGGACAATGTCTCTGAGATTCATGAAAGGCGGAAGTACTCCTTGACATGGCCAAGTAGTTTCGATCCACTTGCCAGTGGGGAAACATCACCCGATCGCCTCGAGCGTCTTCGATATAACTGTATGACAAGAGTCCTTCGGGGAAGATGAAGGAAGAGTAGTATTTAGATTTGATTTGACTCAGAACAGTTTACTCAGTTCCCGGTAGTCGACATCAGACAAGGAGCCCATCATTGAGGTGAAAATAGCAGTCCTGAAATGCCTTTCGATATAATTGCTCACATCCCGCAAAAATTCCATCTCTACGGAGCCCGGGACAAAGACGCTATGTGCTATAAGCAAAGGAAACAGCAGCCGATAGATCAAGTTCTTTGGGGCAGCATAAATAAAGTAGCGGATGCTGCGGCATATATTGCAGGCTATAGTGTAGCGTTCACATGGCTTCAAGGAGTGAAGAGGAATTGGCGTAGGTTCTGATATTACTAGGAGTAGTGCCCAATAATAGCACATCGTGTGGGCAAGAATAACATTGGGATACTCATAATGCGTTGCGAATTCGACTTCCGTTTTAGGATTATAGCATTGAAAGATCGGAAAATCGTCCTTGTACGGTGCTGGAGACTTCGAGATACTTCCAGGTGGGTATGCAGAGGCAACGGATTCCTTCCAAGCGTCTAGCTGCCTAAAAGTTTTGTCTGCTCTGGCATTGAGTTTCTCCTGTTGAGTCCGCATCTCTAGTGGTGAAAGACAGTTCTCGTTGACCATAGACATAATATAATCTAACTCCGCAAGGAAAGAAGGTACCCCGGATGCAATGTCTAGGAGCTGTTGTAAAATATCCTTGGGTCTTTTGTCGTTAACCCATGGTATTGCCAACCATTCCTCCGTGGCTAAAAGCGTACGACGTCGACGAAGAATTGCAAAGGTTACCTGCGAATCAGCCAAGGTTAGACCAGTCCAGAGAAAAAACTTTCACCGTGCTGGTAAGAAAAGCCTGACCCAGTATATTCGCACATCTAAAAATAGGGATTTCCCAAGTCCAGTTTGATGGAGCTGCGGTGATCGACGTTGGAGCAGGTGAAGAGCCCAACCCGCATGCTTGAGTAATGCTGTATGAGACGAAGTTGACATCTGCACCAGCCAGTAACGGATTAGTCTTAATTTAACAGGCAATCTGGGAAGGAATCCTGAACTAACTTCGATGACCCCGAAAAGATACGTAGCTCCAAGCGCTTCCAATGAGAGTTGCCCACTAAGCTGTGACAATAATCTTCCTAGTAGCCTAATGGCTTTGTTATAGTATAGGAAGCCTGCTGAAACGAGGCCCGGATTAGAGTCAGATCGACCTATGATCAGAAGAGATGCGGCCCAAAGTGCTTCACATATCAAGGGTGATGAATGTCTTAACGATGCAACCTGTTCAAGGACAGCAGGCTGTATCTGGGTGTTTTCTGTCTTAGAGCAGTATGCATCAAGTAAACGTTGCAAAACATTTTCGAGTACGATAGAAGTAGTTGGAATAGAGGAGGAGAGGCTGATATTACGCTCTGCTACTGTTGCATTAGCCTATAAACAAGATAATGCCATGATTGAACGGACGACCAGTACCATGGCCTGATGGGCTACTTAAACATGCGATGCATCGGGTTGCTTTGGTATTTGCAAGACCCCGCTCGATTTTCAATTTCGGGCTTTTCGTCGTAAGTTGTTCTCTTGTATCATTCGGCTCGCTAGTAATGTCATCCTTGATAGTACAGGTGCATGTACGCTGGGAAAGCACTCCTTGCGAGCGGCATGAAGCACAAGGCTTCAGGCGGTCACACTGAGAGGAACGCGAGCGATCGTGGTTAACGCAATGGCTCTTTTTTTCAGCGCATAAAAGATTATACCTTAAGTTTCCTTTCATCGCAGGCCAAGTATGAGTGGACAGGCGGTTGTCCGGTGACTTTCAGTCTGGAGTAGGGTACAGATGTCATATTTATTGATTCAAACGGACAAGAAATTATCTTCGTCCTTTCATCTTATTTGGCTATAACTGTGAAACTGGTGGTGATGCTCCTATATCAGACAATTTATGCTACCCCGCTAGGTGGCAAATTATGGCTAGGCTTGCTTCAACCTTATTCTGCAAGACCTGAAACCGGAACCGTGGGTCGTCCTGTTCTAGAAGACGTCTATCAAAGTTAATCTACGGCAACGATCTCCGAGGTGTTATTCCCCCAAAGACAATTAAAGTCTTGTCCCGCAAGATTTATAGACCATTCTAAGCTTTAGGTAGCCGACGGGAAATATAACACGATAGTGTTCCATAATAGATAGTACCTGAGGTCGTGAAAGCTTGTGAAAAGCTTCAAGCTGTAGAGCAGTCTTTGCAGTCGCCCCCCTGACATCTTCCACCCATCCGCCCCCAATTCCTGTTTGCTTGTCTCCCTCCGCTCGCCAATACATAACCGCCTACAGATGCGTGCTGTGCTATCCAGCCATAGGCCTTTTTCTGGTAAAGCGCCAATCCCGTGACCCTCCTGCCTACATAGCCATACACCTCGACTGCATTATGATCTTACATTGCTGCGGGCCATTTCACTATCCTACATGTGCCAGGCTCTCCCCTGTCTCTTGGGAATTCCCTTATCCCTTACCTTTGGGGAAAACCTAAATCCTCATTAAGCCGCCCTTCTTCTAATTTGACCATCTGTGACTTTTCTTCTGCGAATTTTCGTCCTCCTCTGGCTGCATTGACTCGACTTAGGCATCTTCGTATTTCATGTAGTGGCCACCGCATCCCATACGCCAATCAACTGCATGGGCTAGTCCTCCTGCCCCTGACGCGTTTCTAGGCCAATATTCAAACTTTGGGTATTAGCACAGATGAGAGACCGTGTTGCTGGAGTTAACAAGCGTGATAACGTTGAGAGCCTTATCGTCCGCACGAAGCGTAGTCCAGATTTCGATGCCGACAGTTACAGGAACGAGGCATGAGGTTCTGAAAGCGGCCTCTAGTTGAACATATAACCGTGGAACACCGGTGGGAATATTTGTGGCAAGCCACTTTGCCCATTGCTCTACATCAGGTTCTGGCAACGCCTTCTGTATCTCCACACTGCGCAAAGAACGCATTGGACTAGTGGGTGTTTTATTATCTCCTACTCTCTGAGCTTCAGTGGAGCGAAGGTGACCCCTTCTGATACTGTGAGCGTGGAATACCCCAACGTACGTCTGGTAGACGTTTCGGAAAAGTTGTGCATGGATACCGGCTGCGGGTGTCCGGCACTCCGTGGGGATCGGTCAAGGTATCAATCAATGTCTGCATGAAGCAAAGGCCTCGAATGTGCATTAGAGCTGTGTTCCCAGCCTGAGGCTGCAAGGATTTTGGAACCTCCATGCATTGCGACAGAACCTGCATCGAGGCTGTGTGCAAATCTGGACCAAACTCTCGTAGTTTCTTTGCCTTTCCTTGGGACGTCCAGTGCCCGATTGGCTTGGTGGCAGCCATGGTGTTGGTATAGGTCACAGATCAGGGAAGAGTTAAAGGAAATACGAGATGGAAGGAGTGGTTGGTACAGGATGTATAGCTATATATTACGACGGGCCGGGTGACTCTTTAGGCGAAACTATCGATATGAGTGACGAGCATTTGATATATTCAATATTACTCCAATACACAGGCTCTCATACCTTTGTGAATGTTATGGCACTGTGAGTATTCACGATGCTTATACTATGGTGTTGTGGAATGACAAGCGATGAGACAATACAGCAAATGTAATGATATTCCTAAGTCTGCAAACTGTAACGTCTCCTAGAAAAGGGGCCCCGAATATATGAGGACATCACCCTTGCCTGCGTCTAGAGGGACACACGGCACTTTAGAATCATGTTTAGACAGAGACTCTCTGTCTAAAGAACAAGGTTATTTATCCGGAAGATAGTACATGCTAATGCAGGTATGTCCAAACACCGAGTTGAGCGAAATATAAAAATACGTAGGACTCATAGGAACGATTTGAACACCGCCACCTAATTGATGGATTCCAGTAACTCAGTCCCGTGGGACTACCTCAAATCTAAAAGCAAGACGCGACAACTTCATCTCCTCGGTCCACTCCTCACCTCCGAGCGAATGCTTCAGAATTTTAGAGACCTTGGATCGCAGACGCTCCTTTCCACTGGCCTCATCGTCTGGCGTGGTTATCTCTATATACACACTGTCCCCGTTCTTCAGGAAGCTAGACGTACTATCGGAAAGCTTCTGAAACCGAAAATGAGAGCTGAATTTGGGTCCAGGTTTGATCCCATCTACATTCCAATCCTTGTATGAGCTTAGGTAGCTGCGCTCTCCGGACGCCAGAAGAACTTTATGGTAGTAGCCCGAGATGGACGGGGTCGCGAGGAGGATATTATCGCCCCATCCGGGCTTCTTGAACTCGTAGGGTGTGTCGTATTTGAGCTGAAAGGAAGATCGATTAGTCTTTCTCATTTGTGTTGACGGTAGTGAGTGGTGCCAATATTTACCTTCCATGCTTCTGAGGGGCCTGATTGAATAGTAGTTTCCCAATCTATTGAATCGGTTTTTTCAACAAGGGAGACATGGCCTGCAATACCAGGGTCGGCAGCTGCCCAGAACAGATACTGGAATTGGTCGGATACGAGGTTTTGTTTCGGCTTCGCGGTTTCTAAACGTCTACGATAGTAGTAGTCGTTTATTTCTCTATTACGAAGGTCATCGATGGCTTCCTTATAGTCATTGAGCCATTCTGGCTCTTTGTAGTTGCGGATCATTTCCTGGATCTTCGGATACTTGCCGTCGGGGTCTGATGCTTTCAGGCGGTCGAGGGAAGGGACGGGCCTGCGAAGGCCGAGGTATTGGCTTCCTGATGCTAGGCGGAATCGCACGGTGCTTCGAACTGACATTATTATATTGTTGTCAGGAAGATAAATGAGGTATTGGAGGTGATTCGGGTGGATATGGTAGGATCATGGTCAAGGTGGTAGGAGTACCACATACGGAGGATTGTTCTTGAACTAAGTAAGCCTAGGCAGGCTTTTGGATGCGGCATGGTCCGCTCACTCCGAAAGGCAAAAGACGCCGCTGATGCTTCGTTCCATCGAATAATCGCTCAACCTCGTCGCCTTGTTGTGATGGTACCGCGCACGGCCGTGATGATCACCGCCGATCGCGTTCTCCAGCTGAATCCTGCAGTTCTTGCCTCAGCTGGGTTTGCGGTCCCTTGACGTCAATGAGGATGGGTGCAGCGACGAGACATCTACTGTCCAGTTGATACTAGTTGTAAGTGTTAATACCACTCTATACAGTACTGTGTAGTATCATAGCTGAAGACTAGGTGGGGAAATGTGCAGATCAGCGGATCGGAGACCTCGGGCTTCAGTTCGCATGAGAGTTTGAGTTTGACACGTCAACAACCCGCTGCCATGGTCCAGTATTTATGGTCTATGACGGGTTGATAGGTTCGCCTTGCAGCGTGGTGACAGGTTTTGCAATGTTCTGAAGCCGGAAATCCGCCGGTCAGGTCCAGTCCTCTCTCAGCGCAGCCACAATCGGCATCATCCCATGGACAGCCGAGCCATGATGCGGAAATATGCCTCTTCCGAGCAGGAGGATAAAGAAAGACGTTCAGAACGATAGCACGCCCCAGTTCAACTTTGGCTCTCAATATCCAGTGGCCGAGTACATTAGTAGATACCTTGATATACAACATGGCTAAGACATCCATTGTCGTCCGCGTCCAGTTGCATGACGTGGATGCCGGGACGTCCAAACAGGCCAGCGTTGCTCCCCTCGATGTGGATGATCTTGATGCGTTCAAGAAACAGACACTTGGGGAGGTCAGAAAGCTTCTTATTAAGGAAAGCGTCTTGAACTCAAGACAGTATGTCATGATCTCCCTTCTCCCTGCTACACTATAATAACAAGCTGCAGACAACAGTCCGCGTTTTGCACCAACAAGGGCGCCGAGGTTCGGGACAAGACCGTATTGTCAGTGTATCTCGGGCTTCAGGCCACCGAAAATGTAAGACGAGCTTAGACTCATGGCTGTAATGCACTAATGGAAGCTAGGACTCCAACCCTCCAACGAAAACCCCCAACAAAGAGGAGACCATGGACAAGGATGGCGTTGAGACCACGGCTAAGGAAATGCCCTCAGCAAACACAGCGAATGAATTTGATATTTACTTAGTCACCAAGCCGAAGACCAAACGTGAAGCTCCTGAGAAAGGCTTCCTCACGGAACGCTTGAATGTCTCCGTTGATGTGCGTTATCGCTCTTTTTATTGAGTATCCTCTGACTGAAAAATTTAGAATGGTAAAATCACGATCCCGGAAGCCAAATGGAAGGAGTTAGAAAGCACATTCAGCAAGGGTGACTGGCAAGCCTCTGCGGATAGCTATACGTAATTATCCCTCTCTGTTTCTGCGTGTCATAGTTCAATCCTAACAGCCTCAGCTATCCTTCCGAAATGACGGAGCAGGACTGGAATCGTGTCATTCGCAACAACAGTCTAATGAGCGGAAACGTCTTTTCCATTGTTGAAAAGAAGGACAAGAACAAGAATACAGAAGGGTATATCGCCAATGTTGACAAGGCCCCGTATCCAGGTAACTTCAGTACATGCCATTGCCAATGATATATACTAAAACCTTCCAGCGTTCAAACTTCTGCCAAGGACCTTTGAACGGTATGAGTTGGATACAAAGCCTGACATTGATGCAAATGTGAGTCAGTATCTAGTCAGGTCTAAATGGAGCTAGTACTGACCGTACAGCCCAAATACTACATGCCTCGATATCTCATCGCAGATGATTCCTATGTGGATGTCTTTGAAACTGCCAATGCTATTTCTAGCTCCTTGGCGTCAAGCTCCTTCTCTCAGACGGATATAGAAGGAAGCATGTAAGCTTATCTTACTCTAAGCTACTATGAAAATAAACTGACCTTCGCAGTGGTGGTGGTGCTGCAGGCTTCAGTGCTGAAGTCAAGGCTGGATTCAGCAAGGGTACTCAAGATGCCATTAGTAGCGCTACTTCCCACGAGAGTCGGGTGATGAATATCAGCTACAACGTATGAAACCTATACTATCATAGTTGTAGCTAACAGACACTTACCTTTTCCACAGTTCCCCCGGGTGTGGGTTTATCTCGACAAGTGGAGTGTTGAACTAACCGACAAATGCGCGGAAGACCTGAAGGCGATCGACAGTACGCAGGGCCTAGTGGAATGGCACGCAAAATATGGCATGTTCTTCTTAGGCCTCACTTTTTTAAATTAATACCACCCTACTAACACTGCTGTAGGCCAGTTCTTTGCCCGACGAGTCGAGCTGGGTGGCAGGCTTTTCTCATCCGAATCTTCGAGCAATATTAGCGGCAGTAGCGCATCTGAGAAAGCCAACCGGATGAAGGTGGCGGCTAGTGCATCATTCTCTTCACCCTATGTGCAAGCATCTGCCAGCGCCTCGCACCAAACTGAGACGACCGACAAGGAAGCTCAGGCACAGAGTAGATTGAACAAGAGTATCTCCTGGCGTGCCCAAGGCGGGAATACACTTTTGGCTAATAAGTACGTGTGTCCATTGTATTTTCCCTGAATGCTGAACTCACTCTATTAGCCCCCCTGCTTGGTGTTCTACTGTGGGACCCTATCAGAACTGGCGGATAGTCCAGGTAAGATCTCAATTCATAGTGGGAAGTAATAGTGGCTAAATACTGAACAGCAAGCCGATGCCTGTTCCATGCTGGACTTTATTCGCACCCTGTCACCAGAATGGAGAGCGACCGTGGATGAAAAAGAGAAATTTAGGGTAGGTGGAAAAAGCGAGACAAAGTGAAAGCAGTTGGATGCCACATTGTAACAGGCCCATGTTATGTCAATTGAAGTTATCATATAACTTTTATACGTTCTTTCTATCATCGAGCATATTAAACAGGGAAAACCGATTGAATAATTCTGTTTCGCGACGAAGACGGGAGCCTATCTAGAGAGTAGCAATATAATCATAGGAGTCGAGAGATCCAAATACCTGGATCGAGCAGAATACGGAGGACAGTGATATTGACTCTAGCCATCGGGATCCTGAGCAGCCAGCGGTCTGGTACCACATCGTAGTTGAAACTGCACCATCTTTTTGACCCTCTTTTCTCAACTACTTTAAATACTGTTATGTCTCTAGTCGTACCGTGTCAATGACCCGAGTCGGAGGGAAAGCTGTCGAATAGACATGCTCCAATCTCATGCTAAAATTTATCTGCTCTAAAACTCGAGGATTGGTACACCCAACAAATGGAAAATGGTCCATAGAACAGATAATTACATCGCGGGTTTATTATTCTTTTCTGGTGCCGCATGTCATTGCCTTCCATCTTTTCGATTACTTTAACCGATTAAGGTACACGCTATCCCCATGCGGTCCAAATGAGGGTTCATGTCATCTCGATGACTTGGACCATCGATACTCCGGAACCAGGGACATATAATGAGTAATGAGCAGCTTAAGCAACTAGAGGATGCACTGCTGGAGGCATCCAAATAGTGTATCTTGTTATTCTGTTCCGCTATCAATGAGAGTGCTGATCAAACCTTACGTACCTCCAGCTATCAATGGAACATACATTTTGCATTGGGGCTGCTGGCCCGGATGGGAACCTTTCTCCCCAAGTAAGTGAAGTGTATATTATGAAAATCGTAGTTGTCTTGATCTTCACATATATTTAGTATCATGGTAGAAGCAAAGAGTGAATTTTATATTCTTACTTTCCTTCATAGGTCACGGCCCATCCACGATATCCAGGTTACCATTGATAATAGCGGACCAATCTTCTACAAATACCATCGCCGGCATCTGAGTATCTTGCGGGGCACATGCTCCTTCCTCTAAACCTAGATATGAGGCCTGTAGGTCTTGTACTCCAAAGCTCTGTGGCACCTGACTAACAGTCGGGAAATGTAGCTGAGCCGGACGTTCAAGGATATCTTGTGACAGCTGAAGCTGATCGTGGACGGGAGGCAAATTGAGACCCGTTCCAGGACCGTCCGGGCATTGACAATCTGAGCAGACATGCAATCGTCGCTGAGCCATCCTTGAACGCAATGCTTGTGCACGAAGGGAGACCAGACAGCCCCAAATGCTACCACTTTCGCTGGTGGCTGAAAGCCTCAAAAAGCCATCGTGAAACTCATCAATGGAGTTAAATATTTTATCGACCATATCCCAGGCAAGGTCTGCTTCGGCACACTGTGGATAAACGGACAAGCAACGTAGCACATATGCCAGAGCGTACCATTGAGTGTAGGCTCGAAAGAGCCATCTGAACTGTGCCGTGCATTTGCTAGCCATTAACGAATAGCTTCTCTCAAGGACACAGTATGCCATCTTGAAAGATGGTTTGACCATGCTCTCCAAGTCATCCTGCGACTCTCTACGTGGATGCAGATAGAGCTCTTCCCGGTGTTGTAGCATAAATTTCATCTTCTCGCAGGCGATGTGATAATGGTGAAACGTGGCCATATACAGGGGATTTGATGGGTTATAATTCGCGAGATACTTTGTTTGCATATAAGCGATATGATCGTCGATCATCTTCCGCTTGGTGGAGAGGTCTTGAAAGGAAGCTACTGCTGAGCTTCCTTTTGTGAGCAAAACAGGATGTAGGATCTTGGCTGCTTCAATTTGGACAAGGCAAAACGTCATTTCAGTCCATGAATCGGACCCGGCCGGGAGACACTCCATTTCTGGGTAGAGCTGACTGTCGTTGACATTGAGTGGGATCGGTGGCATCTGGGCGAATACGTCAATGGTGAATTCAAACCCATGGTCTTCGGGCGATCGGGAGTCAAGAAGACAGAGATGCCACCACAAGCGGCGTCGCATCTCGGCCTCAAATGGCCTTAGTTTCAGTAGTTGTCCATCTCTATGGAGCCCAATCGACTGGGCCAATCGGATTGTGGTTCCAATGAGCACCCATACGGCACGGCCAATATCGTGAACACGTAAACAGGTCTTTTAGATTCCATTCGATTCATGATTAGGACATATGCTAGAAATGGCAAATAGCAAACTTACTACAAATATGGCAAGGGCCTGTAGTTCAGTTACGCTGGGATTACTCATATAATCTCCTTGCACGAGTGCTTGATCCATTCCAGTTGCAAATCGTTTCAGGTGCGTCTTCCGTGTCTCCGGCAACACTTCCGACGCTTCGCGATTATCCAGGCTTGTGACAGCCGCAAAGAAGATTGCAAACCCAAGCGCTATTGAGGATGGTTTGGCAGCTCTGGGGTCAAGGATCGTTCCGATAATCGCTGACTGCGTTGTCGGTATATGAAGAATCTTCAGGACGGGGTTGACACTCTTGACGTAAGTAGCCCATAATCTTAGGGCGAGTGACGGTTCCGGGAATAGCTGGGAAGGATCTGTCGACCCACACGAAAGTCCAGGAAGAATGTCAAGTTTCAAGCGATCGTTTGGGGAGGAAGACGTATCTGTAGTGCTCTCTTGCGTAGTCGCCTGGGGTAGTTCCATCTGCTTTTCCTAGTTGCATACACTAGTCAGGTTGCCTCACTTCCTTGGTTTGCACCATGATGGTACTGGCTGTTCTACTTACATCTTGCAGAAGGTCGCGGATGTTCGAATTATTAATGTATTGGACCCTACCTCCATCTTCAAGGAGGACCTCCCACGAATGCAAGCGACGATTGGATGCTGTGCGTGCATCTGGTAAATTTTCACTCTCTTGATCTCCTGCATTGTCTCTAGTGGATGATATATATCCATCACACAGAGTTGCCAACATGGACTCCACCCTTTCCAGGCGTTCATTGATTTGATGCAGTGAGAGGTTATGGCGTGTACTTTCCCTGTGAATTGTACTTGGATACACACAGTCCCAGCCGGCCCTTTCACAATTTCCACATGGTGTTTTCCGATCGCAGCGAACCTTGCGTCGGTGACAACAAATGCAGGACCGAGATTTTTGTTCTAAAGCGTAGTCTCGGGTTAACGCACGACGCTCCTGAGCTCTTTTCATGGCGACGCTGATACCTAGCAGAGGTATCCTGTCCAGCGGGTGGAGATATGTAGTCTTCACTCTTCGGAGCCTCGCTGCCGATGGACACTACCGTTTAGTATGGTGGAGGCCCCCTTAGGCCAATAACAATCGTTTACTCGGAGGCTTCGGTCCCCACGACCGATGGTAAATATCGGGAATGTGGGATCCTGCTCACTTCCACGGTTCACATAAGCATTAGGGCCAATAATTTCTTATTATTCAATGTGGGGCACTTCTGCAGTAAGCAGGTGCTATTCAAAGATGCCATACAGGTTGGTGGATACCTTGAGGACTTTATGTAGTCCGACCGACAGTGGCCCGAGACCGACATGGATCGGACAGCATGGGTTTATGATCCGAAAATATTTTATCGACCCTGTTGATCTGGAAATGTATATAAAGTCATCCATGTGGAAGTTCTGTCAATGGACCGTGCTTGAACCGCCCTAAACAATTGGCTCAGTATGGATGCTGTTGTTCGGATAGAGAACACACAGAAGGACGTCAGATATCATGCATCGTCGTGGCGCGAAGCTCCTTCAGGTTCTTCTTCGAATGGCGAAACAGGGAATACGTTGACGAGACAGCTCTCCATATCATCATCCATAGGTAGCGCCAGTATATCAACGCAACACATGTCGGACCCAGAACTTCAAGGTAACCTGGAGCGGTGCGGCACAGCGTTGAATACTCTCGATAGGATCGAGTCACAAAGACTTCAGCATGCTTTAACTGTTGGGGAGAGTCTGAATTCGGCGAGGTACTCCTCATCAAGAAAGGCACTTCCAGCATTCGGTGCGGGAAAACCATACCCACCACCATTGCCAGAACGGGAAGATTATGTCGTGGGATTTGACGGACCAGACGATCCTCTTTACCCTCAAAATTGGAGCCTATCTCGCAGGTGAGTTGCTCTCAGCTCGTGTCTATATATCAATCATCTTCTAAATTTTAGCACATCATAAAGACTTTTCATTTCTACGATACTCTCATATACAAGCATGTGCTCCACTTTCGATTCGGCGATTTTCTCTTCATCAAACAGCCAGGTCTCTAGCGCCTTTCATGTTAGCACAGAAGTTGCAACCCTAACCAGCTCCCTTTTTATTAGCGGGTACGCATTTGGGCCCTTAATTTGGGCACCGCTCTCCGAGCTTTACGGTCGTCGCCTGCCCGTTCTCGCCGGCATATTCGGTTTCGCGACGTTTAACGTGGCTGTTGCAACTGCCAAAGACTTGCAGACTTTATTTATATCTCGCTTCTTTGCTGGTCTATTTGGTAGCTGTCCAGTAGCAGTGGTCGCTGCTATATTCTCAGATATATTCGACAATCGCTCGCGTGGTGGTGCGATAGCAGTCTATGCCAGCACCGTCTTCTTTGGGCCTCTTCTGGCTCCCTTTATCGGCGGCTTTATTAATTCGCATCTTAGCTGGCGCTGGACAGCCTACATACCTGCATTGATGGGATACCTGTCTTTCGTTCTCAATATTTTCTTCCTCCGCGAGTCCTACCCACCAGTTGTCTTGATACACAAGGCTGAGGAGCTCCGCAGACATACCAAGAACTGGGGGATCCATGCGAAACAAGAAGAAATCGAGATCGATTTCAGGGAGCTTGTAGCGAAAAACTTTACTCGCCCTGTGAAATTACTCACGACAGAGCCCTTGATGCAAGCCGTAACGCTCTATTTGAGTTTTATATACGGATTGCTCTACTGCTTTCTAACAGCTTACACCGAGGTGTTTCAGGGCGTCTACGGGATGTCACCAGGTATCAGTGGGCTACCTTTCTTCGGTATGATATTTGGCGTCATTGTGGCTACGGGATATATCATTGTCTCGGCACCTTCGTACAACAGAAAGCTTATCAAGAATGGAGAGGTACCCATCCCCGAATGGCGTCTACCACCCGCCCTGATCGGTGGAGTTTTATTCGCCGCAGGCCTGTTCTGGTTTGGATGGACCGGCTTTACTCGAGATATCCCATGGATTGTGCCGACACTGAGCGGGATATTTACTGGCTTTGGGCTCCTCGCTATATTTATTCAGTTATTCAACTACTTAGTTGATACATATCTGACAGTGTAAGTCACGGAACTCTTTTTCTCAACCTTGCGGTCTGGGTTTATTTATTTTCCGCTGCGATCGTGTCTATTAAAGATGCTTACTTTATATTCAGAGCCGCATCTGCAATCGCTGCCAATACATTCGTCCGGTCATTGTTTGCAGCTAGCTTTCCTCTCTTCTCTCGCCAGATGTTTGACAACATGGGAATCCAGTGGGCCTCTACACTTCTGGGTTGTATTGCCACGCTCCTCATTCCAATTCCTGTTTGTTTCTGGCTATTTGGGGACAGGCTAAGGAAGAGAAGTCGTTTTGTGCTCAACGTAGAGACCTCATTCCAATCGAGCGGTCATACGCCCGATGACAGTACTGAGAAGGAAGCATAGGAGAAAAATATGAGGTGGTCTACATATCATAGTTTCTTCTAAACTAGGACATCTGTGTTAGAGACAGTCACACTGATATAACGTTGTAAAGATATACCGACAGAGCTTAAAGCTTAGTTATATATAAGAGAGGTTGCTGATTCAGGCAAACAAGAGATAAAGGAAGCCTTTATATCTGTACATTCTATCGGGTCTAACGCAAGTCATATTATGTTACTGTTTTAATTACTTTAATAGTCCATTCAATTATTACTTAAAGTTTGCTCGAATACGCTTGGAATTACTAAACTATGTTTGACCACTTTCCTAAGCCTCTTGTGGCCTTCAAGAACCTCTCTACTGCTTCCAGAGTATGCCCGCGGATTGATCAACAGGACTATTGTTGGCTAACGGTAATCTGTAGAGCATTATGACTAGAGGAGAAGATAGGAAGTCAGCTGTACAGCCAACCAGACAATAGTGAGCCAAGGTATGCTTTGGGAGGTTGACCACGCGATAAATACACAGCGGTGGGTTAGAAAGTGATGACCTGTTCGAGATGTGTTGTGATTGAGAATGAGAATATCAAGGTGTAAATTGGATTTGTCAACTGATTAAGGTGATACACATATCAAGGTGGCAATGAATCCAGGTCAGATCATGATATGAACTGGTCAAGAGTATAGACTAGGAGGTAGAAGGCCAGAACGGAGCGGTGGGGGAAAAGAAGATAAACAAAATAACACAACACAAGCCTGGCTGGAAAGAAATCATTCACTCAATGTCAGGCGTCGTAGTCTGGCTCTCTGACAACCAATCGGAACACTGTGCAGTCTCACTACAGAGTTCAAACCTTAGGTCTCATATTCCCTAAGAAGGCTTGATAGATATTGTCCTTTCCTATACTATCCCGCAAGTCCCACCAGTTGAGCTCCACAGACAAAGAGGTCTCTTAACAGGGGCAAACTCCGCAATTGGCTCTTACCTAGCATTGAAGCTGGTATCACAGGGGCTAAGGTGATGCAGTACCCAAGAGTGAGGCTCACGACAGAAAATCCTCGAGCAAGCTCCAACAGCCCAAGTTACGGTACGAGTATGCAATCTTGCCTCATTTGATTCGGTCAAAGCTTTCATTAGCCAAATAAGACAAATAAGACCGGAGTCCAAGTGTTCTGGTCATTCTGAATGCGGGTGTACGGTGCTCTCAGGGGATGGCCTCTTCAGATGGGTTTGATATTTCGCTGCAGGTAAATGTGTCTAGTTACTTGTTAATTCGATATATTAATATGGTCCAGGTGAATACGCTATCAAATGCTCTCCTTGCCATGCTCATCTTGCCACTTCTTCGCTATAAACTGGTAAACCCCGATCGTCTTCATGACGTCCGAGGGACACGCAATGGTTCCAAACAATTTTACACGACATAACAGCATCCTCGACACTTTCAAGCAGGAATCACAAGCCAGCTACTATAGATAAGGAAGTCAACTACCGTAAGTACAATGTCTCTGAATTTCCGGACGTGGATAACCGTTGTAATGTTTCTAGTTTTTCGTCAAGCGCGGTAGGAGTCATCTGTGGGAGCAAGTCCTGAGCACTTTGGAGCGGGTGGATCCTAGTTTTGAAGCTTGTCTGCGAGTAGCCTGCTAGGTTGACTCAGTTACCTTCAGATACTTCCCGAGCCACATCCAGGTAGACCCCCATTTTACTCCGAGGTATAATGTCTGAGAGCAAAGGAAGGCTCTTGGCCTGTCCAGAGTGTGACTTCTTCAAGAGCTTACATCGCGGTAACGTCAGCAATCGAGACGGCGAATATCCAAAATTATATCACTATAACAGCAATCTCCTCAATAGCGGGAATCAATCCACGCGGATATTGTCATGACTGCCATGGGCCTCAACCTCCAAATTGGCGGCGGGGTCACTCTTGAAACCAATGCAAGCCCTTGCGATATTTCCAAAGCATTCCTGCGGAAAGGTATGATGCTTCAGAGCATTGCTAATGCATTCTTGGCTCTCAGATATCTCACCAGTGCTCCGTGGACTATGGGGGTGATCAGGCGATGGCGTCCGCGCATGAATTATATAATCGATTATCTTCAAGCCAACTATGGCTCTTTTGGGGATTGTTTGTAGTTCACTAGAGCGGGTCGAATGGATTTTTTCGCTGCTGTAACTCATATGTGTTGAATTGGTCCAATAAAATGCCCTAAAAATATCAAGTTGAATTGCGATAAGTGACAAGGCAGTCCGTAGTTTTCTTTTTTTCGAATCACGCGGAACTGTAAGCCCGAGTAAGCCCATCTTGACTGATCCATTAATCCATTAAGTGATTGATCATCCGCGCGTCCCGGACCAATCCGGGAGGAATGCCAATCCAGACAAACAACTCCACATAAGCTCGGCGTCTTGGCGTCTGTTCATCGCGATCTACACGTTTCCCGGATTCTGATCAGCGGAAATCCGGGGTGCATTTGGGCTGATGGGCTGGGATGGTAGATCAGGCGCCTATTTAGTTCAGCATTGTCGGAATATGTGGTTTTTTAAACCGTCCAAGCATGTCGATTTGTTGGGGTTCTATTTCTCGTACATTTTTGAGAGCCAAGCACCAAGCATGCCAAAACCCCCTGAACTCCTAGGCAGCAAGGCATATTTTTAGCGCGGCCCCTTTATTTCAGCAATGGCGCCCTTGGGAAGGGAACAGCCACATTTAGTTTCTCTGCAAAAATTGCTATATAACGAACGCACATATGATATAAGCAAGTATCCTTATGCAATCCACACCGGCATGAAAGCACTCCTTTACTCCCCGAGTAGGAGGACACGCCGGCTGCGCGTAGCCCTTGCATTAGTCATCCTAATTTGGAGTCTAGTGGAGGTTCTTCACATTAAATATACCCTCGTGCAGCAGGCACACTCTGATCCCGGAATATTGGGAGATGAAAAATTATACATTGCGGGCATTCATTGGAACAGCGAGAAAATCCTCCGCGAGGCATGGATCCCAGCCGTGGTGGACCTGGCCAATGCGATTGGGCCCGAGAACGTCTTCATCAGCATCCAGGAAAGCGGCAGCTGGGACGATACCAAAGGCGCCTTGCTCCACTTAGATCAACAGCTTGCCGCAAATAATATCTCAAGGGAAATCATCCTAGACAAGACGACCCATCTCGACGAAATCAGTAGACCTCCCACTGGCGAGGGCTGGATCGAAACACCAATCGGGAAAACCGAGCTACGCCGTATACCCTACCTCGCCAACCTCCGGAATCTAGTATTGCAGCCGCTCTACGACAAGGAGAGCGAGGGGATCATCTACGACAAGATCCTATTCCTGAACGACGTGGTCTTCACCGTAAGCCTCTAGCCAATTATATATCTCCCCCATCTTCCATCTCATGTACTAACTCCATCCCCCCAGGCCAACGATATCACTAAACTCCTCTCAACGCGGGGAGGTAACTACGCCGCAACCTGCTCACTAGACTTCTCCAAACCGCCCAACTTCTACGACACCTTCGCCCTCCGCGACAGCGACGGCCACGACATGCTCATGCAATCCTGGCCCTACTTCCGCTCGCGCGCATCCCGCCACGCCCTGAAAACCAGCCAACCCGCCCCCGTCACCAGCTGCTGGAACGGCATAGGTTCGTATCCCCTCCCCCCAACCCCCAACCCAATGCAAGTAACCTCCTTAGCCCACAAAACTAACAATTGAACCGGCAGTGGCAATGGACGCTTCTCCCTTCTACCAAAATTCCCCGCTAAAATTCCGTGGCATCTCCGACAGCCTCGCAAAATCCCACCTAGAAGGATCCGAGTGCTGCCTGATCCACACGGACAATCCCTTATCCCGGGACAAGGGGGTGTGGTTGAACCCCAACGTGCGGGTCGGGTATAATATCCCGGCCTATTTGGCGGTTAATCCAGGGGATGACGTGTGGCTTTCGGCGGGGTCGATCTTTTGGGGGTTGTGGATGAATCGGATGCTGAGGTGGTTTAGCACGCCGTGGTTTAAGGAGTATGTTGTGTCGTCGCGGGTGGCGAGGTGGGAAGGGCAGGGGTCGGGGGATAGGGAGATGGGGCGTGTTTGTTTAGTTAATGAGATGCAGGTGTTGACGGAGAATGGGTGGGCGCATCGGTAGGTAGGGTATTTGTATAATCTGGCTGTATAGGATGGTAAGAGGGGAGGGTACGTGGGTTGATTAGGGCGTTGGGATGGGCGTTTGTGATGCTGGGTTATTAAGAAAATGTCGGAGTGTAAGTTATTTAGATATGAGATTTATCCAAGGAGTTCTTTCATATACTTTAGATGTGCTCGTTGATAGGGACTTGAATAGTATTATCAATCCTGGCCCACCATAGGGCTGACTGATATATCACATTTATATCCAACTATACTGCGCATACATGTATCTAGCTATACATATAATAGACGTCCGATTGACCTTGAAACTGCCTGTCGCAGGGGTCCGGCTCTTGACGGGACTTTAAACAGAGACTTGTACTCCCACTGCAGGCTTGGAACCATCAGGCCATCCATGTTCATCTGCCACTATTTCCTCAGCGCCCTCGCAATCTGCAGAAGTCCCACGGGTAATAAACACGGCGATGCCCAAAGCAACTACCCAAAATGGCGCTTCTGACGTATGTCGACTCTTAATGCTGCTGAAGAAGCTATTTTGGGGAATTTTGTCGGCGTTTGACCATTTTATCGTCCTGAACACCACTGGCAGTAAGATCCAAGCCAGTGTCTCGAAGCAGAGCTCCGATTGCCAGGTGGACAGGCGTTGCGTCAATATGTTGCATAGTAGAGCTGAGCCAGCTGACCTGGTGATCGGATCAATGTAGGTCAATAGTGGTTTTCCCATCGTCCCAATGGGTTCTAGGCAGCTTCCCATGTACTCTGACGGTAGAGGTTGCCATGATCACACTTCCCAACGGGGCCTCGCTCCCGCATAACCCCATTTCACGTAAGATTCTAGTTCGATCAAATGAGGAGGATATCTTTTGTTGGATTTGGGTAAAGGCGGAGTTCATCCACGTCCTTAATAATTGACCTCTATGACCTGTTAGGGGAACTAGATCCCGATAAGCCTACGCTATGTACGTGTCCCCTGTCTCTTTTCTTTGTGACTTGCCTCCCCCATGTTGTTATTGGTATAGTCCGAATTGTGGGTCACATAATAACAACTGATTAAAGTTTATCAGGTTTCATGGAATAATAGTTCCAGTTGTCCGAAACCCACGGTGGATCAAAGACACCCCAGATCAATGCCCTGTTAAGTTTGAACGCCTATTCTCATAAGCTTGTACCACTGACAAAGTGAAATCATATCTTCTATGGTGAAATTATATAATTGAGCTCTAATGCTCTAATATAGTCTTGTTTTTAGAAGCCACCATACTGTGACATTTCCGCTAGCCTGTTTTGTGTCGAGGAACAGAGAAAGATCGTTAATATCCAAAGCCCTTCACTTATCTCAATTCAGATTTTTTCCCAGTACTACTAGTATTACAGCGGTATAATTTAAGCTTAAGCGCCTACTTACCAATGAAGTCAATTACACTTATATGGGTGTGGTGGTTATTATCTCCTCGTGCAACGAGTTCCACAAGGGACTTGGGTTTTCTGATAAGATGAGGCTACTGACATATATACCACCACATGGAGATCTCCATCTTGATCAGTTGATTAAAATCAACAATAGGTATTCTGCAGCGATAGGCCAGGGACCTCTGCCATCCCAATCAATATTAAACCAGTGAAATCCCAGCGCTTGCATCGGAGCCTAAATTTCCTTGTTGAACCCCTGCGCAGGGATCATCTACATAACAATCATCACGTGGATCTATCCATAGGAATGCCCCGGTGGGCCCGTCGCCGTGGAGAGGTCGATGAGGAGGCTGCGAGAAACGAAAGCAATGCTGTGGAGAATGAGCACGTTGTTTCCAAAAATGCGTATGGCTTTACGAATACAGAGGAACATAATTGGGAGGAGCCAAAGCAAGGGTCCTTTTTTATGGTCTGTTAGCACCAGCACTCTCAAAGTGAACATTCAACAAAAGCTTCTATTTCGTTGGGAATCGTGATATCGTGATCTCTCGGTGCATGATTCTGGGAAGTCTCTTCGGTGGCGTTCACCGTCTTCTGTTTCATCGCTATATTTGTTATCCTGCTAGTATACGACCGGAAATCGTTCCTACTTTGCGTTATGGTGTGACCCTCAACACGATTGTGTCGGTTCTTGTAACGGGCACCAAATCCCCGTTGTTTGTCGCCAGTGTTGGAATCGGGCAACTGGCGCTTCTCTGCTTGAGCGTGCGCACTTCTTTATCATTTCGTAAGATATGTATAGATGCTGTGATACGACATTGAAGCAAGACAGTTCAACGCGAAGATCGCAAATCCCGAGGTAGGCCTTCCCAGGGATCATGCTTTGTAGACCAAATGATATATCCAACGGACTGCCGACATCCTGTCGAATCTATACTTTTCTTAATCACGAAATGCATGACCATTGTTACGATTTTACTTGCGTTTCTATATTCCTTTCTATTATTCTTGCAAGTTTTCTATTTGCTTTATTGCCGTACGAAGAGCATCAAATATATTATCAAATTCTACCACTTCAAAAACAAATCCCAAACGAACCCTTCCACCCAAAAGAAACCAAACTCCAAAACCCACAATCCATTTAATTTTCTCCGGTGGAACAAAGTCTCCCCAGACCCTGTGCACCGACATCAGTCTCAAGAACAAGGGCAGACGGAAAAATCGCAACTTAACCTACCCCGCAACTTCGGGGTAACACCAACCGATGGCGTCTTGGCTACCAATATAATACTAACCGGCTATAGTATAACCCCGGTCACTGAAGCTCAATACCCATCAATTAAGCAAAATGTTACGAATGCGTGCTCTCTCACTTCTACTTTACGGCGCAATCGCTCACGGCAAGTACATCGTGCCCGGGGGCCGGTGGCACGACACAGATGGCAACCTGGTGAATGCCCACGCGGGAGGAATCACCTTTGACGAAAACACGGGCCGATTCTGGTGGTTCGGCGAATACAAGGTCGAGGGACAGGAAGAGGGCGGTGGAGTGTCGGTGTATAGTTCTGAGGATTTGGCGACGTGGGAATCGCATGGGTTAGCGTTGGGTATGCTGTGCATCGTGGATTTGATTGGTGAGACGTGTTGCTGATATTGGCAGAACCGGTGGAGGGGCACGAGTATATTTCCCCGGAACATATTATTCAGCGACCGAAAGTTGCGTATAGTGAGGAGGCGGATCAGTATCATGTGGGTGACGATTTCTTTCTATCGTGAGGCTTCGTGGTCTAATGGGATATTACAGATGTTCTGGCATGCAGACAATTCTTCGTATGGATGGTTGCTACAGGGATTTGCCGTATCTGATACCATTGGCGGGCCGTATACGTTTGTTAATGCGACGGCGCCGATGGGGAACTGGTCGCAGGATTATGGTCTCTTCACGGACTATAAAGATGGGCGATCATATGCTCTGTACTCGAACGGGGATAGGAAGGAGGGTCGCGATGTCTATCTTACTCGGTACAATAAAGATGTCACTGAGCTAGAGGAGATTGTCCACCGGTTTGATAAATTCGATCTCGAAGCGCCTACTATTATCCAAACGGATAAGAGTTATTATGCGTTGATGAGTCACAAGACCGGGTACAGGCCGAACAGTGAGCGAGATTCCTGCTTGAGTGAGTTGGATTGGTCTAATTATGTAGATGTCGTCGCTTTCAGGGCTGATTCCCTCGAGGGTCCTTGGTCTCAACCGTTTACGGTTGCACCTTTCAATACCCGCACGTTCAACTCCCAGTCCGGCTCCTCATTAAAGATTCAGGGGACTAAGAAGACTACCTATCTTTATATTGGGGATCAGGTATGAAATCACGAACTTTCAACTATATTACTTCTGCTAATATGAATAAGTGGGACACAAACTCGCTTTGGGAGAGTCGTTACATTTGGCTGCCCGTAGACATTGATGATAAGAAAAAAAAGCTAGAGTTAGTCTGGCACAATGTCTACGACCTTAATGTGTACGTGCTCAGATCCTCATGAAATTCTCCTATACTGAAAAACTGTAGCAAAACCGGCGAGTGGAAACCGATCAAAGGCAAGACATACTATGGAAAAGATGCGAAGACTTCCGGAAATGCATTCAAGCAAGAGGCAGTATGTGTAGATTTTCTCCACATATATGATATCCGCTCACTGTATAGAATTTCGCCAGCGATAATGTCATCTTAACTGGTATTTACGGCAACGACAGCACAGTCACATTCGAAGGGATTGAAGGCACGGGTAAACCGCAATGGGTATCATTCTACTACCAGAGTAGGTCATGCTCCCTCAACAAAAACGCGAGATGCTAATAAGGTTCAACAGACACAGATGATATGGGATTCGGAGACCAACGTAAGCTTCTAGCACCCCTTGTAACTTGTCCTTTCTAACAAAGGTTGCAGCCGGTGGAAGCCCAGATCGTATTGGGGGTTCATGGCAACTTCGACGCATTAGTAGTGTCGTTGTCAACGGTGACACATCCAACGTACAAACTCTCTATCAGCGGGACACTCACAAAGGAATCATCCTCTCGACTCCGCTACAGTTGACCCTCGAAAAAGGCAACAAAAACACCATTACAATCGGGGGTTTGCACAATGGGTTTGATTATAAAGGAGCGGATCTGGACCGGATTGTGGTTTATCCTCCCGAGCATTAAAGTGCAAGCCTGCTGTTTACATATATTCTCTAGTGGTTCCCTGCTATAAGAGTGACGAGTGGAAGTTGAATCATGTTAAGGATAAACCGTGCGTGCCGCCTTTAGAATACATATGGTATCCTGGGTAGGGCGTCTATCTGGATATATGAGGCCACTTGTCCGTTATAGGGACTAGGACAGGCAGTGGCTACAAAAGCTAGAGTTGTAGGTACCACTCCTACGGCTAACGATTCGATTAGGCAGCAGTGGGGATAATCCTGGCTGGAGATATGGTTGCTGGGGTTGCTTTGCAGTCTTGAGAGGAAACTCGTTGATGTACGGACTTACTTCTGTCAATGTTGTATGTATCCAATAGATTCAAGCACCATTATTAAAACCTAGGTGTTTTCCGTACTAACATTTCTCCGAAACCCTAGATTGCAAGTGAAGTAAGTCCCCGTCTAATTCAGCCGACGCATCCTAAACCCCATAATGGGAGGCATCTCCCGGAAATTCTCGTCCGCATCTAACCTCATCTTCTGCTGCTCATCGGGTGCGCTGAATGTTGGTTCTTCCAAAGCATCCAGGAAGAGGCCAGCCTGAAAGAAGGGTCGAAAGAGCTCATGCAAGGGGCGATGGTAGTAAATCTGCCCTGGCATTAGAAACTCGGCCAGGAGTATAAAAACAGCCGAGGGCATGCCTACCTGTAATTTTGGTTGCCCTTCAATCGCCACACCGCGTGCTGGTGGTTTGTTCATATAATGGGTTAGGCTAAAAGTGTATACAGGCTCTGTCATGCCGTTTTCCTCGTTAATCCTGAGCTCGATTTCACGCGAGCCGGAGGTAGTGTGAAAGACGGGGTGGAGAGTGTTGGCCACGAATCTAATTTTGAGAGACATTATGAACACACTATCTAAAATCATGACATGGACCATGACTGAACTCACCTTCCTCCAGGTCGAAGTAGCTTCGGCAGCATTGTCGCTAATGGCTGCAGCGTGGAAATATCCATCGCGGCCATATTCATCGTTACGATTTCAAAGCCACCGACCTGAAACGATATCTGTTAGTCCTTATTTTCCACCTGGCTACTCACGGATGGTAACAGCACGAAGCTCGCTCATATACCTTCTCCGCAGCAGTCAAGATATCTTGCCACGCGACACCATCGGCGCTCGACAGATCCAGGAGCTTATAGGTGATTCTAGGAGAGCCACGCTCTGTGTTTGTCTGATAACCTTCTGCAATTTCGATCATCTTTGGGCTCACATCTGTCGCAATGACTTGAGCACCCTGTGCCGCCAGCCATCGCGCAACTAGCCCATTGCCGGTCGCGAGATCAAGGGCGTGAGTTCCAGGATCAACACGGGCAAGCTTCTCGAGGACAGGAATCTCTAGCTTGTTGTACCATTTATTGCCTGTGGTGCCCATTCTCTTGTCCCAGAAGGTGGCGTTGACATCCCACGATTCAATAGCTTCGGCGTTGAGATCGTGAGCCATGGCGACAGTCAGAGACAGGAAAATTAGGATAAGATCCCAGAGCGGGGCAGTCGTCGTCTTTATATTGAATAAATAGCTTGCATTTGAGATGAGTCACGCTCGTATTCAACATGAATCCTTGTCTAGTAAACTGCACTTCGGAATCTTTCGACCCGCGCTAAATCGAACATTGACATTGTAGTCAAAGCGATATTGAACCGGACTAGATCCTGATATGTCAGGATTTAATCTCCGCCGTGTTCCATCAAAACCTGAATGCAAGGATATGTCTTTTCGGAACTGCACTTGACTAGACCCTGCTAGAATGACTTGGATATATTTGCCCATGAAATGAGCGGCGTGCCATATTCTGAGCTCGTTTCAACGATATCGCTCCTTCTGGCATAGTTCCTAATACTAGGGGCCTATCTTCTTGTTACACTATCTTCATGTGTCGCCCATTAACCGCTAAAATCCCACAACCGAACCTCGTCTTTCTCCACTGGGCGATCTTCATGGCTTGTCACTCCATGTATCCCTCCCGCCAAAAAGTCTTCAGCTCGAGTCATCTTGTAGTCCGGTAGTAGACAGTTCCACTCGTTTGAGACTCCGAAAGCTCAGTAGACATACCTAAGAGGACGCCAGACGCGAAACTCGCGGCTAGTGAATCCACCTGCTTGAACGGGAATGGCAGGATGATCAACTTTAGGCAGCCAAGTGCTCTTCACCACTCCGGCCTTGAGGTCTTCGGCTTTCATCTTCACGACTGCAAAGGGGCCACCTTATTACCGCAAATCAGCACAGAGTTCTGAACGGGTACCAGGAGATCCATATAATAGCAAACGTACCGCGAACTTTCCCCCCGATTGCAATCAGTTGCCCCACTTTTAATTCGTCGCCTTTGATGTCCCCAACGATAGGCCATACGCCTTCGTATTCAACCGCTCTAGCGATGACATTGCAAAAACCCTGGACTGTGATGAGGTTGATCTGGGAATCCTCACCACCCTCGAGTAAGATGGCCCGACAGTTGTTAAAATCGATCTGATTCTTGAAGGGGTGGACATGCTTCGATGTCTTATATGGTGCTGCATAGTAATTGATGAACATGCCCGTCAAGCCTTATGTAGGTAGGAGATATACGTTTGGAACCGCACAAGGCTATTAATTGCCGCTTAGCTTACCTGCCGGTTGTGACACCTTTGACAGTTACTAGATTCTCTGAGCTCTGATTGGTGGGTCACGGACGCGTTGGTATACAGAGCAGCCAGCATACACCACCTGTGTTACTTCTTTCCTCGCCACGTTTAGTGTTCTAGATTTGAGCTACCAATATCATATTGTTTGAGTTTCGTATTACCGGTTCGATGATTTAAGTAAAGATCAAGTTAATTTAGGTTTATATTAAACGTCTTACCGCATATATCTTGAGCTAATCTTTATCTTATTACTATAAGCCAATTCAACGCATTCACCCATCCCTTAACAATGTGTGTATTGAATCCACGACAGACCTAGAATGTATCGACCCCATTTGCCGAGTGTATCACCTTGCAGTTGACCTCTGATCAAATAGCTGCTCTCAATAAAAAATATTATAGTCTTGTAAACGCATATAACATGATTTTCTGCCAATTGGAGCCTCTAGCGAGCGAAATGTTTAGCTTACCCGTATATCTTTGTTTATATTATCAAGAATATCAACCCAATTTCAACCAAGGGCGAGATGGCCGAGCGGTCCAAGGCGCTGGAGTAAGGTTCCAGTCTCGAAAGGGGCGTGGGTTCAAATCCCACTCTCGTCAACATGTTTTTCCCCAATTCGGTTTGGTTTTTGTTTTTGCCTTAATCCAATCGATTGATCGTATAATGATACATAACCGGCTACCTAAGCATTTGCGCCATAGCATACTCTACATTACATGAATCATCTTTCGTAGGTCATAAGTAAGTGGACGTTGTGTATACGTCGAGGGGCGCAAACGATGCCTAAGCACTGTAAGTGTATATTCTGAAATTATCACAGAGTTCAATTGCTTCGCGAAGAAATTATTATCTCTTACACATGTAGTAGAGCAAAATGAATTGAAGGTGGCCGGCGTTGTTCCAGAGTAAATCGTATGCCTTTCCTACTATTCCTAGATCCCACATTCCGTTATACATACCAATCTAATGGATATCTATGGTAATTATCTACGTCATGTTAACATTACAAGCAAATATTAACAAATCAAGCATTAAGCAACATACAGGGAATCAGCCGTGGACACGCAGCTATTTACTTCCCAAATATGTAGCATCAATCTTGATATAACAGTCAAGCAGGTCATACAGTAGTGTCTTAGTATTTGGACCAATACCGTGATAATTGATATATCCGATATCAACTAAAGCTCGTGTAGATCAAGCAGCCTGACTGGTGGTTTTCTAGGATGAAGACTTTGGCAATCCAAGATATAGCAGTCCCAGATATTTAACAAACATTAATCATGTTCGCTAATAGTACTTTGGTGGGAAAATAAGATAATAGTCCAGTTGAGTAGATTGAAAGCCTCTGGGCAATTCTGGTGCTCATAATGAACCCCCAACTTTATGAATCCTTTATCGTGACTAAGTTTCATGCAGTGCCGTTGCCATCGTTCGTGCGGGCATGAATTGTCGAGTTTCGTCTTACCCTTACTCCCCGTTGAAGACACAGGGAGGAAGAAACAAAAGAGGAAAGTATAGTCAAATAGCTGTTGGTGTATATCATATAGTGCAACGCTAGGCTATAATTTTGGTGGAGTGATAGATGTGTCAAAATGGTTACACACCAAAGACATATTGCAGACTCTATGCCAGACACCCACGTCAAACTTTTCATGAATTTAGATGGGAGTATGGCTCATAATAACATGGTATCTCACGATATCTTACAGTCGGGCAAGTCCAACTTCCTATAGAGCTTGTTATAATTACATCATAACATATATATGTGTAGGCACTGAGATTCTCTTTTCCATTGCTATAGGGCAACGCGTGGTCATGTGACCAGCGCCCGAAATTCTACATCCTGATGGCTAATATCAGGCCTCTCTACGCAGTCATTCCAGAGCATGATTCAATTCTGCTAGATATAGTACACCATCATGCGTTGATACCAACCCTGGTAATATAAGCCACACACATAGCTCGCCGCTCAGAATGTCAAATAAGTAATTAAAAACTCAACCAAGGCGAGATGGCCGAGCGGTCCAAGGCGCTGGAGTAAGGTTCCAGTCTCGAAAGGGGCGTGGGTTCAAATCCCACTCTCGTCAGCATCTTTTTGGATTTTTGGTATCCTTCCTACCATCGCTATTTCAGTATGGCACCGCAACAGGTGGGCTGAGCTATCATTGCGGCCCCTTGAGATGGGTGCTGTGTAGTGGTGAGAATGTCCACTACTTGAGTTTGTACAGTCCTAATGCATATATCCTTCACCGCAATCTTCTATCCCATGATCTCCAACAATATCCTGTAATACATTTCCAACTATCAATCCTTCGTTCTCCAAAAAGAAGGGTTCTATGCTAGAATATCAGGTTCAGTTAATAATAACGCCTATCGACCAGTATTCGAGACCGTGGAACGCGCTAAAGGACTATACGTGATTGTTAGTCAGGATATGGATACCTCATCTTTAATGACAAAATGCTGAAGCCCGTAATATAACTTCTACCCCGTAATTATTCATCCAGATATGTACTGACCTAGACATTAGTTAAAAACATGGCAAGCTTTATTCTTCGTAAGGGGGTCTATTCCCCCCCCCCCCCCCCTTGGGCAATTTTTGTTATATTGGACTTCTGGATTCGGGCAAAGAGATAGACCACCGCGGCCATTAATGATGTACGTTACATTAGCCCTCTCTGAAACCGATTGCATACAAATTCTCTATCTCCATATTCGGCAGACTTTTAACAAAGCAAGCATACGATTGATGCATCGAACCAGAGACCAATCAATTACCACCCAAGACACGGGTGAGTTTTTAATGCACCATAGGTTCTGTTGTACACTTGATGAGACCGGTCCTAGTGCTAACAACAGCGTACTGGAGATCACTCATGCCTGAAAAAGCAAATGGTGTGCCAGAGCCGAGGGCATTAGTTGAAACAGGATACGTCGCAGTCGACATGGTCTCAGTGGTATAAAGGTAGTGATAGCCGTTGCAAGTGAGAAGGCCGACCATATAAGAATACCACCCACCAGATATATGAAGCCCAACCAAAACGGCACTTTTTATTTCGCAAATTGTCTCTTCTAATAATGATAGCGCTGGGCATGCTACCTTTCATTAGTATAAGAGTGCTTAAGTGTCCTTGTGATTTCACTTTTGTTCGTTGTTTCACACAGGTGAACGGGTACCTCAATCATGGAATTTGTTGAACTTTTGGACTTATAATGCTGAGCTGCCAGGTCATATCGGGGAGAGTTCTTATAGAGGCAAACTTTTAAGGGTCTCATGTCTCTAAAAACTGTTTGTGGGATTTGCCCAGAACGAAGACCTGATGCAGCATTAACCAAATTGTAATCCATAGTCCTACCAAGGATGGAATTTATACTTTCTTTCAAATTACTGGTTACGCAATAAACTTTAACTCCACCAGGTGCTTGTAGAATGGAGTTCCCTAACCACTATATGAAGTACTAGGTGTCTAGGTCTACCTCTCTGCTGTCTATACAATGTCTTATGTCACACCTCATTGGCTCCCTAGACGGATCACCTGACCCACAGGCACAGCCATAAAGAAGCTTGTCTACAGTAGTTCAGGCATCATACCTGCTGGAAACCTAACTATCTTTAAATCTCCCTTAATCAGATCTCATGGGGCACTTACAAGACATCTTATTCGTGAGCCTTGGCTTGGTGGTCCTCGACGAAATCCGCTTTCCCAATCGAGAACCGTTGACAGATGTTCTCGGTGGTTCTGGAGCCTACGGTTGGTTTCTCATTTAGCATCTTATAGAGATAGCAGTATACTGTAAAATTTTCAAACTGACCTGATATGTCTTCTAGCCACACTCGGTGCTCGATTATTTCTTCCCCATCCACTAAGTCGTTCCTTAGGCTGGATAATCCATGTTGGAAATGACTTTCCAGAACACATAGAGGACCGTCTAGAAAGCTGGGATGCGACATTGACCATAGAAAGAGAACCAAGCAAACCATCAACGAGAGGTCTACTCGCGTACGAAGATACAACATTTGGACGTGCGGAAACCTCCCCCATGATTTACCAGGTGCTCAGTGCGTCAAACAGGGAAAATACAAGCTAACTTGTCTTTAGCCAAGGAATTCAAGTATACAACGCCTATCCTTGCAATTCAAGATCACGGCTTAGAAAGCTTATCACTCCTGACGTCGCAAGCATATCACTATCTTGAAGCCCCTCACAGCATTACGGCCCGTCTCTCGAGTCTGCTTGCTCTTAGGGAAAATTCAGGGATACTGGCACGTCCTCTGGTGATCTGGGAGCCTGCTCCACTTTCATGTAAACCAGAGAATCTACAGCTATGCCTAGATGCCGCGGCTATTGTCAACGTATTTTCTCCAAACCACCTAGAATTAGCCACACTATTTGGAGAGCCGCTATCAACTGCTATAAACAAGGGTAGGATCGAGTCGTTGGCGGTGAATTTCCTGGATAGCGGTGTGGGCCCAGATGGACAAGGCATTGTGATTGTCCGAGCAGGTGAGCATGGCTGTGTCATTATGGCACGCAATGTTACCCCTGTATGGCTGCCCCCATTTCATAAATCTAGACCAGGAGAAGGACAGAATTCCAAAGTGGTTGATCCGACTGGAGCTGGTAACGCATTCCTCGGGGCATTTGCCGTTGGTTACCTCAAGACAGGGAGTATCGTTGAGGCGGCTTGTTTGGGCTCCGTTGGAGCATCATTTGCGTTGGAGCAGGTGGGAATGCCAGAGAAAAGCAACAACGGAGAGAAAGAGCTGTGGAATGGTACCGATGTTTTTTCAAGATTGAATGAGTATCGAAGATCTATTGGACGAACTGGGGATCAGCCTAAATACTGTGCGCATCAGTCATGAAAACCACGAAATCATCTACGGCGGAGGCATCGTTTCCACCCCCGGGACAATGTCTGCGTAGCGACAATTCCAATCACGAATTCCAACCACCTTCTCTCAATTTTCAAATGCAGCCTTTGAGATCATCTCCATGATGGATAAGAAGGCATCTACCTATAGGGTATGTAGCCGTTTTGGGGGTATAGGTCTGTATTAGGACTTAGACGATTGCGTCTTCTGTGAGGATACCGGCTATGACAAAATGGGCTCATTCCGAATATTGAAGAGCCCCTCAGTATCACTTCAATTGAGCAGCATCCCAAATTACCACGACTCCTACTTTCAAAGATGAGTAAACTGTGTTTTTCCACGAACGTTCCTAAGTTCAGTCACAGCGTCATCGCCAATGTCCGATACGGATCCTACATCTTTTAAGAATTGCTAGACATGAAACCAAGGCCTAGGATAGTGTCAATAATCAAGACCTTGAATTTACTAAAACAATTATTCAACTACCTGCTAGGGCAAAACGGTTCTTTGTCGATGTCAGTTCCGCGTATTCTACAAGATTAAGTCTTCCGCGTATTCTACAAGATTAAGTCTTCCGCGTATTCTACAAGATTAAGTCTTCTTAGACCTAACAACAAGATAGAAAAGCGGACGTGTGATCTAATACAGAAATACACCAATGGTATTGTCAAGACTAAACTTTTACATGTAATCGACCCTGGGCTAGCGTTCCAAATTTTGATAGATGTTCCTGCACTGGTAAGCAGTCACCAGTCGGCCATTTCACACCCGGTGTTACTCAGAGCTACTTAGAACCAATAAATCATAGGGCTGATGCGGTTCTTATCATTCAAAAGGTGCACCGCGGACATGAGGTAAAAGGCCCATACTCTACTTGACATTATTCTAGCTAAGAATAACCTTGCGAAGCTGAAAAGCTGTTACACCTGACGGTCTTAGCAAGGCTTTTCTACATTCTAGTGAAGGACTACATAGTCATTTCTATGAAGAAGTGAGGCAAACATCTCTCATCCAGTCCAGTATAAATGGTGCAGCTACTAGCGGTAACTCCGTAGTAGAAATATCAATTCAAAGAAAACCGGGTCTCATCTGAGGCAGGAGCTTGACTTTGACTACCTATTGCTATAAATTACTCATCTAGAAGCACCATTTGTGCCAGAAGATTTTTCTCTGAGTCTCCCAAAAGTAGTTTGATTTTAATCATGTCATTTCAAATAGCTTTTTCCAATCCACCTGATCCCGATTCTAAGACTGGCCAGCGCAAATCTTAAAGGTTTTCATCCTTGGAGGGCTCAGGAAAAGGAACAAACACAGTGCAAAAATCTATCTCAAGTACATGGCGTCAGACTCTTCAGCATTGGATATTTACTACGTAACTGGGTCCACTGACAAGACAGCAACTATAGATCAATCGCCCAGAAGAAGGTTGCATTGAGTGGGGATCATGATCAACTACTAAAACAAGCCATTAAATCATCCTTCTGTATCGAATATTCTATGTGTTTCTCCGAGATGGTTTGTTTATATCTTGCTTGTATTAGCTCACGTCAGGACCAGACGCTAACATACAATATTTATTTTCTGCAAGGTTTCCCACAGAAGATGGACCGGGCAATTCTTTTCGAGTGCCATGTTATCTACCTGCAATGTCCCGAGACAGTTCTGATCAGTCAACTCCAGAATCAAGCATTTTGGCGACAACAATGAAATCATAAAGAAGTGGCTCACAACTTTCAAGAGCGTGAGTTTAACCTGCCATGCGGCACTATATAATGCAGGGCAAAGTTTCGGAGGTGGAAGCCGCAGAGGCTTTAGAAGTTATGTATAAAGACGTAGTATCTGATTTGGAGAAAGCTGGTCTCATCCCAAGTGTGGTCTAGGGTTATTCACCCGTCTGCTTAAACCAGCATTGGCGTTAACAGCAGAATAATGAGTTCCAAAGTCAGGTTGGTGGTGTAGTCGTCAATATATTTTGGTTTGATAGTCCGAAGTCTTGAACAGGAATGGACGTGTACTCAAAGCATAATATGGTTTGGTTAGGCCGGCAATAGCTAGGTTTCTTAGTATAATGAAGACAAGTTTGTGTTCAGCATAAGGTTGGGTGGGGAGGGGTTAGAAGAAAGAGGAATAAAAATGTAAAAAGATACAAAAAACAATGTGTTGACGAGAGTGGGATTTGAACCCACGCCCCTTTCGAGACTGGAACCTTACTCCAGCGCCTTGGACCGCTCGGCCATCTCGCCTATTGATTGCAATATCTTTTGAATAATGGAACTATATCAATACAGACCGTTCTTAACTTCCCTTTCCACTCTACTAGCCATAGATCCAGCAATAGGTTTCGCATTCATCAACATTCCATCCCTATCATCACTCTGCTGAGATTGCAGGCCACTGATAAAATGCTCGATGAGGCCAGCTCAGAGACTTTCAGCTTGGCAACCATTGCGGAAATCAAAGAGGCCACTGATCTGCAGAGCATTGCTGATAGTACCTATAAAGTGGTTCGAGTCAAAAGACCGTTTCGCGGTTAAGTTTGGGAATGACCTTCCTCTCGCCAAGGCAGAAACTATGGAATTTATTGCAGTGAATAGTAGAGTCCGTATGCCGAAAGTATATACGTCGTTCACGGAACGTGAATCCAAGATGTCCTATATTATTATGGAACAAATCCCTAGTGATAATTTACACTCTTTTGCCGTCCCTCACGCCCAGCGAGAAGAACAATATTGGCCAGCTAATTAGAGCTGTGATTCTTGAGCTACACACTATCCCGCATCCAAAATATCTTGATGGCTTGAATCATCAACCTCGCAATGATGCTGTGTTCTGGAATGAAAATAACGACCCAGCAATGTCCGATCCACTCTCAAATCAGACAGAAATGAACAAAGGGCTCTTACGCAGGCTGGGTCAAAGCGAGGATGCTGAATATGCTCGGCTACTACAAATCATGGTTGATAAGACGCTACATGGCCATCGCACTGTTTCTACTCACAGTGCAAGAAGGATCACATTCCTGTCTAATTTCTAAAATTCCAGCGTTCGATATTACAAAGATATACTCAGCAAACTGATCTAGCTGTTCTATCCTTAATGGACGTTGAAGAGCCTTATGAGAATGTTAATATAATTGTATTGTTTCATTCCAGGACCCGAGATTAACCAATGAGAACAATACTTTCGCTGCAATACACATCTGAGCAACAGGGTAGATCATCTACTTGAAGTTCTACGCGAAGGGTCACGCCATGGTTAATCACGAACATTACTGTGAAACCCAGGCACTAAGGGTCGCCGTTATTGACCGGCAAGTATCCTGCATCCAAACACCTGGTCGTGGATATCGGGAACCATCGAATCGCGGTTCCGTGTACAAGATAGAGCGCATTTGTTACGCACAAGCCTCTATTGTTACTATTAAGCACCGAGCCTCGAGTTATGTTATTTTGAGTAGCTGTAATATAGCATGCGATAACCTTCACGCTTTAATCCACCATTGGTGGTATTAATTGGTTCACAAGTTAATTACTCTGCATCAGATACCCGTTCCCCCGTCCATGGCCTTGGTTAGCTCCCTTGTTACTGTTAATTCTTTCAATACGATCAGGGAAAGCGAAGTATAACTTAATACATTCGACGATGGGAGTCATTCACCTCGGGTGCAGTATATATTTAAGCGCCGTGACTCGACAGCACGGCCTGCCGCCGTTTCATTGGTCAATCCACCCACATCTAGGCTTCTATAAAGTGTCTTTTCTAGTGATACACCTCGAAGCAAAACCATATAAATGAGAGTTACGGTCAGGCAGAGGAAGAGAAATCCAACATCTGAAATTCATCGAGAGTTCGTGTCACCACAAAGCCTACCTGCCCTCTTCTTTACCACAATAAGCGGCCCAATACCTTGCCAACTATGTCCTACACAGTCCACGCCGCATAGTACGCTGGCGCACCAAACCATGTCACTATTTCTAACCAAGACCGGAACCTAAACGCAATGTAGGGAAATACAGGACGCCCCTACCTTGTTGTTGGTGCCATTCTCATGGGGATGACATACGAATCGCGCGCATTCATGAACCCTGATGGCTTAGCTTCGTATATGGTAAACAGTGGGAAAAGAATCGGAAGCATTTACCAGAAAGACCTGGGTTGATTTGATAGGGAGTGCTGCAAAGCAGTTCTCCCACCATGATCTCAATTGCTATTGAACGGTAGGAAGAAAGGTCCGTCCAAGTCCCTTTACCGCAGTGGAGAATGGGTGGAAGATGTCAAGAAGTTCGCTCTTCAGAAGGGCATCGTTAAGCCTTGATGCAATCGTATGCTCTCCTCCCTCGTCAGCTGGCCCAGTCGTCTCTAAGTGGGTGAAAAAGGATTTGCTACAATCTAGCTTAGCGGGTGCTGTGCACCCTCCGCTCAACTCAATACCTACAGACATTAGCTCGTTTCACAAGCCTAGGGCTAAGGAAAGACTCTATAAGAAGGACTAGAAGGGTGAATATCTGCATGCTCTAGCTTGACTTATGTTATTTTCTAAGAATATGATATCTGCTATCTTTGTCTCTATGTATTGCCTGCTCGAAACTAGTTAACTTTCTGACCACCGTGAATGACGAACAACCCCACTTGCTAGACATAATGTATGGTATTCCTAGTGAAACGCAGTAGTATACACCACCTGCATCATGAGATACCCCAAAGGGTATTGATCTAGAATGCCGGGGCAATTTCAAGCCAAGCTGGCTTCCACCGACATAAGATAGTGGCACTGCAAAACTCCCAGTACTCAGGATACTAACCGGATATTTCTCAGTCAGTAAACGTAATTCAGAATATTGGACTCCAATATTCACGTGATCCTGTCCGTTCGACCATAATATTCTTCGGTTGGAGATCACCGGTGTAGTATCCGTCTTCCCTTGGCCAAACAGCACCGCCGGGGAGCTTCGACTTTGCCGACGTACACATAGGCTAGATTGGTGTCAGCTTTCCCACATTAGGTGCTTTGGAAATACCGACTACTGTTTGAATCCTCTAATAATCTGTCCTTGCGTGCGTGTGTGTGATGTGTTGATGGGGGGCCACGGGGAGCTCGAGCATAGTCATTAATGCTAGGTGTACTATGGCCACAGATCGGTGCCACTGTATAACGAATTCTTCGCTTTTCCACTCGACCAAAACCCAACATTGGCTGATGATCTAACGTGCACCTCAATATATTCAACGCTGTGGGGAGGGAAATATGTTGAGATATTAAGTGAGAAAACCATCGATTGAAAAACTGCATTGTGCTAAACTAAAGAAGCTCAGGGGTTAGGCGAGGCCCATTATATGGGAAGCCCATAAAAATTCCTCAAGGTCCTACATGCCCCCTTCTCCTAACAAATAATGAAACCGTGGCAGTGATGGTGAAATAGCTTGATATCAATATAACTAATATAACCGCTTATGTAAAGAATCAAACTTACAACCCCCTGCTTCTATAGGGACATCGGAGGATAAATAAGTATAAACATATTCGTGTAGCAGTACTCTGTACATGGCACAGGATTATTAGAAAGCATAAGTAGCCCAACAAGCACTAGAGTGAATGGTATTCTACAGGGAACCCTGTAAAAAACTGGAATGGGCCAAAACTGTGAAATAAAATCTTTGCACTACTTTAGTTGCTAAGCAGTTGATACGAGGGAGGTGATAATTTGCTTCTTGGTTCCTCTTAGTTCATAATACATGCTTAGAGAGTTATCTTAACCAATAGGCGAGATGGCCGAGCGGTCCAAGGCGCTGGAGTAAGGTTCCAGTCTCGAAAGGGGCGTGGGTTCAAATCCCACTCTCGTCAACATCTTTTTTCCCCTTTTTCCTGTCTAACGGGTTCTATTAATACATTTTTTGGTTCTCTGTCCTCATATCATGTTCCCTTTCTCTTTTCTTTCATGTCTTCTACCCCTAGAATGCAAGCGGGCAATCACACTGCCAGTGTCTAGCTAATGACTGAACGCATTTGTACCCTCAATGGGGTCGACCCCTGGTTGAGCAAATCCATTACCTTGATCATGCTAATATTTCTTTTGCAATCCCTGCAAAACATTGAATAAAGAAATGAAAGCTATCATGACGCCTAGAGCACTGGGCCTGGACGTAATCTATATGGTCAAAGCTCAGCAGGGCTGTGAACCTGTCATTCCGGATTGGGTATAGCCAACTAAAGCGAGTCAACCGATCTACAGACTCCAGAGCAGGTCAAAAAATATGCTTAGCACGAACCACGCGGCAGGCCGTGCCGGAGTGGACCTCCATGATACTCAAACGATAGTTGTTGGAGATCTAGAGTAGTAGGTCTGATACTATGAGGGTCCCCAATGCCGAGACGGCATCAAAGAACCCCAAGTATACGATTGGGTGAATGCCGAGCTAACACCGATAGTTCAAGACAGTCACCTCCTTATCATGTACTGGTGAAAGTTACAAAAGTCCCTGAAGAGAAGAGCCCTGAATAGGATGGAAAGGGAGTGATCATCTGTAGGGCGTGGATATAACATATGTACAAGACGCTGAGTCAGCCATAGCAATCACTAACTTAACTAAGACCATTTTTTGGAGGGGTTTGTTCATGAGTCATCCTTTGCGGGGCAGAGATTTGTTAGAGTATGTTTGCTGCTTATCTTTCTTCCCGCACACTATTCTCCTCCCACTAACCCCGAATATCAACCCTGGCTACCTTGAGGACACGAGGTGAAAAGAAATCCACCTTCATTGAAACATTGACGTCCTCTGATCACCCTGGAAAAATGACGGAACAAAATAAACCCATCCTGCCTGAATCGGGAAAGCGCAATTTCCTCGTCACGAGCGCTCTGCCATATGTGAACAATGTTCCTCATCTGGGCAATTTGATAGGTTCGACCCTGTCCGCTGATGTCTTTGCCAGATACGGCCGTGGCCGTGGCGCCAACACCCTCTATATCTGCGGTAAGTCCTTTCTTCCAATACGCGCACTATCAAATGTCATTCGCATGCTGACTCTGTTTTCTGCTCCCAAGGTACCGATGAGTACGGCACAACGTCGGAGGCGAGAGCTATTCAAGAGAATATGACCACCAAGGAGCTCTGCGACAAATACTACGCGCTGCACGCGGAAGTCTACAAATGGTTCAACATCAGCTTTGATATCTTCGGGCGTACAACCACCGAGCTTCAAACGAAGATCACCCAGGATATCTTCCTCAAGCTTCACAACAACGGTTTCCTGTCCGAGCACGTAACGACCCAATTATTCTGTGAAGAGCACAAGTCGTTCTTGGCAGATCGCTTTATCCAGGGTGAATGCCCTCACTGCAAGTACAATGATGCCTATGGTGATCAGTGTGACCTGTGCGGTCAGCTTCTCGACCCCTTGGATCTCATCAAGCCCCGCTGCAAGCTGGACGGTGCCACCCCCGTGAAGAAGGACACAAAACACATCTTCTTGAAGTTGGACAAGTTACAACCCGAGATCCAGGCTTTCTTCGACGAGTCTTCGACAAAGGGAGGATGGTCACAAAACGGAAGGGACATCACATCGTCTTGGTTGAAGAAGGGATTGCAAGAGCGTAGTATCACCAGAGACATCAAGTGGGGTACTCAGGTGCCTCTGCCAGGCTACGAGGAGAAGGTCATCTACTCATGGTTCGATGCCTGCATTGGTTATGTATCTATCACCGCGAACTACACCGCCGAGTGGGAAAAGTGGTGGCGCAACCCGGAGGATGTCGAGCTTTACCAATTCATCGGAAAGGATAACGTTGCCTACCACTCCGTCATGTTCCCCGGTACTGAAATCGGTACTCGTGAGAAGTGGCTTAAGGTTCACCACCTCTCCACCACCGAATACCTGACCTATGAGGGTGGCAAGTTCTCCAAGTCTCGCGGCATCGGCGTGTTCGGAGACTCGGCCAAGAAGACCGGCATTCCCGCCGACGTCTGGCGCTATTACCTGCTCTCTCACCGGCCCGAGACTGGCGATAGCGAGTTCAACTGGGATCTCTTCATCAGCTCGAATAACAACATCCTCCTTAAGAATCTGGGTAACTTCGTCAGCCGTGTGGTGAAGTTCGTTAACTCCAAGAACTACGACAACATCGTGCCCGACTACACCACCTACTCCGACCCGGCCTTCGATACCTTCAAGGAGGAGATCAACGAGTTGCTGACCCAGTACATCCAGTACCTCGATGCCGTCAAGATCCGTGCCGCCATTGATGTCGTCCTCGCTATCTCTCAGAAGGGCAACCTCTTCCTCCAGTCCAACAGCCTCGACAACAAGCTCGCCGAGAACGAACCGGCCAAGTGCGCCGCTGTGATCGGTCTCGGCCTTAACCTTATCCACCTCCTTTCCGCCCTCCTCGCCCCCTATATGCCCGACACAGCCGCGACAATCAACGAAATCCTCCGTACAGAGGCGATCCTGATCCCCGATCGCTGGAACGCTGACACCGTCAAGCCCAGCCACGAAATCGGCAAGGCCAAGTTCCTGTTCAGCAACATCAAGCCGGAGAAGGCTAACGAGTGGCGTGATATGTTCGGTGACGAGGAGGCCAAGAAGGTGAAGGAGGAGGAAGCCAAGAAGAAGGCCGCTAAGAAGGCCGAGAAGTTGGCCAAGAAGGAGAAGAAGAGGGAGCAGAAGGAGAAGGAGGCTGCCTCCACTGATGGAGTGTCGGAGATCTCTAGTTCCACGGATAAGTTGAATATTCAACAGTAGACCTATAATCAAACGGTCACGGCGCGCCATCTTGTTGAAGACGATGTCGCCGTTGTACGTCTAGAATGATGCCACCAGCGATGTGGTAGATATGATTTGATATGATCACCTAGAGCCTATTCATTCGAAGGGATGTGATTGCTATTTTCTTTTGCATTATTTTCTTTGTCAAACTTTATTCTTGGTTAGCAGAGACTTCAACGTCCTACAGTGTAGTTAGAGATGATACCACGGGCCAATGGCATACCAACAATCAACTGACACGATCTCTAAAATGCAATCCCCACAACGTCGAACTGAATTATTGATTAAACAACAGGCAAGCAATAAATTCAAGAACAATGAAAGAGACAAAAAGGGTCTATTTTGCTGCCAAAATAAAAAGAAACATGGGACGAGCCGGGTTTGAACCGACGACCTCTCGATTAACCTGTAAAGGTAGATGATGAAGTGAACTTCAGTCGAACGCGCTCCCAACTGCGCCATCGTCCCAATCAATAAAAGTTCTTGCTAATTTAAGCTATATCAAAATTACTTTCACAGCATGGCTGCCCCGGTCTTCAGACAATACTTTCGAGTTGAAGTAGCCCGTAGGTATGAACCTAAGCCCCCTTTATCTTCTCCCTAGAGATACAGTACAAAATTCAAAGAAGACTAGCTTTCCATAGCATCCCATACAAGCCACTTACTAGTCCCCTCGAACTCAAATAACATTTACCTGACGCATAAGCCGCATAAACGCCGCTGAAACCCTCATTGAAACAATATAAACAAATTGTCTTAAAAATAAAAGTTTTTACTCGCTGCTAATATCGTCGATATTAAAGCATAATTTTTCAGTATTATTTGGCTTTTATGTAGTTTTTCTTAGTGTAGTCTATATCATACCGGTTGTGGATGTATTGCTAACGAACTTTTAAGCTGATAACCCAAACTCGCCTCCATTGATGTATATACATTTACAAAAGAGCCCGACAACACTATCAATCGACAGGAAAGTCATACTGTACAGTTAACAAAAGACAACTTCATCTACCAGAATACGAAGTACCTTCACCCTGAAACCCAATCGCAACCCACAAAGTCATCAACCGCAGCGCCAAGTCTCCGAAAGTCTCCGCTGACACTCTGCAACCCTATATAGATCTCCAAAAACCCAGATCACCCATTTTATAAACAAATCTACAAACAAACCCAAACATAACCCCCAAGAGAAGAAAGAAACCAAAATGCCCACCCTAAAATCCCATACCCCAAAATCAACTCCCCACAACCACACCTACAGCTACACCCACCACCACCCCTCACCATCACCCTCACACTCACCTCCCAGACCAACCATCCTCCTCCTCCACGGCTTCCCCTCCACAAGCTACGACTGGCGCCACCAAATCCCCCACCTAACTACCCTCGGCTACGGCATCCTTGCCCCCGACCTCCTAGGCTACGGCCTAACCTCCAAACCCACCAATCTAAACGCTTACAAAACCAAATCTATGGCCGCAGAAATAATCTCCCTCCTCGACGCTGAGGGGCTCGAGAAAGTCCACGCCGTTGCCCACGATACAGGCTGCACGCTGCTGTCCCGAATGGCGGATTATTTTCCAGAAAGGTTACTTTCCTGTGCGTTTCTGGATGTGCCGTACGCATTGCCGGGGGTGAGGTTTGATTTGGGGGTTGTGAATGAGATGACGAAGGCTGTGTTGGGGTTTGAGAGGTTTGGGTATGTGGGATTTTTGGCGGGAAAGGGGACGGGGGAGGTGTTGGATCGATATGTGAGTTTTCTTTTCTCTTTACCTGTTTGGGTCTGGATGAGTGAGTGAAGGGTGGGTGGTGTTAATGGGGCTTTGTTTGTCCGTTCTAGGCCGATTCGTTCTTCTCGCTATTTTATCCCCGGGACCCCGAGTTATGGGTTGAGCATGTTGGGCCGACGGGGGCGATGGAGAGGTGGCTTTTGGAGAATCGACGGGGCGGGTTGGCGGAGTATATTACTGAGGAGGTGGGTATTCTGATACTCTATTCTATACTATATCTACTATTGGTTATTACCAATAAGAAAGAAGATGATGAAGGCTAGGAAGGCTTACATGACTTAGGAACGCGCAATGCACCAGAAGCTCATGGTGGGTCATCACGATTCAGCGCTAAATTGGTACCGGGCTCTGGTCGAGAATATCAATGTTGAGGACGAGGTAGAGGCGCAGATTGAGCCGGTGCTTTCTATGCCTGTTCTTATGCTTTGTGCGCGGCCGTCAAAGCTGGAGTTACCGGGGTTGGAGGAGGGGATGAGGCGGGTTGCGAAGAATCTGGTGGTGAGACGGGTTTCAACGGCGGGGCATTGGATACAGCTTGAGGCGAGGGAGGAGGTGAATGGGATTTTAGGGGAGTTTTTTGAGGGTGTTGAGAGTTGAATTTTGTTGTATTACTTGGATATGTGGTAATATGTGGTAGGTGTTAGGGTTGGTTGTATGGCTATAGGAATTGATGGTAGCCTCTCTCCTCTCCGGATCTTCAATAATGAAAGGCATTATGATCTACAAGGGAACAGAATCTTCTCTATTAATTAATATAAGATAATATCAATTAACAACAGTACTAAAAGTCTTGGTTCGATTAAGCTTTCCCTTAAAAATCCACACGAAGCCCTAACTCCCGCTGACGTCACCTCATAAATCAACATAAAACAACCTCAACTTCAAACCAACCTACACTTGCCAACCATCTTTCCACAATCAATACGACCAATACCGCACCAACTTCTACTCCAATTAAGTAAAAGCCTACTAGATATCCCACCCAAAATGTCATCCCAGTCTCAACCCCCCCAACCCCCCAAACAATCAACCTACACCCAACCCCAAAACCCCATATCACAGACCTCCCTTGAACAAGAACAACGCATCCCCCAAACCCGCCACCGCGGCGACCCCATCTCACCTATAACCCGCGGCCCGAACTCCAACCCCGCAAACAACAGCGCTCTTTCCGATCACGCCGGGAAATATAAACAGGAACGATACAACCTCCGATCTGCCGGCGACGTGGACACGGAATATGGGGTAGAGCAGGAGCCAGCGGAGGGGGATATTGCGGCTGCGGTTGAGGGGAAGAGTGCTCGGGTGAGAGCGCAGGCGGGAGCGCATGCGGGGCCGGTGGGGAGTGCGATGGGGCCTGGAGGGCCCGGGGAGTTGGACTTGGATCGGAAGAGGGAGGAGCATGAGCAAATCCTTGGGGAGAGGGTGGGGAAGTCGCCTGCTGAGCCGGGGTGGGGGTTTGATGGGGAAAGTGAGGAGAATGAGGAGGTTAGGAGGAGGTTGGAGAGGGAGAGGCGGGTTGATGTTGGGGAGGCTGTTAGGGAGGGGACGGGGGGACCAGTCGTTAGATGATTTTAGGATTGGTATATACTTGTATTTCTGGGGGATTTTGGAAGATGAATGTAATATTAATTGAATAACTGCTGGAAACCTAGCTATAACAAGAGCTCTGACGTTTCTGGGCAACTTGAAGTGTCGCAGCTGGACAGTCGTTTTAAGTAAGAGTAGATACTCCACCCCGAATAAATCCCATTTCCGACCATATAGTCAGAAACCACTAGGCTTAGCAACGGGGTTCGGGTTTCCCTCCCACAACAATTTCCTGGGCCGCATGTACTCCTCTAGGATTTCATCGGTAGCTAGCTTCTCCTCTTGAAACTGTTGCACATACTCCTGTAGAGCATCAATTGCCATATTCTTCAGCTCGCCCGTCAAGAGAGCCACTCTTGTAGCCCCTATAGTCTTCCTCAAGCTTAGCATCATCCTCCTCAAAATACGTCAGATAGATATACGAAACATCCACATCCGGATTCCCTCCAAGACTCCGATGATCCACGACGCTAACCTGACCACCACTGAACGCATACTTATTTATCTTCTTCTTGTGTCCGACATGAAGATGGCGGAATTAGGGTTAGACGACGACATCTTACCACCGGGACCCTGTAGAGCAGTGAGGAATTTGGAGTGGATGAGCGCCGGTTTAGGCGACGGGAAACGCACCTTATAGGCATTATCCCAGAGTAACCGGAAATAAGGGTCTTGGTCGATACCTATGGGGATCAAGATGAGATATTGGCGATCGACTGCGTACGAGTAGGCTGTGGGTAGTCAGACCAGATTTCCGGGTAGGACGTCGCGAAGGCGGCTACGCGTTGCACAGAGGGGAAGAAAACTCGCCCGGTATTAGTGCCGATTTGCGTTGCTAATTAGCTGTGTTTCCATACACCCTGGCTATGCTTATGTATGGAACCACAGCCATTTGGTTGAAGCCGAACGCACCACGGACTTGATTGAACGTCACGAGTTTGGAGAACTCCCAGGCATTCATCAGGAAATGGTTACCGAAATACTTTAGGTCACTGTAGATGAAGGCCTTCTTCATGTCGATGTCGATGGCAATGACATCTCGGGCATTCCCCCTGGCATGTTGCATTGTTTCTTCCAAAAGTGAGGTTGAACTTTAAACAGGGCATCCTCTGTGAGCATGAAAACTAATGTGACGTCAAAGATATCTTGGAGCCATTTTGTGAACTGCAGAGGAATTGTATGACCCAGATGCAGACTACCTGTACTTGGACCATGGCCAGTGTAGAGGAAGAAGGGCTCGCCACGTTCATATAGGTTCAATATCCGGTCGAAGTCACGGTGGCTGAAGAACAGGCCGCGCCGGAGCCAGCGGTGTGGCTTGTGTCCAGTAACTTTCTCGAAGCGCTCGAGCAGTTTCTGATCTATAATGGGCGTGTTCCATTTCCTGTCGATAATTAGTATGCATGCTACGGCAAGGTCTTGAGCATGGTACACCCCCCACCCGGGAGAAATGGCCTCGTAGTCAATCGAGGCAATTTCGCCGTTCTCATCCCGGGCACCCTCAACGGACCAAGGATTGATTTCTTGTTCTTGGTTAGGTGCCGACATGTTCTCAGCCATTATCCGGGGCAATTGATGTGAATAAAAAGTGGAAAGTTTGGTTGCTTGTTGTAGAATGGCCAGTGGCTCACCCATATTTATAGGGCTAAGCACTAGTCACGGGACACTAAGTCTCCAATTAATTAAGAAAAGCAACTCCAGCCCTCAATTAAATAATAGTAACATGAAAAGAGAATAAAGGAGATTGACAAAAGGCTGGAAGATAATTCTGTCATATCGAATTTGAAGTACATTTATTCATCGGGGGTATCAAGTATCAACGGTCCAACACCATAAAGAATGAGTCCAATGTAGCAGGATCAAGCATCTTCGTCGCCTTCTCCAATAGACACTTTCTTTAGGGATAAATCCTTCTTTAATTCCTGAATGCGCTTGGCAAGCTTGTTCTTTAGAATATGGTTTTGCATCTTCTCCCATTTGGCGGTCTCCGTGCGGATCAGCGCTTCCAGCTCGTCAATTTCTTCGCGCTGCTGTTGCATTTGTCTCTGTTGCTCCAATTGTTCGTCATCGAGATCATCTTCAAGAACCCCGCGTTCCTCGCCATCGGATTCATCGCTCTCATCGCCCGACGATTCCGCCGCGGGTGTGGGCGGTTTTGTCGCAGTAGGTGTGCCAGCTTGGTATACTCCTTTATCGACGGGAGCGGTAGGAGCTGTAGTATCTTCCGCAGCCAAAGCAGCCTCCATCTCAGCAGCGAGAGTGTCCTCAAAGTCTTCGAAAATACCAGGAGCCTCCTCCATCCCTTCCTCCCATTCGCCCTCTGCGTCTTGCTCGTCATCATATTCGTAGTAATCTCCACTCTGCACGAGACCCTCAGCCCGGTTCAGCGATGCACTGTCGACTAACTCGTAACGAGGGATGCCCACGGCAGCTTCATCTTGCGCAATCAAATCCTCTACAGCCTTCTCAACCTGCTCGATTGTCCGAGTACTGACGCGCTCACGGAACCGCCGCCTACGAACCCACCGCAAAGGCGGCGTCAGGCCATGAGGATACTGTAAGGTCTTCTCGTCGGAGCGTTCGACTTCAGGAGGGAGCGGATAGTCGAGAGCCTCTTTTTCGCTCGCAACCGGGCCCAGTACCAAAAGCATCTGACAAATATCCCCCGACTTGTACCATCCACGACGGTCCCAACTCTTCATGCCCTCGATGATACACGGTAAATCCACCAAAGCGGCGGCAAACTGCTTATCCCGTACCCTGAAAACAGCACGCCGTCCTTCGCGGGTGAGCGGCTTAAACGAAAACTCCGAGCGATCAAAACGTCGTTCAGCAATGACGCGTCGTAGATGCTCACATTCCTCCCCTGGAAGCATACGCAGGATAAACTGTTCTTCGATAGAGGGATCGATTTCCGTATCCGACGCTTCAGAGTCGTATCCAACACCGACTGGCCGATTTGGAACCAGACCCTTGTTTTTAATTCGAATCGACTGCACACCGGGCTTCTTGGAGGGATTTAACTTCAAACGCTTGGGTCCTGTCTGCGACTCTGGCCGGGCCTGGGGCGCAGCGGGCTCGCTCACGGCGGATTCATTGGCTGGCCGCTTTTTCGATGGCTTTTTCTTCTTCGCCTTCTCTGGTTCTGGTTCTGTTGTTGGTTTCCGTGCGATCTTCAGCGTGAGTTTGCGTTGAGGGGTTTCTGAAAGTGGAGGGGGAGCTGGTTGCTTAGGCGGTTCCTCTGATGCCTTTTTCTTGCCAAAGGTGAGTTTCAGCGACGGGCGACCCTCCGACATGACGGACGGTTCGTAGATTCAACTAGCGAAACGGAGTGCTTGGCCCCAAGCTAATGCTAGGGAAGTGAAATGAGCGTATGTCGTATAAGTGTTGAGAGCCGGTGAGGATGGTGTTGATTGAGGGTGATTGCGGAGGTCAAGAGAAGAGTCGAGTTGTTTGGCAGAAAGGCGGAAAGAACGCGACGGAAAGTCCGTTTGACTTGACCTCTCTATTCCGCCTTTCCCTTCACTTTCACTCCATAACTCAGCCTTAATAATATTTAATCACAACACTATTTCCCTACCCAACGTGCTCAGTGAATTGCCTCTTTATCATTCGATAAGGAGTTAGTTTCTTACAACAACCGCCCCGACTTTACAACGCGAACTAAACACACCACCGACAATCCCTCAATTCTCTTCCACCGCATCAATCACCATGTCAGGTCCAAATCTACACAACGCCCTCCTCCGGCCACCCATTATCCAGATCCTCCGCGCAGCCGGCTTCCACGCAACCCGCCCCTCAGTCCTAGACACTATCGCAGACCTCACAGCCCGTTACATGATGATTCTCGCCTCCTCCGCAACCACCCACGCCGCGAACGCCCACCCACACGACCCCGTTCCCACTCTTGAAGACATCTATCAAGCTCTCCAAGACGCGGGCGCACTACGACCACAACTCCGAGACTGGGAAGAAGACTGGGCCGGCGAGGAAGACATACGCGGCCTGGAAGGGTTTCTGGGATGGTTCACGGGCCCGACCAACCGGGAGATTCGACGGATCGCGGGATTCCTACCTACGGAGGGCGACGTCGTGGACACGGATTTCCTGGAGAAAGAGGACTATCTTACGGTCTTGAAGAAGAAGCATAGTAAGACGGGGGAGGAGTCGAGGTATGCCGGTACTGTGTTGGGGAAGAATGCTGAGGAGCATCCGATCGTGATTGAGGGCGGCGCTCCGAGTATTCAGGAATGGGGGTCGCAGGTGCGGTCGCGTGCGCCGTATTTCGCGGAGAGTGATTCGTCTGGGGTTAGTAGTGCGCCGAGCAACTTGTCTGATGGAGAGGGGATGGATGTGTGAGGAGAGCTAGGTTAGGGGAGGATTCTTTTCTCTTTTACCGATTGTCGTCTACGGATGATCACGGGCGCAATTAATGGCGGAAGGCCCATTATATTGGAGGCACTTTTGGAGACTCTGACTCCATACATACGCTCACACTTGGGTCGCCGTGACTATAAGGACAAGAAAGTCTGGGAAATTAACCCACTGTTCTTGCCAGCATCGATGACCGATCGCCGGCCTGCTCGACTGGGTATTCTTGAGCCCAATATCGATATCCAGCCAATCCGCTCGACACTCGAAGGAGTGGGCGCGAAACAGCTCCGGGGACAGCGGATGTCGACTTATACATCCATGCAGGATAATTTTGTGTTACTCTAACGAAAGGGTATGAGGCTGGGTGCTATTAGAAGAGTGGATGGGCGGGCTAATCGGGGATCTACCACTCAATGCAGCCATTAATCTATAACTATAGATACGATTGAGCGAGACAAAGCAAAAGAGTCACAATTTGACACCAAAAATTCCATTATATAAGAGCCAGTATCTGTAGGTGAACTTTCCTATAAAGCGGAGTCTTGGCCGCCATCAACAAATAAATGACATCAATCCTCCCCCGAACCTCCAATCCAATAAATTCCACCTCCATCTCCAAAATCCTCCATCACAAACACCAACAACAATCAACCACAATGGTCTACGCATTCGCCCTCCCAACAACATCCCACCTCTCCTTCCAAACCCACCTCTCATCAACCACCCACCCCTCCCTCCCCCAAGCAGCCTCAACAGCCCGCCACGCCCTCCGCACAACCCTCAAGAAACACAAACGCCTACCCCGCGGTCCGCAGCAAGAAGCTCACCTCACCACCCTCCTAACAACCCTAACCAACTACCTCCCCTACCTAACCGCCATCTCCAACGGCCTAGGCACTACTCCTGACGAAATCTCCATAACCCTGCACGCCGAACTCGAGCCGGAATGGCGCGCCACCCTCTCCTCCAAAACCACCGCCCGAATCCGCGGCCGCGGCCTAGACTTCGAGATCGCCTTCGTCCTCACAACCCTCGCCTACATACTAAGCAACCTAGCCCACTCAACAGTCATCCGCACGCTCTACGCGCCCACAACCCCCACACCCGAGCAACGCACCGCCGCCATGACAACAGCAACTAAACACCTCCTGCAGGCGAGCGCAGTGCACTCGCTCCTTGCTACTTCGCCATCCTTCGCGCACGTAGCTCGCGCTGTCTCGGCCCCGGCAGCTGTCATCCCGGATCTGGACCCTGCGGCGCAGGCGGCGCAGGCTTCGCTTGCGCTGGCGGAGGCGACGCTGCTGGCTGTGCTTAAGGATGATTCGTATGTTGCGGCGTGTATTCAGGCACGGAATCCGAATGATAAGGAGTGGATGGTGAGGGCGCCAGAGATACCGAAGGTCAGGGCCCATCTGTTTGCGAGGTTGTGTATTCGGGCGGCGGAGTATGCGGAGCAGGCGGGGGCGGGGCTGGGGGCTGTTGGGGCGCATGGGAAGGGCGGGATTGAGGAGGAGTTGGTCAAGTATGTGTGGGTATTGAGTCGGGTGGCGCGGGCGAGGGCGTGTCGGTTTTTTGGGGTTGATGCGGAGCTGGCGGGAAAGATTGGGGAGGGGATTTCGTGGTTAAGGGCTGCGAAGGGGGCGCTTGGGGTGAGGAGTGCCGTTGGGGAGAAGGAGAACGTGTCGAAGTCGAGGGGTTTTTCGAGGCTGAAGCAGGAGTGGATGGAGCGGCGCGAGGAGAGGCGTATGGAGAAGGATGCGGGGAGTCGAGATAGGTCGGAGAAGGGGGAGTTGGGGCCTGGTGATAATGCTGGGCGAGAGGAGGAGGGACGGGTGATTGAGATGCTGGAGATGAAGTGGCAGAGGATGAATGATACGGTAGGTCTATCCCGCATGCCATATATGGCTTCGTGTGTGTCTCGCTGACAGATTCAGATCAACACGCAGCTGATCCCGCCGTCTGCGGACCTTATTGCAAACTTGCCCTCTGGCCGAGATATTCATTCCCCGCCAGCTCCTTACAGGCTCCCATCTTTGGGCGAAGAGCAATTGGTGCGAATGCGCGCACCGCCAACTGAGGACGATTTCGGACCAGGCAGCGACATTGACGATAGTGAGGAGGAACCCACCATGACGAGAGACGCGGTCCCTGAGCGGACTGATAGTGCTTACTATTGATACCCTTGAAGAATGCTCAAGACGCAAAGAATCCGTTACAGAGTGAACCACTTTTAAGTGCATAGCCTCCGACTTGTACAATCCAACAACAACCATCACACAAGTCCATAACCACCCATCTTCACATAAGCCTACACAACCAACAATCGTCTACATCTACAGCCCCTAACAACCCAGAAAACCCGGGAACCAAATCAGATAGGTCCAAAGTAAGGTCACAAAAATGATACATTGATCTAAAAACACAACCCTAAGCAAAACCTAAAAGAAAAAGAGAATCCCCCTCGTAATCCAAATCTAAGCACTCTTCTCCGAAGAGAAATAGTTCTTCTCCTGAAACAAATAACCCTTGATCTTGCGCTCATCCAAGAGCTCAAAGTACTTCTCTGCAATCCAACATTAGCCCATATTCATCCACATGCTTTACTTCCAACCTCGTTCCAGCGCAAACGATCCCCCATTTCCCAAGAATCCAAAGCCGAATCCTTAAAAACCATCCAGAAGTCCACCAGATGGAGACAGAGATGGGGTATATATATAAGAAAGACCTAACCTACCTCTCAAAGCCCCACACTTCTCCAGATGATTCACGCCCTCGCGATGATAGCACTTTCCCAATTCCTCGCCAACAAGACGAGACATCATGCTGCGGACCCATTGCTCGCGGATGATGGCATCACGGGCGTTGTGCACGGCGACATTGTCTTCGAAGTCGACGCCGTCGTAGGTTGGGGGCACGGTGGGCTTTTTGGCGAGGAAGGAGGCGGATTCCGGAGTGGGCATTTTGGAACGTTGAGTAGAAGAGTGGTTGAGGACGAGATTGGACGCGGAGGAGGGGGCGATTAAGATTCCCTGGGCGCTGGACAGGTTGATCTATTGAGTTTGGATTGAGTTGAGCGCCTTTTCTGATGTCGTCGGAGTCCGGAGGTGAATGTGCAATTGGGAGGTTGTGATTGGTGGGAATTGGGGGCGGTGAGTGGTTAATGTAGGGGGTGGGATTAGCGCATGTTGTGTGGCTTCTTTTTACTTGGCCAGGGTTGTGTTTCACGTGATAACGTGTTGTTCTTTGAAGATTAAGAGTGTTCTCCGCGCTAGTCGTGTTTATGTACAGGGAACGGAGTGATCAAAGTGAATTAAGATTCATGTATCTATAGCCATTATTGTCTCATAAGAATATAAACGCTCGCCAGTTAATAAAAATGATAAAGCCTCCATAGGGCAGCAAATGCAAAGACCTGTTCAGCAGCTAATCGTCCAATACGCCGATCGCCCATCAATATGGTCCCTAAATCCCTAAATCACCCATGCGGCGACAAGTAAAAGCTAAACAAAGGGATTCCATAGCAAGCCACATTATCCCTCTGGTGTCTCTTCCTTCTTCCCAAAGAACTTGTCATATAATTCTTTGCTCTTATCTTGCATGCGCTCTCGCCAGGTCCGATTGATCCAGTTGCTGTACTTGCGATACCCGTACAACTCGGCCCAACAGTCACGGCCATAGTTACAGCCAGCCATGTTCACCATGAAGTCACCTCCACCTTCGACGAAGTGAATATCTGGGTTACCCCCGTCACCGCACGCCCCAGGCGGATACGAATTCATGTACCGCTGAGGTAGAAAGCCAACATGGCTGCGGATCCACGGCTCATTGGTATATAGGTACTCCAGAGCATCCTGTTCTTTATGTTCCCACTCCATGTGCTTCTGTTCATACATGGCGGGGTCCCACCAGATATCAAGGAGACGCTCTGACCATACCGATCGTCGCATGAAGAAGGAGCCCAGGCTGAAGCCCGAACAGTCTTGCGACAGCACCAACTGAATCGAAGAAGGATCTCCGTCTCCCACCGGTGAGCGTGACACTTCATCGAGGTGTGCCCCCGTCGGCGGGTGGGTGATATTCAAAGGATTGTAGACGTTGATGTCCCGATATGCGATTTTGCCCAACCGGTTGAAAATGTGGTCTTGCAGCGAGTATGAGTACTCCATAATCCAAGTATTGAGGTCCACCCACCAAAACCTAGAAAAGTCAGCCAGCAAGCACTAAAGTATTCAAAACGGTCGAACGTACCATTCCGCATTAGGATACTTGCGCATAGTCTCCCGGATAATGTCGACTTTCTCCCAACTTTCCCGCCATTCGTGCGAATACCGTTTCTTAGCTAGTAGATTCACCACTTCTAGCTCGTACCCCCATTGTTTCGCGTATCTTTCCTTGTTCATGATGCTGTTGCGCTCAACCGCCCACTCGCGTGCCCCTTTCAGTTCCATCACTCCACCCTCAACATTGGATTCGAGTATAATCACGAACTTGCGTCCACCGCCAAACGATGATCGGCGATAGTGCTCAATGAAAGCTACAAGAAAGAGTCAGCAGGGAATCCTCAATTAAGCAATGATTCGACTCACAAGTCCAAAACATATACCCAACTAGGGCAAGGATCAGAACAAGCAAAAGCCGTAATCTTCTGCGGCGCAACATTGTTCTGCCAAACCCAGAGGAGCGCCAACCTCCACCCGATGAGAATGGTTGGCCACGCCCAAACTCGTCTTTATCAATATAACCATTCGGCGACCTGGAGCTGACACGGAAGCTTGGTAGAGTGGCGGAGATCTGTCGTTTCGATCGAGAGAAGAAACCATTGTTTCTTGTTGAAAAAGACGGATACCCTCGGACCTCGTCACTCTTCGCTTTGGCCGCCGCCCACGAGATCCCACTAGGAGCTAATGGGTTCGGGGACAAAAAGCCACTATGTGGTGTTGAGCTGCCACTGCCTGGAGTGAGGCCGGGACTGGACCACCCTCCCGCAGGGTGGGGTGATGGCGATCGTGAAAGGGACATGGGCGGGGAATTTGGGTTCACAGGGATGTCGGAAATGAGAGACAAGGGCGCACGGGCACGAATGCCCGCGAAAAGAGCAGATCACTAGGCAATTGTGGTGTTGAGGTTCTGGTTCGACGGCGTTGTCTGTTGTAGCGGAGCGGAGGGTGTAAAAGAAGCGTCGCCCAGGACGCGACTCTTCGAGAGGTTGGGAACTCAAAGTAGGAAGGGAGGCGTAGTAAAGAGGTAAAATAGAGAATCTAAGCAAGCAAATTCAGAAGAGAGAGAGAAAGCAGCGAGTCAGAAAAGAAAGGCCAAAAGTTGAGTTTGAATCAAAAAAGACGGAAAAGGAATAGTAGATAATGGGGGCGTTCGTATCAGGCCAAGTGGTAGATTAGTACCTCCAAGACAAGTCTCAAGCCCCCAAGGGAAAATTAGTAGGGAGAAAATGGGAAAAAGGATCCGTGAACAGAGGTACCCGTTTCCGTCCAATTGTTCCAAGAAGAAGTGTGTGAAAAGTTCAAACCACACGGTGACCCAGTGGAACTGGAATATAGGAACCACCACAAGGAAACCTTAAACTGTTCCTGGGAAAGAGAATGAATCACATGAGTCAGTTATTATTAAATCCCACCGGAGTCAATAGGAGGAAGAAGTGACCGTTACGTCCCCCTCCATGGGAAATGAGGGAGATAAATCTCACACCTCTTGGACAATTGCAACATAGTCACAATGGACCGGCAATTAAATTTCAAATTGCAATGGAAATGAAACAATATGACCTGACCAATGGAGGAGAAATGGGTGATGGTGGAGAGAGGGACGAATAGTTTCCAACAGTAAGATTAACTTCATTTCGGTACAGTCACTGGTTCTGCAGGTGACCCCACCCGTCCGTGGGCCTTGGCGCCTCAGGGACTACTTTTTCCCCATATTAAAGAAGGACAAGCAAATGCAACCGGACAAAAGACCCAAAGGGCCAGAACTTAGAGATGTCACCACTTCACTTGACGACAACTCAACATTCCTCAAATCAAGGTTAGGAATGGTCTCGAATCACCTCACTGCAACATGAGGCGTTGTCTCTGTCTCACTGTATTTTTAGTACTTAGTAGTACCGGTTGAACCCATCTAGGGTCCACTGGTCCTATTTAGTAGCAGTAGTAGCACCAGCATCCCAAACCCCAAACCCCACCGCAATATATAGTAACGCTCTTAATAAGGCATATGGAATTTCATATTCTACCACTTTATAGGTACTCTAGAGGTTGAACACCGTTGCTATAGCATTAAGTCAATGAGGTCTTCACTATTTACTATTTACGACAATTTTCTTTCGCTTCCTTTTTCCCCCTACACATAGGGAAAAACTGAATGTAGATACCGCTAGACGAACCCTAACAACGAAGTTGCAAATGAACTAGCTCCATACGTAAATCTATAGAAATACGTATCGTATCGTAGCGATTCATATCCCAGTTCCCACAGGACCCAATCCCTCCCCACTAACCCCAAGATCTCTCGAATACATCCTCGGCCTCGGCTCCCTTCCCAAAACCCCGATAAGAACCTCCCATTCATCCCGACCGCCACCATTCTCCAGAACCATCCGTCGGTACCGCAACCCAGCCTCCTGACTCGTAGGATTCGTCCGGAAACTGGAAAACCAGATATCCGCCGCTAGAATCCGGGTACTGCGTTACTAAGTCAGCATACATCTAAAGTTCCAGGCGCGCCAAGTCCAGATGAAACCAAACATACAAAAGGTAGGAGTAGTAATTGGCCTCTTGGCCCCACATATAATGTGATGTGGTGACATATCCATTGCCCCAATCGAGACCACCCTCTGGCCCGCGAAGGCTCGTCATGTCCTGCAGCAGCGGAATGTACACCTCGCCGATGGACGTATTTCGGATGGCCCGCTGGGAATCGGGATTGTGTATCCGCATGTCGACTTTGCTGAATGCGACCTGTCGGAGCGTGAGGACGATGAGGCTTTGGATAAAGGTTTCTGGTATCGTCTCTGGTGGTTGCGTGGTAGCGTTGTTGGTCTGGGCCCATTGTTTGCGGTACTCGGGGGAGAGGTGCGTGTAGTGGCAGCTGAGCTTTTGGGGGTATTCGGGAACCCAGCACCAGTATTCGAGTAGTTGGCTGGGTGCTTCTACGAAGTCTGGAACTGTTCGGTGGCCATGGAATATCGCGTACATAGGTTTGCCTAGAAGGTCGTGCATTCCTGGCGTGGCTCTAGGTTAGTGAAGGCCAGTGCGAGTGTATAGGAAGGAACACACCATGTCCTAGTTCAGGGAAGATGGCAATGAGCTCTCGGTGTTGTATAAGAGCAGGTCTGTCCTTTGATGGTGAAGAGGCATTGCATACTAGGGCAGTAATTACTGTAGCACGTTGTCCGTTGTCCTTGAGGTAGCCCTTGAGAGTAGTGTCAGTTGAATAGAATGAACATACACGGAATACCTCAAACAGTGCTGAGGGACATACATGATAGATGTTAAAGTTGGCCGCATGGTTAAATTTCCCCTCGCGAGGATAGATATCTATATAAAGATACCCAATAAATGCTGACTCCTCTGTGTCCCATACAGAAAACACCTTCGCATCAGGATGCCAAACCCGATCTCTCCCCACCAACTCTGCAATTGACAGTCCAAATAACACTCCAAACACGTCCAACATCCGTCTAATCGTGACCTCTACCGAAAAATACTCCGCAATCAAGTCTTGATCGACATGATATCTTTCGCGCAACATACGATCATGAAAGTAATCAAAATCCCACAATGACAACGACTCACCTCCCTGACCCCGTAGCTGCTGTAGAGCCCCAATCTCCCTCGCGCCAACAACTGCAAGTGCACAGAAAGCTTATCTAACAATTTCCCAATATCACCAGGCGACTTCACAATTTGATGCCGCAGCTTCTGAGCCGCAAACGAAGAAAACCCCAACAAGCGTGCAGCTTCATCCCGTAAGACAACCGTCTCATGAAAGATCTCGATATTTTCCGGGAAAACAGCCAGGCTTCGGAGGAAGTCTTCTCGGCGAGTTGAAGCCACGGAGCACTGGCTCAAAACCGCGCTAACATCAGGCTTCTTGAGCTGGATGTGCGTCTTTGTGTTCCTGAGGCATCCCGGGCCAGACTGTCGAGTTTCGCGTGAGACAGGCCCTCTAACTCATGCTCGCCATTCCAAATAGACTCTAGATCCGTGCTCAGGTTCTCCATAAATGTCACGCGAAGTTCGATTAATCGATGCGAGATCCAGATGAACCGGTTGCGACTAGGCCCCGATAGTCATAGGCCGTTGTCCACGAACATTCTATGGAGTTTACCTAGGAGCTGTCTGTCCTCTTCGGTCGTGCCTTGTTCGTCTATTTTGTCATAGACTTCGTCGACTAAGGCGAATAGACGCTCGTTCAGGAATGGTCTTAGGTATGCTTTGTCCACGATGTTGACTGCCTCTGATGATGTTTTACGCAATGTCGGCGACGGCAATACTGCCTAGAATAACGCCAGGTACTGAACTTCTGACTTGACTTCATTATCTATGGTAGCTAGTGGGCCGACAGCGTTTGCGAAGCTTGCATTCTGCGGCGACACCGAGTTCACTAGGGAATCTACAGCCTGCTGGACTTTCTCCACAGGGCTTGTCGCGTTCGACAGTAATGTTGCGGAGGTGATGCTAAGTGTTGGAGGTGGAGGGGGGTTGATGACTACATTCTAGGCTGATTTCTTAATATCAAGAGTATGCCCTCACAGCTAGACCTAACCCTAGGGCTCTCGCTGTAACTGCTCTATTTATGTATGCACAAGACCTGAAGAGATAAGGGGAGATAAATGTTAGGAATCACCGGACTTAACTACCACGTCACACTAAGCATTTAGTAAGATCACCGCTCATCCATCGTTGGGAGACTAGCAGGGGCTGCTCCAGACACTAATGCAACGCGACCTTCTAAGTCGAGTAGCTCATTTATCGGGTGATGTGATAGCTGGCTCCCTCTACCTTGCCTTCATCCACCATTACCAAGATAGCTAAAGGTGATTTGGCTTCCCATTAAACCCGCGACCGACTTTCATTGGCTAATTTATGATGAAAGCTGCGACCGGAAATATTCCAGAAACCAAACCCGCAGAGCAGCTGTTCCTGGATCTCCCTATCCAAGTCGACCTGAACAAGGATACCGGAATGCAGGTAATAGAGCCTTGGGCTAGCATGTACGTCGATGCCATACGTGACAGAAGATTCGGCGATGCTGTGTAGACACGCTATCGTATTAGTGAAGACGTGGAAAATTGAATTGTCGGAGGTTCAAATAGTAAGACCGTGCTTGAGGAAGATGCGTTGGAAGCTAGGGTGAACGATCTAGAAGGATACGCTGAGGCTTATCATTCTATTTAAAGACCAGCAGTGCAGATGGGCATAGCTGCATAATAGAGATTATTCGGAGACTTGCAGAGAGGGACATCGCTCAGCTTGAAAGTGAACTTGAAGAACGAAGACCAGCTCATGAATGGTCGCCGTAGAGTTGAGAAGAGTATATCTAACCTTGTATACATCATGTCGTGCAGATAAGTGCAATCCATAGAATTTCCACAAAGGTCAAGACTCATTTTCAAAGAGTCGAAGCCGCAAGGTAAAAACTAAGTATGGTGTGAAAATAGTCGTTCGCTACTGATATTGTACAATGTCCTCATTTTGTCACACTAATTCTATAGAGTACGCTTTTGCAATGGCATATTATTTGCTCTTTTTCATTTCTTATTTTTTGAATTTTATGTTCAGACCAGTTTCCGACGCTTCCGACACTTATGTCGTGGATATACCAAAATTTGAAACCATTATCTCCATAAAGAGTAGAGATGCAAAAAAGCTGGCTCCAAAAAAATAAATAAACAAGAATCATGTGCAAGCACTAAATCCATCCAATCATGACCAGATACCTCCAAATATTACCTCCATACAGTTCATCTATGTTTAAAGTGTCCTCCCTGATTATTTCTTTTCATTGCGATCTTTCCGCGCAGGAAGCTGGTTCGCAGCCGCATCCTTGGGCACCAGGATCTTGCGTATGGTGAACCCCTTTTCATTCTCCGGCCGGGTACAAGCGCTGTCCCCATGGTAGAACTCGCATTTAAATTTCAAAAATTTGTGGCGATGTTGATAAATCGTGATAATATCCCCTGTGTAAATCTTCCCAAAGTGAAACCCTTCTCGACTGGTATCCCCTTCCGGCCCTCGGCGTAGCTCTGTATCGTTCACCCATATGCACTTGCGCGTTTTAGTTGAAAGTATTGCCATCACACCAGGCACAGTCATCCAATCCCGTCCCGCTCTTATCTTGGATTCAATGGAGGGAGCCCAAAAGGTAACTTCCAGCGCATACGCTGGAATCCTCGTGTCCATAGGGTCGGGGTAACAGACGGTCGCTTGAGGACCCCGACCCCACGATGTCATTCGATCTTCCAGAGGGATTGTCAGTTCGAAAATTGACCCGGGAAGCGTCGTCAACTTGCCCAGGAGAGTTCGAGGTTTTGGTTGACGCACGATTTTCGGATTCCCAGTAGGCGCTGGATCGGCTGGTGCATCGCCGGCTGTTCTCTCAGGGTAGTCTAATATTGGCTGCCCGGTCTTAGCGTCAATAGTGTTTGCCAATTCAATGTCGAAAATCTCCCCTGGAATTGATTTGGACTCTTGACGATCGTCTTTGGCACGTTGCGCGGTAGTTTCGGGGCTGGAGCGTTCACTGGCGGTATCAGGCATGGGTAACTCAATCCGTCGGCTGAAAATGGCCGGCTTGGGGGTCTCGTTACCAGGGCTGGTTCGCCGAATTATCTTCGCTTCCTTTTTCTCTAGAATATCCTCCTGCTTCGCTCCAATTACCGGGATCTCGACGACTGGTGGATGTTTGATTGATGTGCCAGGGTGCCACGAATTCATGTTCAGCTGCCCAACAAGTTTCTCAGCTCCCATCAAACTTGGGGCAGACCCACAAATAGGGTCCTCCGGAAGGGAAAGAATGGAGTTAAGGCTGTTGCCGTCGCTGACCATCGACTCACCGGCTGAAGAAATGAAGTCATTGATGCTGAAGTTGTCTCCTTCAAACGCATTCATATTAGCACCCAGAGCACCCGAGCTTCCTAGTACAGATGGGGTGATTTCACCGAAGAGGCGTTTTGGTGTTGTGTCAGCAGCAGTCTGCACTTCTTTCAAGCTTTCAATGTGTGGCAGAGACGGGTAACGAACATCCGTTGGGGGATAATCAATCCTCGGCCTCTTGGATTGCGCTAGGTCGCTATCGTCTTGCCCAGCCGAATCTTTGGGTTCTGATTCATCTTTTATTGAAAGCTGAGATGCATCCAGTTCGTCTTCTACATCCTCGCCGATATCTGAAAGCTCACCCCGGGCATCGGGGTACATCTCGTCATCATCGTATTGATCCACATCTTCAACACTCGAAATCCAGGGATGCTGGAAGCACTCTTGTTCTGTCGGACGGGCCTGTGGATCACGGTTCAAAAGTCGAGTAACAAAATCAATGCCCTCTTCTGACACGCCTTCGTTGCGCAACAGATCAAAATCGGCGTCGGTAGTCATGATAGTTCGCAACATTTGGGCTCCTCTGTCATCGCCCCGGCCCATATATGGAGGAACACCAGAAACGATGTGGTAAAGCACCGCTCCAAGCGACCACATGTCGACGGACTGGCTATACGGAGAAGTTTTAGGGGGTCTGGCAGTCAGTGAGGTTTCGAACAAAAAGTGCTGACAGGGTAACGTACGGATCACCTAGCCTGCGCCTTTTCCTAACTTCACCGCGACGATAGGAATCATACTCTGGGTAAACTTCAGGGGCGCAGTAGAGGAGGGTGCCACAGAATGTCTTGAGGAAGGTCTCCTCCTGCACTACTTTTGACAATCCAAAATCCGACAGCTTGACTCTCAATGGGTCGAGCGAGGAAATCAGGATGTTATCCGGTTTGATATCTCGATGTGTGATCCTACGCTTATGAAGATACTGCAGCGCATGCAAGACCTGGCGGGCAATCGTCCTGACCATATCTTCAGGGATCTTGCCAATAGTTTGCAGGTATGTAGACAATTCTCCGCCGGGAACATATTCCATGATAATGTAAATCCATCGATCATGCTCGTGGTGATCAATATATTGGACAATATTAGGCTGTCCAAAAAAAAGACAGAAAAGAAAAGCATTAGTTAATAAATCGTCCTTTGTCTGGGTATAGATTTTTTCACTTACATGTTTGAGGTCTTTCATGATCTTCATCTCATTATCCACTTTCTGGTCCAAGATGCCATTTTTCATGAATCGTCGTTTGTCAAGCTCCTTGGCTGCATAGACTATCCCATGCTGCTTTGTGGCAAGCTTGTAAACCGTTGCGAAGGCACCTTTTCCTATTTGACCGGTCACATTGTACATCGGTCCACCCGTCCAGTGCATCCCGAAGGTATTAGAAACCGTCCATTGCAAGACAGGCTGTGCCGAGGTCTGGCGTGGTTTAAGCTGCGTCGTTCCTGCCCGGTGCTTTTGAACCCGCTCAAAATAACGCAGCAAATTCTCTGTGTACTGCATAGAGAACCCTTCCCGGTTTGGAATGCGGACAACGAATCTGACTTCATCTGTTGTTTGGTCGCCGTGAACCACTTGAATGACAGACCCGTTGGTCAACATTCGACTGTTGTCTCTCTGGGCTTTGCGAAGACGGCAGTTGTCTACAATGGTTCCATTGGTGGAGATATCCTCAAGCATAATGATTCCATCCTCGGTGAGGTAGATACGGAAATGTTGATTTGAGATACGCTTTGAGCTTTGATGATCACCAGCAAGGAGGAGATCGCAACGAGCTTTGTTGCGCCCAAAGCAAAAACCTGCACTTAAATCCTGCACTTTCGATGACAGCCTGAGTGCAAGGTCCAGAGCTGCTGAACCTTCATACACTATGTCTCTTTGGAGGATATGCTGAGGGGCAAAATCGGCAGAGGCAGTCACTGCATGGTGAGCAGCAGGCGAACTGGGATGCAAGATACAGATTATGTCCGACACATCCTGCTCATGTAAACCAGAGTTGTTGTAGCCCATGCGGCGGGGGTCCGTGCATGGCTGAGTAGATTCTTGAGTCGCTTCCATTTGGTCTGGGAGGTGATGAGGTAGGGAGTGAAGTCGTCCAAAGCTGCAAAACAAGGTGTCGAATCTACTATCAAAGAAGAGGATGACTTAGCGTACATGTGTTGATGCGTGAATATGAAGAGATGTTTGCATAACCAATACAATCATTTAGAAATCATGAACCTACCCAAGTGTCAGTTCTTCCTAATTCATAAAGCACTCATTGCGATATCATTGACCATTATAAGAGTCGGAAAGTCCCTTACCTCATGAGAAATCAACAAGAAAGGAGCACCAATCACAAGTTGAGCTTCAATATACCCCTAGCTTTCCAATGGGTGTGATAAACTATGTGCACAAACCTGAGACTAAGAACAGGGGTTGTCTGTACTGAGCCAAAAAGCACCAAAAAGAATCCTCCCAAGCTCTGTGAGGTAAAATTATATTCCTAGTGCCTCGATGACAACGGGTATTGGGAGGGTAAATTTGTAGGCAGGGTAACCCAGACCTTAGCAAGCTCGCACGGAAGGTTATGGATCGGATTCATTGAACAAAGGAATGACAGTTTGGAAGTTCGGGCTATGACTTAAAGTAAGGGAAAGGACTATGTCTGTGAGACCGTTGATGGATTAGTTTGGAGCTTTTGATTAATCAGGGACCGAAGGACTCGAAAACTCACAGAGTTGACGTACTCCCCATCCACCATCCACTGCACAATTCGAAGCGTGACTGTGACAATGGCCTTAGTTTAATAGGGCAAGTCAGCAACAGGGGCGCGACAGGGTGCTCTCTGGCAGGGTCGTCGTCCAAGAAACAAGCAGTGAGGCTGAAGTGAATAACCCGCAATTTATTTGGAGGGCGAAGGACACCCCAGGCATCAACAAGACTCTGCCCAGGCACCAAGGCTTATATTGCCTGAGGCTGAAAGAGCACCTCCAGCCAATAGCAAGGCAAGGTCGTGACCTCCGGCGGGAACCAACCGTGGATGCCAATGTGGGGAATTCGATCTATCAACTCGGGCATGTGCCTAACCCTGTTCATCCGAGATCTGGATATGTGATACATTGCATGATCAAGCATTTCTGCGATTTCTACAATTGGATCGAGTTATCCCGGCATCTACCTGCTACCGTAGGGTTTGCTTTGATCTGTGCTACGTTGATAGTTCCCGCTCATAGCCAACCCAAACACCTCACCCAGACGCGCAATCGCTTCCTCCGATACCTCTGGGATTCGAGTCAGTGTCCGCTGCAAGGATATTCCTAGGCAACCCGTAGATCGATGGGCACTTACGGTAGTGAATTACAATCCGATTGCCCAACAGTTTCAGATTCCTTTCCTTTCCTATTTCAGCAAGGTCATTGGGCCCTAAGCCGGCCGCTTCAAGGTTCAGCCACACCATGTTAGTCTCTACTGGCTGAGACAGCTTGCCCCCGAGGTTTTGCCACATCTCAGCAACCTTCTTAGCTTTAGCATGAGTTTCCCGAAGCTTTCCTCCCTGACCATGAGGGTCTGGTCCGAACGTCTCGTCGACGGCTACTCGGGCAGCTGCAGCGATCACCCCTGCTTGTCGGACACCACCACCAATGGCTTTGCGAAACCACCTAGCTTTCTTGATAAACTCACTGGATCCAACAATAATGCTACCAATAGGCGCACCGAGACCCTTGGAGAAGCACAAGCTCACGCTGTCAAATAAACCAGCGTACTCGGGTAAGCTACCGGCCCCAGACACCACCGCTTCCCAGAGCCTTGCACCATCCAAGTGCACCTTAATCCCGTTCGCATGTGCCCACTCTGTAATCTTTCGGGCCTCGGCGAGCGGCAGGACCCCGCCATCCAAGGTGTTTTCCAAACTAATCAGCTTCGTCGGACAATGATGGATATCATCGTCAAGCACCGCATATTTCTGGATATCCTCCAAGGTGAGATAGCTGCCATTCTTGGGGTCGATGGTTTGGACCGTTGCACCGGTCAAAGAGCTGACTCCTCCAGCCTCGTAGCAAATAATATGAGAGCGGCGATCGCACAGCACGGAATAAGGTGGCTGTACTAGATGAGTTCGAATGGCAACCTGGTTGCCCATTGTTCCGGACATGACGAGCAAGGAATCCTCATGGTTGGTGCGTTGGGCGACATAGGCTTGGAGGTCATTTGTCACCGGGTCCTCACCGAAGACATCGTCTAGGAGCGAAGATTGAGAGATTGCTTCGAGCATCGCCATAGTCGGTTTGGTCATTGTGTCGCCTTGTTGACGTTATCTCAGCGTGTTGGAAGAAAACAGATTATACCAATGGCGAAACTTACTCCTCAAATCGAATTCCGCCGCCCCAGCACCCTTCCAGGTGTTGGGTTTGTTATCAGTGCCATTCGAGGCTGTCGATAAGCCCGCCATAACGATTCTTTGACCGTATCCGACTCTTTGAGCAGAAGACGTCGACCGAAGCAAAGGTAACGGTCGAATGAAAGCGCGGGAGAATGGTCTCATCAAGATTTATCGTGGGAGTTCCAAAAGGATGCGGCGAAGAGGGGAAGCGACAGTGACTCAGGCGCCTGTACCTTTACCGAATGAAGACATTCCGAGAGTGTCATGCGGGGAGATCCTGAAGAATACCGTGTACAACGCCATACGGTAAAACGGATACCGACTCGGAAACCATGCCGGGGAAAAAAGAAATGCCCAAATTAGAATGACGACAGACGGAAACGCGTGCGGTTCTAACCCATACCTCAAAAGGGAATAGTCGACCCGCCGACGTGTCCCCAGTTGCAGCTGAGTCAGCAGTCGAGATCCCTCTGGACTTTTTGCGGCGTGGGAGAGCCTTTCAACGTCCTCGCATTGACCCTCCAACCCTCTTGCAGGTGGCGTACGGCATATCGGACGCCTTCTTGTAGGTTTTGGGATCATTGTTCACAATGGATTTATCGTCATTGACCCGCTCGGCCATCCTGTGCCAATGTTCTCGGTGCTCGAGTTCCCTGGCGGCTCTCGAGAACGAATGGGCCAAGCTTTCCAACTCTTATTCCGTCGCCGCAGGGTGGCTGAGCGTCGAGCTTCACCGGATAGCGATCTCGTCGGAGAAGAAACAAATACCACAATCTTCGGACCTTACTATACTTCGCGGACGGATCATACAGGAAGTCTCCTGCAAGCTCTGTCAGCAAAAACTAGCCGTGTTATGTTCGTTAGAGAATGGGTAAGTCGGGGTAACACCGAGATGACGATCTTACGCATGGATAGTGACTAACGACACCAAGTCCCAATATCTTTTGGAAGCTATCCAAAGTATCATTCAGGGAGATCGTCACCATGCGCACTGTAGAACCTACGTTCAAAGATGGAATACTCGAGCGCTTGATCCATCCGCCTCAGAAAGAATCTACCCGCCGAGACAGGACCTCCATTCAGCCGGGAGCTTTGGTACCAATCGAATCATCAGCGATGGAACAGTACGGTACATCTGTGGAGCAACAGATTCAACACCAAGGACTGAGCCTCGACCATATCTCAAGTTCCGTGAGCAACCTACATGATACGATGTCCGAGCTAAAAAGTGCATTTACTACACTACGTATCGAACTAAATGGCCCCGGTCGGTTCTCTGACCTAGGAAACACCAACAATGATTTCAATATGATCACGACGGTGCTGAAGGAACTCAAGAACAAGTCCGAAGAGATCGAAAAGCTAAAACTTGAAAACGAGGCACTGAAATTGAAAAACCGCTACGCGGAGGAACAGAATACAAGACAGCAGCAGCAACAGCCACTACCACCTTCAACACTAGCAGTAACCAACACACTTCCAGAAGTCCGGAGCCCGGGATTGCTCCAAGCAGGCAGAAAACGACCATGGCCGGACACGTGGCCTAGCGGTCGCACCCAACCGATCGCAGACTCGTTCGACGATGGCGACGATGATGAAGATAGCATCGATTTCTCACTGGAAGATACACACATTCCCCCAGTCAAGATTCCTTTAAGGGCACCCGAAACCGACGCGACGATGGATACACCTCAAGCCTCGATAGCACCTGCATCTCCAAACTTCCACATCGAAGTCAGCCAGTCGGGAGATCTACCCCCGCATTGGGAAACATCAGAGCTCAACACAAGCACTGAACAACAGGCCATTCTTAAACGCCCTCGAATGTCTCAAGCCGCTAGCGAGAGGCCACCCTCCAGCGGGGATACAGATAAAAGAAAACCGGGGCGGCCACGCAAATCCCTAAGCCAAGCCTCGAAGCTGGATCTCTCCCAAATGCAGACTCCTAGGCCAACGCCATTAAGCGAGCAGAACCTCAACCTCAGCAACAGTTCTCAAAAAGAGGATCATCATTCCACCACCAGTCCCAGCCAACGCCCAAATACAACAGAAAACCGTCCAGGCCGCTCCCGAAGTTTACGCAGTAGGTCTCGACCGCCTCCTCGACAGTCAACAGGTGCCGATAACCATTCATCCGAGCAGGAGACACCAGGCAGTACTCTTAATACTCGACGGGGTGCAGAAGCTTCAGAAACCCCTGGCCAACAGTCCGGATCAGGGAAGGAGAACCAGCCGACGAAGAATGCTGATTCCGAAAACAAACGTGAAGCGCAAGAGAAACGAAAGGCACAGGTTGCCGCGCGCGATATGATGGCACGCTTAGCTATGCAGCGTGAAGAAGCCATGGAAACAGAGGCTCGTTGATACTACGCTAGACTGGAATTCTATTCATGTATTATTTATTTCATTCACCATTTCTCCCTTTGTCTTAGTCGATCCCTTTGGACTTTTCATTCTTATTGGCTTCCTTCTAATTTCTTCGAATTACGATGCTGTACTACACAAAAATGGGGTCAGTTCTTGGTGGGTACACGGAGCTGGAGCAGTGGATGGGCTAAATTGTTTTTCTTGGGATCTGGATATCTCAATATTATTCGGAAATTATTCTGTCCAAATGTAGTTTTCCAACATCCATGCTGTACAGGGGTATCTACGCTATCTCGATAGCCCGCAGCATCGAAAAACCAAATATAGACTCTATTTGACACACATGAAACCACAGCCATCTCGGGCTCTCTCACACGCTTTTTTCAGGGCTAGTTCCTCAGTGTCCGTCCATTTCACAGTCAACTCGTCCCATGGCTTCTTGGAATTGAATTCTTCCCGGAAGCACTTATGCATGGCCTGGAGCCGGCTGACCTCGCGTGGGTCTCCAGTACCCGAGTAGACCATAAACAACGTACACGGTGGAAGAGACTCATAGACACGGTTAATATGAGAAACTGTGCGCGATACTGTATCAATGAGACTCTTCGGAGCAGTTTCCGAAGGAGCGGAGGTAGTGGTCGGACTGCCTGGCGTTGTTTCAGGGGGAGAGACTAGAGCCGTGGATTCGTTCGCATTTTTGGGATCTGGTATCCGGTTGCACCAGCCTCGATAAACTTCTAGCTCTCGCATCCGTGCCCAGGTAAAGTCTACTCCGCCTCCTGGGATCGTAGTGTTGCTTTCGTCCCCGTTAACAACTGATGCGATTCCCTTTACTACATCCTCGTCATCACTGCATCCGATCGCGACGGTTGCCTGGGATCCGAACCCACGCTCGGGGCTACCCCAGTCGACAACCGCTCCGGTACGGCCTTCGCCTGTTGTGTTCGACTTGCCTGGCCGTGTAGAGCGTGCGAGGCGCTTGAAGATACTTTCATTCGCGGCATCACTTGTTCCCCACCGCTCGCCTTTCTCACACTTTAGTTTCACCAGCTCGAGCACGGCGCGGGCGTCTTCAATGGAGTCATGACCAGTCTGACCCTTCTGGATCTCTTTGCCGAGATACTTCTGAGTAAGCCACTTCAAACTGCACTTGAGCGGCGGCCCACGGGGGTGGGGGTAAATAATTGTGGTGTCGACAATGAAGGGGTGCGCAAGTTTGAGAGCGTTTAGATCCGAATTGAGTGAGTGGCCAACTAGAATAGTATGAGGTGTAAGGATAGTAAGGAGCTTTTGCTGAATATCAGCGAGGGTAGTCGTAACAGGATCCAGCATTTCCTTGGTGATCCCCGAAAACCGGGTAAGGTAGTCAATCACGGGCAACTGCGGCTTCACGAGCTCATCCAGTACGACTTCGCCGTCCCAGCCGACCAAGCTTATGCGCGTGAGCTCGGACTTTCCGCCCTCCGTGATACACATCTCACAATCCAAAGACAGTACAGTACGTCCAGCTGTCATGCTTCCCTGTTGGATCTCAGCCTCGGGAACATCGCCTTCCTCTATGTTTGTGACATGAGTATCAACCCATCCAGCTTCAGCGTCCTGGCCAGTTCGCTTGCGCGCTGCTATCAATTCTGATCTCCCATTATCTGTTCTGAACAGTGCTGGATGGAGGACATAGTCGTTTTCACGGAGATCCGCAAGAGAGCTGATAAAAGTGGTTATCGGAGTCCGCCTGGGAATGAAACTCTTATCCACCCGTGCCTGTTTAGGACCCTTCTTTTGACTGTCTTCCTTATTCTTGGGTAAAGCCGACAACAAGACCGCTTGAAGCGGCGAATGGACTTTATTATACTTCGAATCACCAGGCGCTTTAATCGGCCAGATGTGAGGAAATATATCTGCCAGAGGTTGTAACGGTTCCGGAAGTCCATCACGCGACAACGGGCGAGGATTGAACCGATGAGACCGATCTTCGAGAGGCAATCCCTGTTTCCAACGATTGAAATCGGCTGTTTTAGAGTCCTCTTGGCCCTCAGCAGCTGCGGAGTAGTTCGACGCTTCCTCCGCAGGAGGTATCAACGGGACAGACCCATCAAACATGCCTATTTCCAGACCTGGTACCATTAGAGCCACTATCTTCCTGACATGTCCGGAGTGCTTGATAGAAATCCACTGTGGCGCAATGCCGTCCGCGAAACAGTAGAGTAAGAGGCCTTGCAGGTCTGCGATCCTAATCGAAGATTGTAGTCGCCCATCGACGTAAGTAAGGACCGGATATTTCGTCTTCTCCCCGTCCACCCGCTTCTTCTTCGATGGTCGTTGTACCACCATATCGTTCTTGTCCTTTTTTGGGGTATCTTTAGACAGCATATCCTGAGCCGTAGTAGGTTCACCTTCTTCAGAGGTTTTTGAGCCTCGAAGCAGAGATAATGTTTGCGCTACACCGAGTCCATTGTTGGAATTGGACGTGTCATAAATCGGGGTTTCATCGTCTGAGTGACCGCCGCCGGCGCGCTTGCGCTTCGTTCCTGCCATCACGGAACAGCTAGCGGAGAAGGAAAGTCTGGTCTATAGGATCCGCTAGAAGCACAGGGGTTTAACAGGAGCGCATAAACCGGTACAGGCGGTATCCCTCCTCTTTGCGAAGCTTTGGATCGTCTTAACCAGAGAATGACTTCGACAATGCTCGGGTTTTGGGGCTGGATACTATTCGTCACTGCGGTGCGGAACGGATTTATCGATCGACTTTTTGTATCACGTGCTGATAGCGAATTGACATGGATTCCCGGCCAATCATCGCAGAGGGCTATTTAAATTCAGTTTCAAGAACAATCAACACAATCTACCTAGTAGAAAGCAGATTTATATCGATTTTGACATTAAAATAATATATACATTCAACCTGACTCTACTATAGGTGTTGATGTAAGAAACCCAGGTGTCCCGCAAGCGATAAAACCCCTTACTGCCCTTTCCTTTTCGTTTGCCTCTTTTATACAGCAATACCCCGGGATAACAGAGCTCCATATATGAGCGAGTGGACAAACACACCGGGGATTAGATTTAGGAGAGTGATTTCTCTAAGGCATCACGCATCCAGGATACCAAGAGAAGTAGACCCATTGCCACAGGTAGCTCCATTGGTTGAGTCGCCAGTGTTAGATGGGGCCAATGAGTAGAGTGACCTAAGCACACTTAATTCCCTGTTCTCTCGTTCTATGTAGTTATTTCTATCCTCCAACAGAGATACCTCGGTTTGTAATGGGCTGATTTCTACGTTTGATCCGACGGCTCCTCTCGCAGTATGATGCTATGCTCAGTCGGAGAACTATAACCTGGATCAAAGACGTCTGAGCCTAACTGACCATGTTGATATTGACGATTTTGTAAGATTTGACACGGAGAAAGCTATATAACTAACTATACCAATAAATATGCAGAACGAGTACCCGATGTGTTGAGATACTTGACATGAAGATGACAATATGCGCTGTGCTCATCAGTCGGAACAGGATGTGGCTGTTGAATAGCTTTTCCTATCCAAGTTGCCTTGAGAGATGAGGCATGGCCATATTGGAGACACTGCAGCAGTTAAATAAAGCTTTGCCAATCACTTTCCTCGCCTCTTTTATCCTTTTTCAAACGGAGATATGATACAGATATAAACCTTAGGTGTCTGTATAACTCAGTGAGCTAGTATCTTAGTGAGACCGTTTCAGTCTCAGCACGTTTATGATCCATATAATGTGAATTGAGGATATTGGGAATAACAGCCAGTAGACGAATAAGAACTAAACATTCAATAGATCGATGCTAGTCCTGTAAGACAGCTGACTAATGCAAATGGCATCATCGGAAAAACAAGGAGGCGAGCCCCACGTTCCCCATGCAGAGCCAAACAGAGCCCGTAACAAACGCCGGTTCGATCTGATAAGCGGCCAAAATTTCGCCTCCGACCGATCTTCCATTCTTTTTCCCTCCTCCATACAACCACTTCCAGGCGCATCTCAAGTCAACTCGGTCCGAGCTGTCCTCTCACTCACAGCCCAATCATTGCAAAACCAACCCTACACCCAGACCAGAACAACCCGAGCCGACCAGGAAGTCGAACTCAAAAAGTAAAAAGGCGCCATCCGAGTCCCAAACCCCGCGGCAACCAGAAAACGCAACCCCGCCAAAATGTCGACCCTAATTGAAATCCCCTCGGAGGAACAGTTCACCTCCCATATCACTAACCTACCCCCCGCAACCCTCCAAGTCCTCTACTTCCACGCCCCCTGGGCCGCCCCCTGCACGCAAATGCGCGCCGTGCTCTCCGCCCTCGCATCCCAATACCCCCCCACAGCCCCGGTAACCTTCATCAGCATCAACGCCGAAGAACTCCCTGACATCTCGGAAGACTACGACGTAACCGCTGTTCCCTTCGTCGTCCTCGTCCGCGACGGCAAAATACTCGAATCAATCTCCGGCAGCGAAGCCACTCGCGTCCGGGATGCCGTGGAACGCTGTGCCGGTGGTGCAGGCACAGCAACAAAGCCGACTATCCCGCCGCCATTGTCCGCTGTGCCGAGAGAGTCTGGGCCAGCGACGGCCACGCAGCCGCCCGTGAACGCGAACGGGGCGGGCCTGACGCCGGAGCAGTCGAAGGAGGCGCTGTTTGCGCGGTTGGCGGATTTAGTGAAGGCGGCGCCGGTGATGCTGTTTATGAAGGGGACGCCGAGTGCGCCGCAGTGTGGGTTTAGTCGGCAGCTTGTGGGGATTCTCCGCGAGCGGAGCGTGAAGTATGGGTTCTTTAATATTTTGGCGGATGAGGATGTTAGGCAGGGGTTGAAGGAGTTTGCGGAGTGGCCTACTTTTCCGCAGTTGTGGGTTAATGGGGATTTGATTGGGGGTTTGGATATTGTAGGTTTTCTTTTCTTTTCTTTTCTTGTTTGCCTTCTCCCTTCTTTCTGTTGTCGTCCCATTTCATTTTTTTTTTTTTTTTTTTTTTTTTGAATGGGGGTTCTGGTTTTTTTTTTTTTTGTTGCGGTTTTTGTACTGACTATATTTGATGAAACAGGTCAAGGAGGAGATCAGCAACGATCCTAACTTTCTTCTCGAGTTCTCTGTGAACAAGGCTCCTACTGCTGCTTAAACTTATAGACAAGGGAAATATTGCAGCTCTTTTACCATTATATTTTGTTGCCTACTTGCTTTGCAATGATTGATTGTTAGATTTTAGGACAGCGATGCCATGATTCTCTTGTGCTCATTTTTCCAGCTCGAGTTCGATACAATTTTTAATTTTACTTGGTTCTTAACAAGTGGATAAGAGGAGTAAAAAAAGTGGATATATATATATATAATCCAATAATTATATACAGTAGCCATTCCAAGCCCCTCTAGCACGCTTTCAATAACAGCAGCATACCCCTATGCTGATATACCCCCAGCCGTGCTTAATGAATCCGAGTAAAAAGACACCGTTCCCGATGCTGATGCCGTAAGCACAGAACAGGCTTTTTCATACCATGCACCTCCCACATCCCTCGTTACCTTAATAGATACTTGGTTTCTCGTTTTAACTTTCATCTTCCTTTATCTGGCCCTCTTCCTTTTGGCTCTCCGCTTTTGACTGCTGTTTCGAGTTAAACCATATCTCAGGATATTTACGGCTCATCACAGCGAACTGGGACAATAATGCATCCTCATCGACGTAGGCGCCAGCGAGCCAGCGCTGGCCAGTAGCGGTATTGAACTGACGACGGGCGTGGAGCACACGGCGGTTCTCGAAGATAACGCATTCACCCGGGTTCAATTTCAACTCGAAGATGTACTTCTTATCTTCCAGCATATTGGCAAATTTGTTTAGAGCCTCAAAATCATTCACGGTAGGAGAAAATGAGCGTCGCTTTCCGAACATTGGGGCCTGGAAGGGAGGGGAGTAGTTGGCGTGTGTCAGCTTCGTCGCCTTCGTCTTATCATCCCGATAAGTTTGGAAAACAGGCCAGTCGTTAGTGTAGACATGATCGGCGTGATTATACTCGTAAGACAGCCGGAGATTGCACAGAGTAACAAAAGCTTCGCGGTCGTCAATGCGGAGTTGATTAGCGACGGCGAAAGAGTCTGCAAACAGCGACTCGCCTCCGTCGCACGAGTTCTGGAGGCAATGCAGGAGCTGGAATCCCGGCGGTTCATTCATGTACATCAGGTCCATGTGGAAGCCCAAATACTGATTCGTGTAGGCGACATTCTTAGCCTCAGGCACGGTCCGGACATCCCAAGTTGCACCATAGAAGGTATTCCGAAGGGGACCCATGCGAGTTGCGATTTTCTCAACCTCCTCGCGGGAGTCGGGGATACCCTTGACAAAGAGGAGACCGGTTCGGGCCAAACTGCGCATAGCGTCGGAGAAGGTAGATTCGTCATTCATGTACTCTTCGTATGTGACCCAGCGATGCTTATGTTCGCTACCCCACAACTGACGCTTTCTTCTGCGACCGGAAGGGCTATACGGGTAATTGGCGCTGGGTTTCTTTAATTCTTCGTGGGAATACACGGAGGTATGCGACTCGTCGAAACCTGGGATGTCATTCTCCCACTTCACTTTCAATGTTTCCCCATCCCAGTCCACGGAGCGTGGTTTGACATTCTTGGGAATGTCGGACATCCGAAAGTTGCGTTGCTTTGAGTGTTGGTTTACGCATAGTGGGCATTTGCAGCCGTCGCGCAGGAGCAAGTGCATTGCCGGGATATACCGATTTGATGATGTGGGGAGTTTCATGCCTTGGGGCCCAATTGTGGGAGTGAAAGGGGCCTTGGAAATTTGAGACTCTGAGGACTCTTCGCTTGGTGCAGAGTCCTCTTTTGGGACAGCTACGGGCTTCGAACTAAGGCAAGCATCGTCGCTGCCGCCGCTCGCTGCAGAGTAACCACGGCGGAAACAGAGAGGACGGGCTACGGGTACAGTCGCCCGAGAGGATCGAAGAAGTGTAGCCAGCAAACGAACCATGTTGGATCAATGGCAACCACAAGGACCCTCCAGGGCGTTGGGAAGAAGAGAGGTATAAGAGAAGGAAAGAAGCAAAAAAACAACAAGAGAAGAGAAACATCACCCCATATGAAGAAAGCCGAGGTTCAGGCACCAAATTAATTTGGGATTAGGGTTCCTTCCCCTTTTAACCATAAAGTGCGGAGTAAACTTACACCCGTACCGTTTCTACTGTAACATACGGTTCTAGTCTGTTATCCGTACCGATAAGGTAATAAAAACATAGGACTTGCAGTTCTTTTGATTTTCTTTTCTTTTTTCTTCTTTTTTTTTTTTTTTTTTT